CAGCAGAAACGAAAGGAGAAACATCCTGATTTTCAAGTTCAGACGCCGCAACAAATAAAGGAGTTTCTGCAAACTACAAAGGATATCTCGGGCAGAGAATTGTGTGTCTTTATTGGTTTGCTGATCACCAGCACCATCGCGCCGTAGTGACCATCGCGCCGTAGCGAAGGACTATCAAACGTACATGGGCGGCGTGGACGTACATGACCAGCTTCGACTCCAGAGGTAAAGTGCTTGTATCGTGTATGTACAGTTTTATCAATACTGATTATCGTGTATCATACTGCTTTATTACAGATACTCTCTTCAAAGGGCCAGACGCTACAAGAAATACTACTAGTCATTGTTCCTGGGTCTGATTGATCTCGCTATCATCAATGCTTCCATTGTGTACAACTGGCGCCGCACCATGGATGGCAAACGCAAAGCTACGCACGTCGAGTTCCTGAAGAAGCTTCATTTGGAGTTGATCCAGCTGAAGCCTGACGACTGGACCCAAATGCTGCGCCACCGCGGCATGCACCCTACACCATCGAAGCAACGCAAGGCTACAACAACTCATGTACCCGTACCAACCGACGAGTGGAGGAAGGGCAACACGGACGACACGAGAAAGCGACGCCAGCGTGCCTGCAAGGTGTACTCGGTGCTCAAGCGCGCTGGCGAGGCGAGAGGAGGCGAGACTACGTTCTACTGCGGTGGCGGCAAGCTCAAGACGGCGGCAAAAAACGCTCATACTGCACGAGTGTTCCTGTGCAACAAAGTCAAGCACACAAGTAATGGTGAGGCAGTTCCCTGCCTCGAGATTTGGCACCGACACTGGAAGAACGGTACCGTGATCCCGCCGTCCATTACCAAGCGCAAGATTCGCGCTCGGAAGCCGGCGGCAACAGCGGCGGCCGCAAGTGACGGCGGCAGTAGTGACAGCGATGCCGCGTCTGATGGGAGTGCGCGCGCGATTCAGCAGCACAAGCGTGCTCGACGAAACGCAATGTAGTGTGTGCAGCAGCTCACAAGCGTGCTCGACGAAACGCAATGTAGTGTGTGCAGCAGCTCTTCTGGCTTTTTATTTGACTTAATTTGAGTATGCACTGGTGTTGCTGATTGCCATCTGACTTGATTCTCTAAATATCGAAAAAATTTGACCTTACGACTGCGCTGTTTTTGTACTGTGATACACATTAGTCCCCCCTAAGATGTATTACCCAGACACGATAATGCGCATAAGACACGTTAGAGCTGAGGTGGCAAGTTGGGGTTAGGTGCATGGACCGGCTTTGGGAGATACACGTTTATAATAGTGTGGACTCCACTATATGTACCCAGCATGAGATAAATCAATATCGTGTATAGGATTTCGGCCAACGGTGGGAACTCAGATCGCTCGCGCTGGAGGGGTTAATGGTTTCGACACGTGGTTCCAATTACGGATGGTCAGGCATCCCGAAAAATAATAATGCCCGAAAATATAACAGTATTTTCGGATACAATACTATATTTAGGGCATCACCGTTTGTTTTATCCGAAATTTATGTAGCCGAGTTCTAAAATTCGGTATTTTACTTCTGCTCATCCTGCTCCAACCATTAGTTGTGGTCAAACATCGCAACTTTGCCGTTAGACCCCACTTTCAAACAAGCACCACCCAGCACGCGCATCACGACTCGACGTTAGCACCATGACCGACAATCTCCTCGCTGGCCCCGCTCCGAGGCCTACCTTCTCGCCCAGGCATATTGCTGCCTTCTACTTCAAGCCCTGCCTGGACGAGGAGGGAGAGACGACGGGCTACTATGCCTGCAAGACCTGCGCTAAGCGCCGCAAGCACGCGCCTAAGTCAGGCTACAGCAACTTGGTGTCGCACGTGCGGGCGGCGCACCCCAACTACGAGAGCGACATGCGCGACGCTAGTGTCGCTGCGACGGGGACCCTACTGCCGTGGGTCACCCAGAAGGCCTCGAACCGCTACGCGTGGCTGCGCTGGGTCGTCACGGGCAATCTACCGCTGTCTTTTTGCGAGTCCAAGGAAACGCGACAGTACGTATTTTCATATCTATTTTGGTGATTTACATGTGTGCTAATGCCGTATGTTATGTAGATACATGAAGCTAAATCCCATCTCCGTGGAGACGCTGACCGCCATCATGGAGACCGTGACCAAGGCCGTAGAGACGATGATCGGCGACGCCATGCCCGAGCGTTTTGGTCTGGTCCTTGATGGGTGGACCCACGGCACGGAGCACTACATGGCAGTGTATGGCTGCTTTGAGACGGCGACAGGCCCCCAGTACCCGCTGCTGTCGTTAGCGCCCGTCATGGATGAGCCTGACGACCAGCTGAGCGCTGACGGCCATCTGACGGCGATTAAAAGGTTCCTACCCTTTTTTGGTAAGTCTATCTCCGGATGTCTATTCCTGGTTGGTGACAACTGCGGAGTAAACAAGCGACTGGCGAACCTACTCGGTGTGCCGCTAATCGGCTGTGCCAGCCACCGCCTGAACTTGGCGGTGCGAGACTACTTGGAGCCCCACGACAGCATCCTCGAAGAGGTCCAGCAGCTTATGCGTAAGTTGCGGACTTTAAAGCAAGCAGCCAAGTTGCGGTAAGTACTCTGTTTGCTGTTTAATTTGGTTTTTGTATTGGTACTAAATTGGTCTTTGTTTTTGGGTTTTGTTCGAAATTAGTCATTGGCCGCTGTCCTCAGACAGGACACGCGCTGGCCGTCGACCTTTTCAATGCTCAAGCGCTATTTTCGGCTCCGTCCGTTCATTTCGGCGGACGACGAGGAGCTCGCGGACTTCCTTCCGTCACGCTCAGCCCACCGCAAGCTGGAGACTTTGCTGGCAAGCCTCCGGGACGTCGAGTCCGTGTCCAAGCACCTGCAGGGCGACGGCCTTACGCTGCTGGACGCTCGTGTCCTATTCGACGAGCTCCTCAAGAGCCACCCCTCGTTCGCGAAGTATCTCGGTAAGGATCATCGCTCACTCTGCGTCTGATGGTATTTCTACTTAACTACTGCGTTTTATATGTTTTTATTTATGCATAGCCACCGACGCGGATATAGTCCACTCCGCCGTCTTCGAGCAGGCGGTCGTCAAGGTGCTTGACGACCAGGCGGCCCTGCTGACGGACGACGAAGTCACTGCGCTGGAGCCGTTCAAGCGCACGCTGGCTCATGTGGAAGGCGTGGACTGCACGCCGGCGGACAAGGAAGGGTTCGCTGTGCGTGCGCTCAAGCGACGCAAGGTAGCTGCTGCGCCGGCCACGTACGAGCTGCTTAATGCGATTCCTCCTACCTCAAACATGGTTGAGAGGCTCTTCAGCATTGCGCGCGCTATGCTGCGCCATGAGCGCCACCGCCTCTCCCCCATGATCTTGTTCCTCAAGATCAACAGCTCGTACTGGGATGTTGCGACCGTGGAGCAGTGCCTGTAAGTAGGTACAGTCGTAACAGGATTGCAGTAATTTACTGTGTCAACACTATGCCTCGCGTTATTTATTCAGTCTGCTACTCGGATGCTATGCAATATTTATTATGGTGTCCGGCAAACAATAGATATATATCGTATTTTCAGCATGCCTGCGGATGGTCGGCCATTCTCGTTCGGTCTCTTGTGGTGTGGTAATACCACTTAAATTCTCTTCTACCAAAAGGTATTAGAGACACCAACAACACGCTAACCCGCAAAGGTAAGCGCTTATTGGATCAAAACCTGAAGACCAGGAACGATCCCTTACACCGGGTCGGTTGCAAGCGCCTCTGTGCACCTTAGGTTATCTTCGGTCAACCCAAAAACCTGTACCACTAGCCACGAGCTAAGGCTAGGATACTATGTAGCGCTTTCGCGCAACCCCACTGCAGTCCCTCAGAAAGGAAGGGTACCGGCGTGTTAGGCCTTATACAGGGGGACCAAGGTAAAACCTCGGTAGGTAGACTAATACACTCAGGGACACTCTAATCCCACAAATATATACTGAACGATACTCTAATACCGTTCCTGCCTCTCCGGCCACGCCAACTCTTGGCGCTGCCAAGGAAACTCTCGGTCAATGCACGATAAGCTCCCCGACAGGCATCCACACGCAGCCGAGCGTGTCCAGGCACTACACTAAGCTAGCTACACTTACCGAAGTCGGACTTGACCTTTGTTGGCTTTGGGGGAAGACTGTCTTTTTATTACTGAGTTTTCTGAGGCCCTGGGGGCTTCGTTCTGGTCATCCTATGATGAGTCCTATGTCCCTATACAAATTTCTAGTGTGAACGATCGCAATAAGCGATTCCGGATACATCAAATGACGACCGCGGCTACACTAATAAGTGCGGCCGAAGTACGTAACTAAATGCATCTGTACCTAAAAGTGGGTACCGTGAAGCCTCGTTCGGGGTTCTATTAGGACCCGACGAGGCTTCGGCCACCGACTGTCACTCCACCGAGGATAATGTCGTCATCCAATCAGGAGCAGCCATCTCCGTCTCTCGCTTGACCTCGCCTTGATTGCCCCCCTTGATTGAACTTGATTGTCGGGCTGGCGGGTCAACAGCGTTGGAAACTGCCACTTTCCAATACCACACTCTTATAGTGCGACGTTCGTCATGTTCAGCAAGTGGCTGCTGTCGAGCTCTCCCCGCAAGAAAGCAAGGCCTTCTCTGCGTGCCAGCAGGCGCCAAGGCGGCTCACACTCACCGTCGAGTGCAGTCCAAGAACTCCAAGAAGCTGCGGATGGTCGAGGATGTCCAGGCTAAGATCGCGAGGACCCGAGAGCGACGGGCCCGCCACCAGAGAGGCCACGGCGAAAGACCGGCGCAAGCGGAGGGTGCGCGCGCAAACTTCGCCGCGCGCACCCAAGCTGCAGCCGAGGCCGCCCGAGCAGCGCACCGGCGAGGTTTGCGACCTCTCGCCCCTAGACCTCTGGATGATCAGCAGGAGGCGTCCGCTCCAGTGGCGTCGGTGGTGGCGGAGCTGACGGCGTTTGCCAACAGCCTGACAGATTTGCCGGACAACGCCGAAGTGGCCATGTCCACCGGGGTGGCGAGGCATTGGGGCACTGATCGCGGCTATAATGTCGAACGCTCCGTACCCGTGAAGCCCTCGGGATTGAAGTCACTTGCACTGTAATTTAATGCATACTTTTATTAATAAGTTTTTAATCTTAAAACACACTTAACACAGATTATTTACTGGAAGGTCACTTCAAATTATGCTGGTTTCATCAAAATTAAATCCGCAAGTGGCCCAAGCCACCCCATACTTTGATGGTGCCCTCGGAAGCATCTAAAACATGCTCTGGTACGTTTTCACGCTGTAGTTGCTGCTAGTTCAGGCGTCATTAGCACTCCTATCTTCCTACCCATGAGACCACCCCTTAGCTGTTCATTTTCGATACTCAAGCTCAGTTGTTTGAAGGGTCAAGCATGCGCTATTTTTAGAATCGACTCGATAGCAGCATTATCAGTGAAGTGGTTGCACATCATAGCATGCTCTGCTTTTAATAATGCTCTTCCTCCTAAGTGCAATTGCGTATCATTTAGAGCACACGCAGCGCTTTCCAACGATGTTTTTATCCCCATCTGGAAGAACCTAACGGATTTAAAGACTTTTGACCTAGCATAGCAAAAGGCGGCTTTTCGTGACCTTCCAGTAAATAATCTGTGATAATGCATACTTTTAAGTTTTTAATCTTAAAACACACTTATACGAGGACGCATCGCACCGTGTCCCTTGTAGTGCTGGTTGCGAACAAGTTCTGAACGATACCAACATTTGGAACTTGTTCGTAACCTTTCCGAAAGTGTTCCATTTACAAGAGGCACCAAAGCGACACTATAGAGAACTAGAGAGCTTGTCAATTCCGCACTTGGCGAGAAGCTTCAATTTCGTACTTAATCGCGAATATGAACCACCCGAACAACACTGAACAATTGGATCAAAGCGAACAATTGGAACAATAGGAACACGCCTGTTCGCAACCAGCACTAGTCCCTAGGCGCGCAAAGGATCCGCGGATCCAGTGCAGCATACACCATGGTGGCAAGCGTCCAGGACGCCAAGACATCGTCTTCTACTACCTCAGTGAGCAACAACGCAATGGAGAAGAACGTGCCAAGCGAAGCGGAAATGGGTGCGCTCTTCGAAGCAGCCATGAATCAGCAGCAGCAACAGACCCAAAAGACTGCAGCGGAGCCCAAAGTGACGCCCGAGGAGCAGCAGAAGTTCCTGTCCGCCATGAAGGACCCAGAGTTCCGATCGCTGCTGAACGACTACATGGAGGAGATCTCGGACCCGCGCAACCGCGCCGAGACGGAGCAGTACCTGGCGCAGCTCGAGAACGAGCAGAAGGTGCCGGCGGACAAGCAGCTCGTCAAGCCCAAGCCCGGATTCGTGGTCAAGACCAAGTGGGACGCCGCGCAAAAGTTGTTCGTCAATGTCTGCAGCAGCGACAAGATGCAGCCGCCCTCCAGCACCAGGGTCACCTCTGGCCAGCAGGGCACGTCGTGGAACCTGCCCTACTCGCTGGGGCTGGAGAGGCTCGAGCCCGACAAAGGGGGCTCCGGCGTCCCGACCTTTGACGTGTGCTTCCACCCGCGAGTCATTGAGTTTGCAATGGCTCGAGCGGATTACAGGCACATGGTGATCAGTACGTGTCTGGATGCGGTCGAGCCGATATTGAGGGACTCGAGGCGCAAACAGAAGGCGGTGCTGGCCAGGAACTACCACATCCTCAAGGGCGTGTTCTACAAGTCCGGCGACCCCGTCACAATGTGCTTGCGGAAGGAGCGTGACGTACTGGGGCCAACCAAGGCAAAAACGACAAAGAAGGTGGAGACTAAGACTACCAAGACCAGGTCTAAGGACAAGATCACGGCGCTGGGGGATAAGGAGAATGCCCCACCAGCTCAAACGATCACTCAGGTAGGTGGTAAAGCTGATGATTCAGTGCTAAATCAATTGACGCACGTGAAGGACAAGGAGAAGAACACCGCGCTGATGAAGGAGGTATCGAGCGTGAAGCTGGAACCAAAGCAGAAGCTTGACAGCCATAAGCAAAAGAAGAAGATGGAGCACCAGCTCATTTACCGCGGGAACTTCGAGCTCCTCCACCACATGCAAGCGGATCCAGGGAACAAGGTCCCTGAGGATCGCTACCGCCCGAAAGAACTCGTCGTTGAGGTGAGCTTCCCGCTGTCGACTAGTGCGAAGGGATTAGATCTGGACGTGAGCGAGCGGATGCTGCGGCTGTCGGCCGGCCCAAGTGTTCCAGGCAATTATGAACCTCTGGAGCTGGCTCTACCATTCCCAGTGATCGAGGAGAAGGGCAGTGCCAAGTTCGACCGCAAGAATCACAAGCTTGTGGTCACTTTACCGGTGCAGCCCCCACCCAAGCCGAAACCGCAGTCTGTCTCGCTGATTGTTCAGGATGAAGACGAAGAAGAAGAAGATGAAGAGGTGGGAGATAATGTGGTTGAAGCTGAACCAAACAAGTCGACAAGTCCGAAGGCCAGCGCACCTAAGCAGCAGAAGATGAAGGAGGAGGAGGGGGAAGACGAGTTTCGAATGCTTCGAGAGACGGCGCTGATGGTGGCCAACGACCCGCAGGTGCTTGCACACGCTCAGCGTCAGGCTCAAGCTCAGGCTCAAGCTCAAGCTCAGGCTCAGGCTCAAGCTCAAGCTCAAGCTCAAGCTCAGGCTCAGGCTCAGGCTCAGGCTCAATACTCGGTGCCAGTCTCGCGATTATCTCCTCCCGTAGTGACTGAGCCAGCAGCTATCAAGGACGACATTTACGATGACTTGCCACCGCTTGAAAGCTGTAGCGATGAAGAAGACGATGTCGGCACGAGTGAAAATGTTGCAGATACGGAAAAGACACCAGAGACGTTGCCAACAGCAACTGATCCAGCAGCGGAGACCAGCAAAGTCGAAGATATTATCAAGCCACCGTTCGAGACGCACGACACAGAAGCGTGCTTATCGTACATTGTCAACGTGTCAGACATTGACTTGGCCAGTGTGAAACTCACATTCCCGTCACCGTCTTCGTTGAATCTCCGGTTCTCGGACAAGAAACAACGCGAGTACGAGATGCAGGTTGCAGTGCTTCCAGTTGACATTGAACCATCTACGGCAGAGTTCAACGTGGCCAGCGAGAACATGGTGATCATCCTGGAGAAGAAGACAACCCCGGCTTCGCAGACGAAGACGGCAGAGCAGCCCAATATCGAATCTCCAGCGCCTCCTCTCGCTGCTGCCCGATTCCAGAACCAGCTTCTCTACGAGCTGGACTAGCAAACTGTTTAACGAACACTATGATGATTCATACCCTCCCAATCAATGCTGTTACCTCATCCTCGGTAGCTCGCACCACAGTGCACTTCACGCATGTTGCATGGCAATTTCACATGATTCTCTTTATTTTACAGTTCTTTATCCGCTAGCGTCAGCGCGATGTCTTCTTCCTTGATGGCTATTTCTTCCCGCAAGGCAAGACGCTTAGCTCGAAGCTCGTCCATTTTGTCACGGACATCTCGGATCTTTGCGTTGTTCAGCTCGATGTTGTCTTCAAGTCGCGCGAGCACCTCAGGAAGGATCGTGATGACCATTTCCTTGGTTCGCAGCCACTTGACGCGCTCTCCTTCACTCAAGAGACTCTCAACAGCAGTATCGGACTCGGCTGAAACACCGCGCTCAAGGTTCCGCAGCATTTCTTCGCAGTCTTCGAGTCGCCGCACAATCTCGTCGTGTTGCTGGTTGCACTTCTGCCTCGTGTAGTCCAGCAGCTCCAACGATGACCCCAGTTCGGCCTCCTGCAGCACAATGGCCTCCATCTGATGCATCAAGTTGTCACGTGACACTCGCGACGACGCCAGACGCTCGCCACGCTGACAGTCGCGACTCATTCTCTGTCGAAAGCCCAACGTCGACGATGGACTGTCAGTATCCACTGACTGCAGCGGCTGCTGTAACTCCACCCACTTCTCGTCTTGAGGAACCACCAGACACCCCTTCATCTTCTTCATCTTCTGTAGTCCAAGGTCAACGAGTCCTTGTTGCAGCTACACTGGTATTTATACACTCAGCGTGTAGCCATGATGCACGGCAAACGCAGCCATCTCAAAAGTTGAAGTTAATTACGTTCTACCACACCATTTTCAATGTTGGCTACCAGCTCACGCTACACCAACCTCACACTGACTACCCGGTCGTCAAGGCTCACTTCCACCCGTCCTGGCAACGATGTCCTGGCCAACAGACTCTAACCTCCAGCCAAACCGCGCGCATCATGACGGAGGCGAAGGACCCGCAGCCGCTGCCCCAGGCCAAGGAGCTGGAGCTGCTGACGCCGCCGCCCGCTGCGCCCGTCGGAGGCGGCCGCGTGGGCCTGGCCGCCGCCTCGCTCATCTACTCGGCGGACGGGCGCTACGTGTTCCAGCGCCAAGCGCACGTGGTGCGCGTGCTGCACGCGCAGAGCGGCCGCGTGCTGCACGAGTGCGTGCGCGCGCGCAGCAAGAGCCCCGTGACGGCCTTGGCGCTGCACCCGCACAACGCGCTGCAGCTCTTGGCTGCGTATGAGAATGGCTACATTGTGGTCTGGGACTTCGTGGAGCAGAAGCCGCTGCTCGAGATGGACGCCAAGGCGCCCGTGCTCTGGATGGGCTCGAGCCGCACGAGCCCGTCCAAGCTGCTGCTCGTGCTGCAGGGCGAGAGCCGAAGCTGGAGCATCGTGGAGTTCAGCCTCAAGAAGAAGAAGCGCGGCAGCGTCGTCTTCCAGCACAGCAAGTTCAAGTTCCAGGCCGCGGCCATGCAGAGCTACAAGACGCCCCAGGGAGAGGGCGACAAGGCCGTGGCCGGAGACTACCTCGTGGTGGTCGCGGGCAATATGATGTTCGCCGTGTGGCTGCACCAGCCGCAGGCGCCCACGGGCCGAGTTTGGACCATGCAGAAGCTCACGCACCTCCGCGACGTGACGTGCGTGGCCGTGAGCCCCACGCAGCGCGAGTTCTCTATTGGTGACAGCATTGGACAGATCTACCGCTACCACCAGCTGCAGACGGCCGACGACGCCGCGCCGTCCGCCGCCATGATGCACTGGCACTCGCACGCCGTGCACTGCATACAGTACTCGAGCAACGGCCAGTTCCTGCTCTCCGGTGGCGAGGAGTGTGTGCTCGTGTCCTGGCACTTGGAGTCGGGCCGCCGCGCCTACCTGCCGCGTCTGCCTGCCGCTGTGGAGGTGATTGCTCCGCGTCGCGATGGAGGTGTCTACGCTGTGGGTCTCTCGGACGACGTCCTCTTCCAATACAACCCAGTGACGCGTGAACAGGAGTGGGAAGCGCGTGGACTGGACCGTGCCGGTGGATCTGCTGCCGCCTCGCTGCCGACTCGTCAATTGGTGGTGGACCCTGTCACTAAGGCTCTGGTGCTAAATGGCTCTTCCGGCGCTGGTGTATTGCAGTTCTACGAGCCCTTTGCCGACCGCGTGCTGCAGACGCTGCTGCTGTCGGAGCGTAACCAGGTCACGCGCACGGAGGACGAGCAGCTGCCCGCTCTGAAGGCCTCGCACTCGTGCTTCAGCGCCCGCGGTAATGTCCTCGCTACGCTGCACGCGCCGACTGAGGCGAAGAGCGGTGAAGAGCAGGCCCTGCGATTCTGGACTCGCCGCGTGGACGGCTCTTTCTACGTGAATACGGCGGTGGACGCGCCTCACGGGCGCGCGCTCGTGACGAACGTTGCGTTCTCTCCTTCGCACCACGGAGACTGCGTAGTGACCGCGGACGAGCTGGGAGATTTCAAGGTGTGGAAGATGACGGCGACTGAGGGCGGGTCGTGGCACTGCCAGTCGGTTGTGCGCTTCCGTGACGAGCCGGTCACAGCTGTGGGTTTCGCGCGCGATGGATCCTTGCTCGCGGTGGCGTACGGCAACAAGCTCACGCTTTGGGACGTCTCGACTCACTCCCTGCGCCGTGTTATCACTTCGGCCGATGGCCAGAAGATCCGACAGATTGTCTTCCCGGGCGAGAACTCGCCTTTCGTGGTTATCGTGACTGTGGACCAGGTGCAGGTTTGGAATTTGCTGTCGCTGTCGCTGTGGTGGCGCTACTCTGTGCCCAAGGAGGCCGTGGTCGCCGAGGACGCCCTGTACGAACGTTTCCTCGTGTGGATGCCTGTGACGAAGAACTCGAAGGAGAAGACGCTGCTGTTGGTGTTCGATCCGCAGACGCCTGTGCCCACCTGCGTGCGTGTTGTGAAGCTCGGCAGCAAGGCCTGGAGCGCCGGCTTCCACCCCAGCACCGGAGACATCATGCTGCTCGACTTGAAGTCTGGTGTGTGGAGACTCGATGGACCCAACTCACGATCGGTGGAGGCCCGTCGTCGCAAGCAGGCTCACGTTGCAGCTCTGGCCGAGCGCAACGCCGCCAAGGACGGCGAGCAGGAGGCCAAAGCACTGAGCGCCATCTACACCGCCGCCCGTGGCAGCCGCGCTCCTCAGAAGAAGAACAAAGACGTTGGGCCCAGCGCGGTTGCTGCCAACGGATCGGCGTCTAGCAGTCTGTTCGACGCTCCGGCCCACGTACTGCCGTCCATGACGGCGCTCTACAGGTCCTTCATGGACACGATGCTGCCCAAGCCGCACCAAAACGTACAGAGCGACGAGCCCGCGAAGGAGTCGGCCCAGAAGAGGAAGAACAAGAAGCGCAAGATGCGCCAGCAGCTCCAGCACCAGCAACAGCAGAACGCAGCGGACGCCAACGAGAATGGCGAGCAGCGCAAGCGCAGGAAGCTCCAGGTAGAGAAGGAGCTGGCCAACCCGGAGCTGCAGAAGCAGACATATTCCAAACTGCTCGAGACGTTCCGTAAGGCGCGCCGGACCTAAGCTCTTTTGCAGGAGATGAAATAGATTTACGTGTTTAGCGACCTGCTGTGCATTTGTTGTCAACGGTCACGCTGAGAGTTTCATGTTGAAAGGATCACCTTCGTGATGGACCTCCACGGCCATCCCGAGCAGAATGTTTCTGACGAAGCCATAACTTGGCGTTGATTGGAAAGGAATGTGACCGCGAAGGTAAAAGGATCAAACTTTTCTTACGAAGACATGCAAAATTTTAGGCGCTGTTGGTCGCAGCGCCGACGGTCGACGCCTTCGGAGTGTAAGTGTTCATGACGCCTTCGTTGTCACCGCGCCAAGGACGAACGTTTGCTGCCTTTGCACCGATTTGACTCAGGGAGGAGGCAATTCGGTCGAAGACCAGTCGAATTTCGCGCACTGCATCCAAACATTTCGTTGTGATGAAGCTCAAGGTCGAGGATGAGACAGACCACGCCACGCCGTTTGTAAAGCACACAAACTGAACTTGACTCGTCCCTACGGCCCGAGTAATTGAGCCATTGATCTTCTACTGTAGAAAAACTCAATTCGCAATTTGCCTTCAAGTACTCAAGTGCTTCGTAAACTCAAGACAAACCAGTACTTCCACCTTCGCCATGGTCGACAGCACAGTGCTCCTCTTCGTCCGGATACTCGCCGCCTTCGGTGCATTGGCCTTGGCCTGCAGCCCCTCGATTCTCATGAGGCAGATTCACAAGCAGAAGCACGTGGGCGTCGCGTCCGTGATTCCTCTCGTCATGCTGCTCATCAACTCGCACGTGTGGATGATGTATGGCTATCTCTCAGCCAACTACTTCCCGGTGTTCGGCTGCTTCATCTTCGGCGACCTCGCTGCACTCTCCTACGTTGCAGTCTACTGGCGGTACACCACTGAGCGCCGCTACGTGGCTCGGGTACTTGCAGTTGTAGCGACAATATACATCGTTCTTTCGACTTACGCTATCGTCGGTGGTCTCGGCTGTACGGGCCAAACGCGAGCAGAGGTGGCCAAGAATATGGGCTACATCGGTGATGCGACCTCCGTCTGCCTGTACGCGGCGCCTATGGAGAAGCTGTTGCAAGTGCTCAAGCACAAGTCGGCCATCTTCATCAACGCGCACATGGTGGCGGCCAGTCTGACCAACAACGTCGTGTGGTTTACCTACGGCATCCTCACGTCCAACTGGATCATCATCGGGCCCAACATCCTCTTCATCGCGCTCAACTCGTTCACACTCGTGCTCTGCATAGTGTACAACCCCAAGACCCACCCACTTCACGAAAGCTTCTTCGCCGGCAACGACGACGACGCTCCCATTGAAGTGTCCGTCGAGCTCTCACCGAAGGCTGTTGCTGGCAACAAGGCAGCAAACATGCCGAGCCCCGAGTACAAGGCGATGCAATCTCCACTAGAGCCTCTGCGTCTACAACTAGACAGGAACTAAAAACCGAAGTTAACAAGGCTACTTATTGAACACAACCAAGGTTTGTAACTTGTTGTGTGTCGTAGAATTTGTCTATACGCTGCATCAATTGAACAAGTGGTGCTTGTCACGCTTGCGCTTGCGCATTTTCTTCTTGGCGACGTCGATGTTGCGATCCTGCCACTTGCTCTTGCTGAGCTTCACGGGGCGGTTGCCAATGTACTTGCCGTTCATCTCGCGCAGCGCCTTGGCGCAGTCGAACGGGTCGGCGAAGCTCACGAAGCCGTAGCCGCGCGACTTGTGCGTGAGCTTGTCCCGCACCACGCGCGCGCGCTGGAACGACGCGTACTTAGAGAAGCTGTGCGCCAGCAGCTCGTCGCTCACCTCGTTGCCCAGGTCTCCACAGAACAGGCGGAAGTCGTTGTCCGGCCAGTCCTCGAGCGTGGGGTCCTCCCAAACCTGTCCACCCGCAAGACGCAGGTGCCTCTTCTGCTTCTTCCCGGCTCCGTCGCGTCCTTGAGGACCCGCCGCGATACTGGCCGCCGTCCTCTTGGGGTCGTACTCGTACACACTCTGCTGCCTGTTCATCATCTCCTGCTCCTCCATGGGCAGCACGCAGCCTGTCTCCATGTCCACTCGAGGCTGCATCGGTCTGTACGTCGCGCCCGGCCTGGACGCAGCAGTGGCAGCTGCATGTTCCCCCGTTGTGCCCGCTGGGAAGCCGCTGAGAGCGCCTCGGTGCGCCGCCACGTCCTCCAGCGTGTTGAGCATCTTCGGCCGCCCGTCATTGGCTGCAATTGCGCCGTCAGCGGGCGATTCAATTGGCTGCGGCTTCCTCACGGGCGCTGGACGCGGCGGCGCCATGTAGATCTTGGGCTTGGCCGCCACCACGACGGGCTTGGGCGGGGCCGCCAGTCCGGCGCTGGAGGGCTTGGCTTTCTTCGCTGGGGGCTGAGAATCGTCCTGCACGTTGCTGTCCGTCTTGGCTACATCTTCCGAGGGCTGGGTCTGCGCCTCCAGCGACTGGATCTCCGCCTCGAAGCGCGCGAACTCGTCGTCCAGGTCCGCCATGATGCGCTCCCAGTGTCTTCGCTCTATTAGGAAATGTGACTTGTGAGTGGTTGAAATGATAGAGCGCGGTGATTCGCTGAAAATGATCTTATCGGATGGCTCTCTGCCATTGGCTGTAATTGCCTCCCCAGACTTGGGTGGAAGCGACGCCAGGCTTTAGTAGGCGAAATAGACTGAAGAAGAAGATGGACGACATGGAGTACGACGACGCGGGCCACGCCGGTATGGAGGACGAGGAGGTCCCGGAGGAGGAGCTGGAGGAGGAGGTCCCGGCCGACGACGTGTACGAGGGCGGCGACGACAACGGCAACGAGGAGAAGGTGCAGGTGCTGGACGAGTCGCACAAGCAGCCCAACGCGCACCGCATCACCACGCGCTACATGACCAAGTACGAGCGCGCCCGAGTGCTGGGCACGCGCGCGCTGCAGATCTCCATGAACGCACCGGTCATGGTGGACATCGAGGGCGAGACGGACCCGCTCAAGATCGCCATGAAGGAGCTGCGCGAGCGCAAGATCCCCATCATCATCCGCCGGTACCTGCCGGACAACTCGTTCGAGGACTGGAGCATCGACGAGCTCATCATCGAGTAGACAGGGAATAGAGCGGAGGGAGAAGAGCGTACGTACATACATACACAACACACACAACATCTTTTATACCGAACCGAACCGCTGTGTTGTTTGGAGTTTGTTTTGGATTTGGAGGGAAGATGGATTGACGGGGGTGAAAGGGAGTAATCGACGAGGAGTTAGTGCTGCAGTGACAGCTCTGCTACAGATGCGCTTGATAGTCGAAGTTTCCCGGCTGTCTGCTGCTGGCCTTAGTTGACGGTCGTCTGGTACGAGCAGGAGGTGCCGTAGTAGCCCGGGAAGCACTCGCACTCGCCCGACTCGTAGTTGCACTTGCCACGGCCGCCGCAGTCGCGTCCCTGAGTTTTGCCGTACGCAAGCAGCACGTCGTCGCCGCTGGGGCATTCCTTGAGAGAACAATCTGGCCCGCGGTAGCCTTGGTCGCAGTAGCAGCCCATGTGCTTGATGCCGTCCCAAGCAGCGTATGCGCCAATAACGTTGGCGCTGGGTAAGGTCCTAGAAGGGTTGTTGGCAATGATTGCCGCAAGAGTGAGGCAGATTCCGTGGTCGTTACAATTGTTGGGGCACTCCGTTCGCTCGCACGCCTTGCCTTCGTAACCTGGGAAGCACGTGCAGTGTCCCGTGCCGTAGTCGCACATGCCACGGTTGGAGCACTCGACCAAGCTATGCGCCGTGTTCGTTGCCGTGGGCACTTGGACCCACGCGTCACCGTAGGGGCACGTTCGCATCGAACAGTCGGCGCCCTTAAACGCTGGGTACTTGAGAGTTCCTGCCACGTTATTCTCCTGATCCTGCCGCTCGTAGCACGTGCACTTGTCATTCTTGCCGCACGTTCCCTGCGCATTGCATCCGTTGGGGCAGTAGGCATCCACGCCCCCGAGCAGCAGCGCCATCGCGCTCACGCAGAAGAGCGCCACCTTGGACGCGCCCAACATGGTCGAAGGAGCGTAACCTGTCTTGCTGGAGCTGTTGCAGCGGTCGGAGAGCTGTGGGCCTGGTGCGGTGTACGGAAGTGAACCGACGGAGCGCTGCTCGGCGTTCGACGCTACGCGAAAGATCCCATGTGGCTCTCCATCAACGGTCGCCGCGAGTCGCCGCTTTGCGTCCCTTCGTGCGAATTGATATCTTGGAAGTTGCAGCGGCGAAAATCTGCGACGTGGTGCAAATGTAGCTATTTCGGGAGAGTCCTATTTTCCACCAATCCTACTGCGTCCTTCCAACCAATGAGACATCGCCCAAGCAGCAATGCCTGTCACCCAAGAACGAGGCGAAGAAGCACGGGTATAGTGCTGCTCGTGCCCATGACGACGGCTAGAACCATGGCAAGCAAACCGGAGGTGGTGGAGGTCTTCGAGTGCGAGGGCAGCTTCTCGTTCCTGCGAGAAGAGCACCGCTTCACCTTCAGAGTCCACAGCGACAGCAGCCTCCACGTCGACGTCAAGCCTCTATGCGCGGCCAGTCAAGTAGACGCGATTGCAATCGGCCAGGAGCGTGTCGTTCGCGGAACCATTGAAGACATCGACGATGTAGAGGAGGAAGAAGAGGATCAGAGAACTACTGAGGCTATTGAGGAAGAAAATGCAGTCCAAGAGGGTGAGGAACCGGAAGCGGAGGATGGAGAAGAGGAACAAGAAGAAATTCCGGCCAAGCTGCTTGCATATGATGGACGAGCGCTGGTGGAGATGCCACCTGAAGGAGATATTGACGATACTCAACCCGTGTGCTACGTGATGCACTTCAAGATCGTGCAATGGGGACGTGGAGCGCAGGGAATGTGGTCGCAGATCGTCAAGTGCATCGCGCACCTCTCGAGCGAGTATGGAATGTCTGGGAGGTTTTCGGAGGTCGGAGAGGATCTGATTCACGCACAGGACTTCGCGTTGATGCCAGTATCCCACAGACTAGAGTCGTTGCACAGCCCGCTGCACCCGTTGACGCCTGGACGGTATGAACTGCGAGGCATCACCATCGCCGAGAACGCGTTCGTCTACGAATGCGCCGTGAACATCACATTGCAAGAGAACGGCATGATGTCCGGCACGTCTCGAGAGCTGCCATTCACACAGGAGTGCCCGCTTGCTGGCATGTGGACGCGAAGCGGATTGAACTACCTACTGCAGTACGAGATGCACGGCAACAAGCACACGTACATCTACTTTGGCACTCCGTTCCGCTCCGGGTTGCAGGGTACATGGCAGAACTCGGAGCTGCGAGCACTGGAAAACAATCTGGACGCGCGTGCAAGTCAAGCGGAGCGCGGGATCTTGGAGTTCCAGCTACTCAAGGCCGTTCGCGTTTGGAGCGAGGCATATCACAAAGACTACCCGGCGGCATTCCGGGAGTGCGTCAAGCTCTTGCTGCTCGCGTCTCATCGCGATGAGCTCCTGCCCAACCACTTGTGGAGCTCCATTGTATCCTACTGCGGGTACGACTGGTTCTGCAGCGACCTGCAGAAGTCGCTAGCACCTAACGAAGCCAAAGAGAGCGATATCGAGGCACTTCAAGTGCCATGAAAGCAATAAACTGTAGCCATGCCGATAAGACTCCAAGGGTGGTCTCATGACATGAAGCCCTAGACATGTAACATTGTTAGATGAGTCATGTAGCAGTTGTCAATTTCGTCCAATCGCTGAATTTATTTCAGTGTTTCAGCGAATCAGACGCGTCCATTCAGTCTTAGTCGCCATTGCGCCGTCCCATCCACTGAAGGGGCAATAATGGACACGTCGTGGTGCAGTGTGCAAGCCGCTAGCGCATTCCCCATGAAGATTGAGAACTCCTCCTCTCACGACCAAGTAGCCAATACGTCTACACTTCCATTGACCCCTCTAGATCGCGTGTACGATGGCTGTGTGGGCGGCGTTTTAGCCGAGAAGAGCCGCTTCCACTTGCGCATTGCGTCCAACGGTTCATTACACGGCGAAGTGCGGCGGAAGGCGCAGCGAGGTGCCAACTCCGACACTGTGACCAATAGGAAGAAGAGGAAGCTGCGGGTGATCGCCGACCATCCGGACGGCATTGTCATTGCCCATGTTATAGGCAACGCCCAGGTTGTTGCGGTGGAGGAGGCGGTGGTGTCGTCCTCGGCGTCGACTGTCAATTGTGACGGGAGCACAGCAGCCGCAGAGTATTGTTGTGCATTCGAAGTGACCAAGCGACTGAACCACGTTGATCGACACACTTTGACGTGCCATTTGCACGTCCCCGTAGCTCCTGACGCCCCAGCAGTAGGCAATTGGCGGTTCTTCAGTGCTCAAGACCAAGACAGACACCAGGCGGATCTCTCGTCATCGGCGTCGACTGCATCCACTAGTGATTCGAGTTCGGTAACAGGAGAAGAGACGGCGGAGCAGAAGGTGTTCCAGTTGCAACCGGTGCAATGGTATCAACGCCAGCAAGAAGCGGAGCAGGCGGAGAGAGAGGCCGCGATGTTGCAGTCGAGGCCACCGTCGCTATTGTACCCGTTGCGGCCTGGCAAGTACGAGTTTAAAGGCTTCACGACGTACGACACGCCGTCAGTAGCTGCTGCTGTTGTGCCGAGACAGAGGAATGGACGAAGAGGACGTCCTGTGATGACTATGGTGCGAGATGAATGTCTCGTGACGTTGCGCTTGCTGCCGGATGGTACACTGCGCGGCACTTCTCGCGAGGTGGTGCAGCCGCAGGTTTGCCCGTTGAAAGGACGCTGGCAGGCCAACCGCGTGGCGTATGTTTTGGAGTATCGTGTGCGTGAAGAGGTGGGGCACTTCCGCTACTCAGGAGCTGTGGTTATCGAAGAAGGCAGTGACAATGCCGCGAATGGAAGGAGAACCAAGGTCCAGCGCAAAGACAAAGCTGTTGGTAAAAGGCGAGAGACGCTCAGCGGCAAATGGAACAATGTGGATGAGGGTCACGCGGAGGGATACGAAGGCGGTCGAGGCGAGTTTGAGCTGGAGCTCGTGCGAGTAGATTTCACGCCCATCGCAATTAAAAAGGAGAAGATTGAGCCTGCTTTAGTCGACAGTGGCAGTCCTTCAGATCCTGCTCAAGGACTGCAAGAGCAGCAAATGACTGACCAATATACTGGCAGAAGTGCTGAAAACGCTATCGAGATTGACGACGACGACGATGCCATCCACGCCTTCACTACTGGTGAGTACGAGCTGTCTGGCTGTGCCACTGACGCTGAAGGCTACGAGTATGCGTTCGACCTGAAGCTGCAGCTGCGACCTGGTGGGAAGCTCTTCGGTCAGAGCAAGGAGCGCATATTCCAGCAAACGAGTCCGATCTTCGGCATATGGAACTCTCGAGAGATCAAGTACCGTCAGCAGTACGTCGTGAAGCACGAGGTGGGGGTGTACACGTACACGGCTATCATGAGCCGTGATGGCGCTGTGGTGCAGGGAACCTGGGTTAACGACGAGAAGGATTCTGCGTCAGCACCAAGTGAGCACGGCACCTTTGCGCTGATTCTGGTGCAGTCTAGAAGGCAGTGGAGCACCTTGAGCCACGCCTACTATCCGCCACGATTCCGCCGCAGTGTGCTTGCTATTCTCATGGCGTCTGCTAGAACACACAAACTCCCTATTGAGCACTGGACCCACATCTTCGCGTTCTGCAGCGAGTCGTGGTTCACGCCGCCGGTGATTGAGTAATATATACACGAAGCTGCAGTACTTACTTGCATCTGGGCTTTGGCTAACTCAACCGCGAGCGGATAGCGTCAGTTGATGCTCACTTCAACTTGACCCTTTCATTTTCTACCAGTCGCTGCTTGACTTCTTCGTATTTTTGACAAATCAGAAGGAAGAATTCCCGTACACGCGGCACAATGCTATGCTAGCAGAATGCAACGTCGTGAGTAGCGCCGTCGGAATGACAGTGCATATCTGCATGGGCATGCTGCCAACAACAACTAATCTAAGACCATTGCTGACCATACGCAACCGCACTGCCTCGCTCGCTTCTCCATGCAATTATGTTATCTCTTTTCTCACGCAAAAGAAAACTTTTAAGGGGCGAGAGACTCGCTCTGCTGCTTGCTTACTTGGACGAGAAAGCCGTCAAAAAGCTGTTCCTGTGCTCTTCGTAGCTTCTGCACCACTGCAACTCTGCAACGCTAGCAGCTCGACGCGCGCGTTCCATTCCATACTGCAATCCTGCGCGTGTCATTTCGCTTATCCCTCTGACTCCGACACAGCACAGCCTCGACCCAGCAACAAGCAAGCAAGCCACGAAGCCTTGTCTCGACACTTAGCCCATGAAGTTGAAGACCACGAGGAAGAGGATGATGTTGCAGAAGAGGTAGTCCGCGAAGGCGCGCTGCTCGGTGCGGTCGCCGAAGTTGTTCTCGGGGTTGATCTGCATCCGCAGCGACACTGGCAGGCGGCAACAAGACAGCAATTCCGTTAGTCAACCATAGGTAGAGCACCGCTTCGACGGCAGGTAGAGTATTTGAAGGTGGGGGGACGCACCAGCAAGCACGAAGACGCCGACGGTGCACACGAAGCCGGCCAGGAACGAGTTGAAGGGGAAGTTGCCCACCAGCAGGCAATAGATAAATTGGAGCACGCCCGTGGCCAGCACGTAGGCTAGGAAGCCGTCGATGAGCTTGATCTTCTTGGGCGTGGTCTTGTCGTACTTGGCGCAGAAGTCGCCCAGGATGGAGCCCACGCCCGCGTCCGCCGTCGTCGCTCCGGTCTTTTTGGCCATGGCTGTGTACGTGTCTGTATCTGTACTGTGTCTACGCTCGATAGAGGACCACGCCTGGTCGTGGGAACAAGCTATAGCGTTAGCGACAGGCAGCGGCAGTGGCGATGGGGATGGCAATGGACCTACCCGGTGGACTTTCAGTTCGAAGATAGCGACGGACAACTGACGCGCGTCGCCAAAGATTTGTGTGGTGTACACCATCGCGGCGCTGATGGCATACTCAGATCAAGATGAAATTGTGTCCAATGTGAGGGCACAAATCCAAAATTGTATAATAAGCACTCAAATCACTTTTTTTGCAAAAAAAATGTATCAGCTTTTTGGTGAAATAAAAAAAACAAGAAGAAACATTTACTACAAAATCTCACTTACATGAATTTTTATAAAAGGATATTAAAATACCATTTTTATCGAACTGTAAGTTAGCTTCGAATATCGTGTTTTTACTCAGGTTAAGCAATTTCAATACACTCGAAATGCCTCCTACTGTCATCAAGAATGTGGCTGGCTTGGGTCATGCTGGCAAGATGACAGGTTGTGTCATTTTCGCTAAAAAGACCGAAAATACCGACTTTTGTGTGTCTTATCAGATACTATCCAGCCAATGAAATAAATCGAAAATATTTACAATAATGTTGCATTGTTTCAATATAAAAAAGTCTACCAAGCCATATGAATAATGAAACGGCCAATTCCTTACAATTTTAAAACTTTAGTTTTTATTATTATATGCGATACTAATATCATCACATGATTGTTGGTTAATATTCAGGGTATATTAGACGGTAAACGCATTAATTTTACGCATATTATTAAGGTTCAGTGTAGTATTTACCTATCTTAACAATCTACGAAATACAGTTTTCGGTATTGAAATAACAATGCTTTAATGCTACTGATGACAAGCCCAAGAATTTACATTCGCACATAAATGAGGCCTGCATCGGGTAACAGTGTAGAAATAAATGCAAACTCTAGAGGGATTAAACCCTGGTCAAACTCGTACGACCGGCCCTGTTCTCGCTTGTTAAAGGTCAAATCGGATCTGTCGCTTCGTGGACAATGGCATGGACCGGAAATACCCACACAGTAAGTATATACGCATTCATGCTTACGTTTTCACGAATTGTAAGTATATTTAGGTTGAACCTGACATCGCTCAGCTGCGCGGTTAAATGCGGCATACATGACCCGGTCATTTTTATTTCAGATGACAAAATGCATGAAGCGGAACAATGTTGAAGAGCTGGATACTGGAAATCAAGCAATTCACCTATCAGGCCTTGGAGCGGATTAGACTGAGCAAGGACGATCGTGGTGCGCTGAGCAAAATAATGCACATCAGCGCACACATAATGGTAACATGACCAAGCAGACAGCGAATCATGGAGCAATCGCTAACCAATTTGTCACCGATCCATTCCGTGAGCTGGCCGAACGAGACCATATATACGCCATAACCGAAGAATCAATGACTCAACTTGTCTCGAATTCCCTTCACCAAGTAGGTGGATGAATTGCTGTTAACTTGGCGCAGATTCTCTCCGCCACATCTCGGGCAGTCTTGAATTTGTGTCGAGCTCCAACCTTCCCACTGAACGCCTTGCTGTGGCCACGTGTGAGCGTGACCGTCAGCCTGGCGCGAATTCTCTCTGCGACGTCTCTTGGGGTCATGAGTTTGCGTCTTGGCTCAGGTTGTGCAGGCATAGCCGAGCGGTAGCAACGTAGGGTAGCTCGAGTGTGCATGCTCTTAGCTTCTGCTTTCTCATGCGGAGCTTGGGCGCCAACCTGGCGCGTTTCCCATCGCCGTAGGCGTCGTTCTTAAGCTTTAGCACGTGCGACATTGCTCCACTCCGCGTAATGATCAATTACGAATGAATGGTGTGTCGGCTCTGCGTAATGAAAAATTACGAATGAACGGTGGGCGTAATGACCAATTACGAACGCCATCGAATTTGAACGGTCGGCTCTGGCGTTTCACTTTCACAATCTCCATTCGCAAACTTTTGTACAGGGCCAGATACATTTTTTCCAGACTTTTACTATTGCCTTGGTTTACCCAAGTTAAACAAATACTTTAAAACCTTAATTTGATTTCTTTACCCGTAACTTAGCTGCTTCGATGGTTTACCGACCTTATTAAAAAATTACACTTTAATGTAGCTACAAAAGATCTTGATTATAGGATAACTTTTATAACGCTTTACGCTTATGACATCTTAAAGAAATTTAAAAAATTTAAATTGTCTTTTAAATATAGTTGTTTTACTCAATTAAGCTATCTCAATGCACCTAAAATGTCTTCTATTATGTCATGAAGAATGTGCCACATGGCCTGAGTCCCAATTTTGCAAAAAAAGAAAAAAGAGACCGGAATATATAAGACGCTAGGTAGCGCTTATATTGAAGAAACTTTTAGTGATTTTACATCGTTTGAGTAGTATTACTAGAGAAATAATTTGATAAATGTACAACCAATACATGGTAATTTTAACTATTTTTATACGGTTAACATTGCGACGTGCTTGGTTAATCTACACAACAATAATGTTGTGGAAAAATCTACAATTGATTTTTATCTTTACTTACGAAAGGTTCCGTGTAGTTTGCCATCGATTTCACAGATCCATAAAAGGTCTAGAAACACTACGGTAAAGACTTGCTATGAATTGTACTCTAAGTATACACTTTTTGAAATTTTTGATCTGTTTTGATATTAAGTTTAGATAACCCAATGTTTTGGGGGCTATTTGGTTCAACGTACGCGGAATTAAATCATGCAGTCGAATATATCCAAGGCCAAGTATCGATATTAGTTATTATCGAAATGCAGTCTGAAAGTTTTAGCTAATATCGCTCAATATTCAGAGAATTACAACAAAAAATCTCACTGGGTCTAAAATCTTGACACGAAAAACCAAGTTATCTTTATCTGCACCAGCGACGATTGGCCTAGGAATGAACGTGTCGTAGCCATAAAGACAAACTTACGTTGGTGTTATTTTTTTTACCGAAAACGGAGTACAAATAGTGAAGTTATTTTTGTTTCCTGAAATATGAAATGGCGAAAGTACGGTGAATTAATGTACGAGAGGGCCTCTAAGTTCTTGTGTAGCGCAATGTGTTTCCTACAAAGCGAGGTTTAACCTCCTGTTATGCTGACATTCTCGCGATAATCCAATTTACTGACGTCTGATTGGCTAATATAGAATTACGTGGAACCTCAATGTCGATAGTAAGCTGGACCAGAGAAGTACGAACTAAACATGTGGTGTTTATTGCTCCTGTCTATCCATAAGCAAACAGATCGGTGTTATACCTGTCGATAGCAGACAGAAATAGCCTCGTGACTTCGACAAAAACTTGAGCTTGGGTCGACGAGAGGGGTTAACTGTGCGATGTTATTCCGCGAGCGTCGGAAATATTTTGTTTGTACCAAACTTCGGTTTTGGCTTAAATTGGATGGACAAACAAGGTCCAAATGTCCGTCATTCAGGTTTTCAACGAGGTAGTGCATGAATTGCTCTGCACCGGCGAGCTGGTGAACCTGAAGCTGATCAAGAGCAAGACCAGCCACCAAGTCGCTGTCCAAGGGCTAACCACCTCGCAGGTACGTTCCAGTGAAGAGACCCTGGATATGCTCACTCGAGCAATCGGTCGCCACAACACTGCGATGACGACGAAGAATCAGACATCGTCGCGCTCACACTTCATTTTCGTGGTGCGAGTTGTGAGGTCGCTACGAGGTCTCGGGTAAGCGACTTGGGAAAACAAACCAAGAACATCATCGTCAAAAACGTCGAGATGCTATTCTAACTCTGCAACGCATAGCGGTGATGCCTTCAATAAAATCGGAGCCTTGCGCCTTTGCCATGCCTTCCTGAAAAAAGAACCGAAAGCCCAAGCACAAAATGCAGAATTGGATCGACTGCCAAGAGGTCTATGGACTGCATATCCCCCGCCCCGGCTTTTATCTATAGATTTGTAGGTTTAATTATATCAAGGTTGATCAGCAGTAAATTTTTATGTTTTCGATTTACCTCCAAAGCAAAATAGATTCTATAAAAAAGTTATGAATCACGCAAATCCCTCCATCCACACAGACACACACAACAAAAAGTCTGTATATATTCTAAATACAATAAAACGCTACTCCCCGTAGAGGAAAATGGAAATCTTTTTCAAACCGGTAGAGTGGTTATCAAAGGTACACGACTAAGCTCTGGCGACGGCAGCAGCCCCTTTGCCAGCGCCGTTGAGAACGGGTATGGCGGATACAATCGTGGAGCGCGTCCACCGGCAGCTACGGGAGCGAGACCAAGTCAGACAGCCACATGACGAAGATGAAGGCACTGATAAGGGTGAGCGGTGTAACATAATTTCGAAAAGAAAAGGAACAGGTTTTGAACGGATATTGAAGTGCGAGGGAAGAATGAACGACAGCATATTTTTCTGTGAATAAGGTAAAAACAAATTAAGAACTTTAAATGCCTATATTTGCAAAACGTATTACCGTGAAAATCAACTTGTATCCGACGTAACCGGGTGTCGATCAGTTTAGTATTGTGGTTAACTCATCGATACTATTTTACCGTTCCGTATAAAAGCGCAGCTGGCTCGAAAATGCTGTCATCTTTTAAAAATAAGATGTCTCGAAAATGCCCCGTTTTGTCCTTATCGACGCCGCAAATGCCGACTTTTGTCATGGCTATTTTGTGGCATGCATATCTTAGTTTTATCTTTTAAAAAAACAGTCTGGCTTAATGTTTACTTGAAGTTTGTACAGTGATTTGAGTATTCGAGTCATATAACATTTTTACACTAAATATAGTAAATTTTCTTTATTATGTCATACCAATACCGTCAAAATTCGTTGTAAAATGTCATCAAGAATGTCCGAAAAGGCCGACTTCTGTCATGCCTAAACCCGGTAAAATGCCAGGTTTTGTCATTTTTGCAAAAAAAGGCCGACGTTTGTCGTGTGCTTTTTCTGTCAAATACGGTATAATTGTTTTTGTGACAATAAAACCAAAATTGTTTTTAAATCACTTGTTCTGCTAAACTTAAACTTCTGGTACAGTTGTCGCTCACTGTGAATATAGAAACGAAACGATCCAAGTGCAAAACGGCATTGCTTTTTTATAGTATCTGTAAGTGTAAAACAACTGTCGGCCTTCGCCTCATGGATTTCGCAGCAGCGACATTAATCTTTTCTCCCCATCGGTAGGACGAGTAAGATGCAGAGCGTACGGGCAGGATCATCTTTAGAAATAAAAGTTGGTGAAGATATGCATCGGTGACCGTTCTGCAGTCGACCGCGTGAAAGAAGAGATAGCAAGGGGTATGAACTGTTTCTCCTCGTTGAATTTGACTTCATAAAGATGTCATAGATGTAGATAGAAACATGGTATCGAACAAAATCAAGAATTCGCCAAATTTAGATTTATCGCCTTTAACGTCCTGAAAGCTAGTATGTAGCATATGAACGTCTCACATAGACTCTACATAGAGTAGCTGGGCCCTCCGGTAGCCTAGAACCCTGGTCAATGCGCTTCAATGCCACCGAAATAGTGATTTTCTCATTATTTGTGAGTCGCCTTTGATCGCCAATAACTAATCAACAAAGCGAGCTTGAGTGCTCGAACGAAACAACAACAAACCCTTTCATTAGTTCGTATGCGCGTATAAAGAGAAGAGCAGTGTGGAGTTCATAATTGCAGTTTGTTCTGTGAGTACCCGCTATTTGGTAATCGGTGACGATAATTAGGGCTTGTGGTGCCCGATTGACGGTGAAATACCAAAACTCCGACGCACCAACAGTACTTTTTCAAAAATAAAATGGCTAACTGTTCTAACTACAATGGATACTACCGTGACAAACTACTAAAAGAACCTTGGAGGTCTCCTGGGTGCCTTCACCTCAGTAGATCGCCTCACAAATGTGCTCATTGTAGTATCCTCGCTTACCTTCACCTTCACTTTGACTTTTCTTTGGTATCCACATGTCGCTCTGTACAATAGTTCATATAAACAACTAATCTATGCGCGCGTACGGGTAAGATTGTACCCATGCCACCCGTACGCTTTCGACCTGGGGAGAAAAGATTCAATAAATAAAGAAAAGTACAATCCGACTCAACCCAGAACAGATATAATAACCATAATAAGGAATCCTAGCTTCGATAATTTCAAAAACACCGCAAGATCAAGCATTCCTGTATATTCCCATCATTTAGCCGAAATTTCAGTGAAATTAACTGACTTTTGAGGAATTCTTTCTGGTCGATCGGCCTGTTTTTGTGCGGCTGCTTGGGCGGTCTCCCAATCAGATTGGACTTTGATGTTGGGTAAAGCTCCCGTCGGGTGCGTCCGACGTGCGGCGCCGCGTCCTAGTTTAGGCGGCTTTGTAGCTTCTTACGCCAGGATTTTCATGACTTTCCGTCACGTTTCGGCTTGAAATGACGGAAAGTCATGAAAATCCTAAACTAGGCCTCTAGGGGGCCACCTTGAAAGTGGCCCGGCCTCGGCCGGCGTGGCCGTCATTCCGCAAGATCCGCCCCACGCTAATCTAGCCGCTCCCCCTCCTTCTTCACCATGCTCGCTCGACAGGTACGCTGCTCCATCCCCATAGACGCCCGTACACGCCGGCGTCTCCGCTATCTTTTGAGCCGTCGCGCCGCAAGATACGCGCTCTGCAGCGCACACACCGGCCCATTTCCCCTCGTTATGGATCTAATCTAACGGATCATTCATTGCGCTCGCATGTAGATCATCCGCCGCGTCGCCACGCAGACCCCGCGCAGCGCGGCCATGTCCACGCTGGTGGTGGCCGAGCACAACCAGGCCCAGATCTCGGGCGCCACGCTGGCCACCGTGACGGCCGCCTCGCAGATCGGCGGAGACATCACGCTGCTGGTGCTGGGCAGCCAGGCCGGCCCCGCCGCCGAGGCCGCCACCAAGGTGGCCGGCGTCAAGAACGTGCTGCACGCCGCCGACCCCAAGTACGACCACCTGGTGGCCGAGGAGGTGGCCGAGCTGCTGGTGGCCGCGCAGAAGGCTGAGAACTACTCGCACGTGCTGGCCCCGAGCTCCAACGCGTCCAAGAACTACCTGCCGCGCGCCGGCGCCAAGCTGGACGTGGCCCCCATCTCGGACATCCTGGCCGTGGCCGACAAGGACACGTTCTTCCGCCCCACGTACGCTGGCAACGCCATCGCGCAGGTCAAGTCCAAGGACGCCGTCAAGCTCATCACGGTGCGCCCCACGGGCTTCGAGAAGGCCGCGGCCGAGGGCGGCAGCGCCTCCGTGAGCCCGGCCCCGGAGGCCCCCACCGTGGGCAAGACCAGCTTCGTCTCGGAGGAGGTGAGCAAGTCGGAGCGCCCCGACCTGGCCTCGGCCCGCGTCGTCATCTCCGGCGGCCGCGGCCTCAAGAGCGGCGAGAATTTCGAGATGCTCTACAAGCTGGCCGACAAGCTGGGCGGCGCTGTGGGCGCCTCGCGCGCGGCCGTGGACGCGGGCTTCGTGCCCAACGAGCTGCAGGTCGGACAGACCGGCAAGGTCGTGGCCCCCGAGCTGTACGTGGCCGCCGGTATCTCCGGCGCCATCCAGCACTTGGCCGGCATGAAGGACAGCAAGACCATCGTGGCCATCAACAAGGACGAGGAGGCTCCCATCTTCCAGGTGGCCGACTACGGCCTCGTGGGCGACCTCTTCGACGCCGTGCCCGAGCTCACCGAGAAGATCTAAACTGGTTTGCGCTAGATCTAATGCGCCTGGCTTGCTGCACTCCTAAAGTTGAAGCAGGATGCGAGGTTTAGAGCCGAGTGACGCAAGCAGAAATCCGACAGGCCGCACAGCCCATATTCATCGCAATAGTGAGTGCTATTCGTCCGTTATCCCCTGCCTGGCTTCCCTCTTGTTTTGGTCTTGCTGTGTCTTGTGTTTCTGCCCAGGGGACGATCGCTGAAGTTATTAAGGCCGAGTCTGTGCCGGTTGTGCGGTGACAATTGGCACGGGAGTGGCCCCACCGTGATACGCTCCAGGCTCTTCTTGCTCGTCGCGACCAGCTCGATCCGTGCTTCGGCGCTGCGCATCGCGACGTTCTTCACGGTCTTCGTTGCTCTTGCCGATCAGCACGGTCAAGAAGAACAGCAAAGCGGACAGAAATGTCATCGCTATCGCGAGGTACAATTCTCCGCAGTGCACGAATCGCCCGTAGCCCCGACGACAGTGCAGACTGATGTTCGACAGCAGCAGAATGAGGTTCGACACGATGAGGCAGATCAGCAGCACCAAGTCCGCAATCTTCTCGCAGTAGATCACCGGGTTAACGCAGAGGCGAAGCCACTCGACGAAGATCAGGAAGGCGAACGCGTACACGAACGCCAAGAAGTTGATAATCCTTGCGAAGTTCATGGCGCCGCTTGTCACGACCACGGCGACAGAGCGACCCCCACCAGTGCCTTGGTACGACACGCCGGCGGTCTGAAGCGCAATGTAAGCCACCAACGAGGTGGCAAACTGGAGGAACCGGAGCAGCACCCGCGTCCAGAACAGGCAGATGCGACTTCCCATCGATCTTCCCTCCGCCATCTTCCGATGAACAACTTTGCTGTTCTTCTTGGGGCTTTGATGCTTTCTTGAAAATGAATTGGGACTCGAGCTGCAACCGCGTCCAATTTCCTGAGAATGTTCCTGATCTGCGACCCGGGCCAGGTCCAGTTGAGTGTGGAAAATGTTTTCTTTTTCATGTTCTCAAGTCATGAAAGCCAATGGAGAAGCATATTCCAAAACTCTTCATAAGCAAAACTCTTCAATTCCGCTGAAATGCGTCAAAATTGAACTAACGTTAACTGCCTACGTGTCCTTAGGCCTCGAATACTCGTCTCCATGTTATCACGGCAGCAACTTACACACGGGTGGATGCATCTTTCGGTGTCCCCGCCCCCGTTGGGGTGGCTTCCCCGTGGTAGTCCCCACCCGCGCCCTCGTTGTGGTGCCCTCCCGCGTCACCGTCGGAATCGCTGTTGGCTCGCCCCTGACGGCGCGGGCCCATGGAGCTCTCGCAGCAGTCGAACAGGAAGGTGACGAAGTACGAGAACGACGCGAGGAACGTGAACACCACCGCGGTCTTCAACTCGTTGCAGCGCAGCATGTAGCTGTACACGGAGCAGTTGGCCACGTAGTCCGACACAACCAGCACGATTCCAGCCACAACCAGCATGGCTGCGAGGATGAGATCGATGAGCGGCTCGACGAAGCGTGGCGTCGGTCGCGGGTAGAACCGCATCACCTCGACCACCAGGAGGAAGAACAGCCCCACCAGCATTCCCGTGTAGGTGACGAGCGTCGTGTACGTCGCCGCTCGACTGCCCAGCATGCTCGAGTACCCGTAGTACGAGGCCCCCACGAAGGCGCGCGACACCGTGGCCAGCGCCACCAGTGACAAGGCGAAGTCGAAGAACCGGAGCAGCGACCGCGAACAGCGCATCATATCTCCACGCGCCATGTTTCAACTGGAATTCTTCGTCTTCTTCTTGGCTTGCTCGGCGTTTTGGGGAATGACCAGAGTGAGCGGAGAACAAATTGAGGGAGTTCCTTGCATCCGGGACGGGGTCACGCTCGCGACATGGCGCCTATGTCGTTAGCATGGTCGAACTGGATGAGGAGTTTTAACGGTTTGGTTGTGCCTTATACTACGGCAATGGGTGGGAGTGGCGTTAACATCGTTGGCGTTGGCGAGCACACGCTGTCGAAGGGGGACACGAGGCTGGTCAGCACCATCGGCGACTGCGGTAAGCTCGCGTTCGTGTCGCCGATTGATTGTCTTGACTCTTCTCGTATCGGTGACAATGGCGGCAGCTTGGAGGCGGGTGTCGGCCTTGTGAGGTGGTACGGTGTCGATGAACTGGTGACGCCTATGGATGTGAGGGTGGCGATCTCGCTGACAGCCATTTGGGCGGTTGGTTCATTGGGCGGCTTGGGGAATATCACCGGGTAGTACTTCAACGCTAGGATGAGCAGCAGCATTACCACGGCGCATGTGATGATGACCTCGAGCTGTAGCATGTTTGCTCTCAAGGGTTAGAATGGAAGTGATCTGGGTCAGAGCATCAGAACTTCGGTGTAGTGTAGCAGCGGCGCTGAGGAGCTCCGATGGGGAGGATGCGCGACTATCCCATGATGGAGCTTGCAGCTTGCTGTGGGTTGCGAGGAGCTGGACGGATGTGGCGCTACGTGGCGCCTGAAGACAGAAAGTATTCGGGATAGAGCAGTTTGCGCGCCTGCCTGCAGCCTTATAGAGGTCTATGCGGACACCTGCAACGCTGGAATGCCTCGGCTCAACTCAAGGGCATGTCTGTACAGTACATCAGACACTGGCCTTGTTGGTGTCCTCCAAATGCTTTCGTGCTTGTGTTCTGAATTTCAAGACGCATCGAAGTCCACACATGATCCCATCCGAGGCACGGCGGCGTGGGTGCTGGTTCAGTTCGCCGTTCGCATTGGAATTGCCACCGCCTTTCCAGCAGCTACGCTGAGTTGAGTCAACATCGAGAGCGACGGCGAGTTGAAGTGAATAACAATTCATTGATGCTCTGCTCAACAATCTTTCCCACCTTCTACTCAAACCAAGCGTCCGAAGGGCCTTATCGCTATCACCGGGGGATGAACTGGTGGGATCACGACAGGAGAGTGCGGCAGTCGCTCCTCGCCTCGTATTGTTCGCTTGGGCGGACTGCAGCCCGTTCGAATGGGGGACACGAGGCTGGTCATGACTCTGGGGGATCGTGGTGGCCGCTCAATCACGTGAAGTGCCGGGTGCGTTGCAGCTTTGGGGGTGTCAAGGCTGAACGGTGAATGAACTTTGGAGCTCGGCGTGGGCCACGACATGTGGTACGGCTCGGGAGACATGATGCCGCCGCCCACCTCGAGATCGATGCGTTCTCTCTCCTTCTCCTGCTCCTGGCGGCTGCAGAGCGAGCGGAAGGCCTCGTAGAGTCCCCGCGCGAACTTGAACATGAGCGCGAGCACCAAGACGCTCGCAATGACGGGGATGACGACTGCGAGGACCATCGCGACGGCCATGCCACTGACGCTCGTTCAGTTGACTCCGAGCGCTCGAAAGTCGGAATGAGTGAATGAATCGACTGGCGGCGGTTGCGGAGAAGGCTCCAAGTCTCATTTGGTGAACCCAGCGCGCTGCCCACATCCGCATCTAGTGGCGCCGCTCCATACAACGAGGATGATGTTACGCTGGACGTTCGCCGTTTCGATGCTTGCCTGTGGTTAGTGACGCTCAATTCGAAGCCAACTCCAGCTCTTTTGAGGCTACGAAGGCGTTTGACATTGAATTGAGGAGCGCTAATACATTATGCAGTTGACTGTCCCTGGACTGTCTACACCTTGGCGCCGGGCGAGTTGACCCCTTCGATCGGAGACAGTGCGCCGGTGGGCGTCATTTCGAGGTGATACTGGCCGGGCACTTCTGTCGGGCCGGACGGTTCCTTGCTCGTCGTGAGGATCGACAGCGTCAACGTCGCGATGAAGCCGAACACGGCGAGGAACGTGAAGGCGACCGAGGCCTTGAGGTTGTGGCAGTGCCACACCAGCTCGCAGTACTCGAGGTAGTCGGACGCAGCGAGGCAGATGCCGCCGATGAGCAGCACGAAGGCGAGCACAGCGTCGATCCCCTGCTCGACGCGCGTCGACAGTCGAGTGGAGAAGTTGAAGATCTCCACGGCCCCGACGAACCACAGAGTGTACAGCATACCGGTGTAGTTCATGAGCAGCACGAAGTTGGACGAGTGGAAGGTGATGCCCCCCGCGGCGACGAAGGCCAAGCCCAGCAGACAACACAGGAGCTGCGCGCATCGGAGTGCCAGGTTGGCTCTGGCCACGTTCGCTCCGGTCAGCAGAGCGATCATGATACTGAGTAGATACTAGAAGTCCTTGATACACTTGGGCTCTTGAGTCGAAAAGCGCGAATGAACGGAACGTGACTGGGGATCAGCAGACAACTGCGGTAATATCGCCGCAACGCCAAGTGGGTGCCCAACCATGCGACTTTGCGGCGCAACAACTGCAACCAGCTTCAGAAGAACTAGCAAGTCGTCTGGCCACCGCCCAGGGATTCCTGGAAGACATTTCGAGTGCATGTTCTGGTTGCAGCTGGTGCGTGAAAATGTATGGAAGGCGGGTAGAGCGCTCGCCATCTGAACTCTTCGTTACGTGAGTGTGAGCAGGAGAGTGAAGCTCGTTTCAAAGTGTCCGCTGCTCGAGCAACGGAATAGGGAGGAGAATTGATATTGACATGTGGGGTGCTTCAACTCGGTCTTATATCGCTAGACTTTGAAGCTTGGTTCGTCACGATTGCCTATAGGCGACGGTGGTGGGGCGACGGGTGTGGATTCTACGTAGTAGACCTCTGGAGCTTCTGTCGCTGCGTGGGCGGCGTCTTGAACCGTAGTGAGGCACGTCAACGCCAGCGACGCGAGGAAGAAGGCCATCCCTACGAACGTGAAGGCCAAAGCGGCCTTGAGGGTGCCGCAGTGCACGTTGAAGTGGCCGTAGATCGTGCTCTTGGAGACGTCGCTCGAGTCGCCCAGCAGGACGCCAGCGGCGAGCATCAAGAGCGCGAGCGCGGCGTCCACCGCCTGCTCCATCCGCGCCGTCAATCGGTTCGCGATGTGCAGCGTCTCGACGACTAGGGTGCACCACAGCGCGTACAGCATGGCCGTGTAGCTCCAGGTGTAGACGAAGATGGATACACTGCTATAGAGGCCGTAGTAGACCCCCACGAGAGCGTCACGAGGATCATCGCAGTCAGGCAGCTCACGAACTGCAGCGCGCGCAGCGAGACCCGCAGCGTCCGCAGCGTGGAGGGCAACACCAGCATTGTACCCGGGCTTGAACGTGGGGCGTGGAGGGGGGTGGGGCGCCGCTATTTTCTACGGGGCAGCTGCGAAAACGCTTTGCGGTCCGGGTGCAAGTTGAAGTTGCCTCGACGCTGATTGGCTAATTTTACGGCTTGTGTACACTTTGTGTAAAGTCGTGCGGCCGCACTTCAACGTGCACTGTACTACAGTACAGTGACTGTAGCCAGCGGGCAAGACAATGGGTTAACCACAGAGAGAGAGAACTCGGTGTGGAGGAAGGAAGGCCCACCTCCATGGAGCTGTGCCTGTAGTAGAACACACTAAGGCACTAGAGAACAAAGCAGAGCAAAGTAATACTAACTTGGAATTGCATTCACTAGAAACTTGGGTACGGCAGTGAAGGCTGCGTCTCCGAATACACACGGCTGGAGGGGCGTCACCCTCGCCCTCCCCCTTGCAGGCAGATGATGAAGAAGAATAACGTCATGCTGCTGGCGGCTTACACCTTGGCGGCGGGTCCGTCGCCGTGGGTGCCGATGGGCGAGAGCGCGCCCGACGTGGGCGTGACGTTCTGGTGGTAGGGCACGGGCTCCTCGACCTGCACCTCTCCGGCCAGGCCCTGCGACGAGCCCGTGGCGGCCACGAACGTGAGGCCGAGCGACACGAGGAACAGGAACATAGCGATGAAGTCGAAGGCCGTGGCCGCCTTGAGGTTGTGGCAGTGCCAGCCGTAGCCGCAGTTGCTCGTGTAGTCCGAGGCGGCCAGGCAGATGCCGGCCACCAGCAGCGCCAGCGCCAGCGCGGCGTCCGTGGCCTGCTCCAGGCGCAGCGCCGGGCGGTTGGCGACGTGGAACACCTCGACGGCCACCACGTACCACAGCGTGTAGAGCATGCCCGTGTAGCCCATGAGCAGCACGAACGTGCTCGAGTGGGTCGCGTTGCCGCCGTAGAAGCCCGCGGCCGCGAACGACATGGCCAGCAGGCTGCACACGAACTGCAGGCCGCGCAGGCCCAGGCGCAGGTACGCCATGTTGGTCGGGGACGTGGCGCCGATCGGCATTGTGAACAGTAGAGCTGTGACTTGGATTGGCTTGGAGAGTGTTGGTCTTGCTGCGGACTGCCCAGATTCGAGAATGGCTCGCTCCCGTCGAGTTGGCACTGCCAAGAGAGTGTTGGACAATACGCGACACGCCGTTGTGTACCCAAGAAAAATGCGCTAAAAAGTCGCCAAAAAGCGACTTATGGCGGCGCCTCTCCCCTGACTTTGGACGGCAACTTGTGTGTGAGCCCCGATGGCGTGGCGGGCGGCTGTTGCTGTCTGTCATCTACTGCGGCGCTGTGCGGCCGCCCGCCGTCGAGATGAAGCTAGGTTGGCGGCGTTGCGGGCTGGATTCCAGCGGCGTTAAGCAATGCCGGACTGTCCTGGAGTCAAGCCTGTGCTGCTGGATGCAAGCTGCGGTCGTGCAGTGGGCCGTTGTCGGAAGGCGGGGAGCAGAGAGGAGAAGGCGGGCGCACCCAAAGTTGCCTAACTCGAGCAGTGGAGGATCGCGACACGAAAGCCACGCGCTTTGCAGCTGGAAAATCCACCGCGTTGTGCGGCCGAGCCAGCTGGTGCTTACAACAAGAGACTTATCTGGCCATGGAGAGCACCGGCAAGACGTTGCTGCCGAACGTCGCGGTCTGTACGCCTCATTTCTAGAAGGTCTTCACTTTGAGAGATCAAAAGCAGCAAGTTCTCTGACCTTGTGTCTCAAAATGATCTGCGAGCAATAAATTGCCATGGCAATTGCCTCTCAAGGTACTCGCGCCGCATCTGCTACATGGAAGCAGACTGCTTGGCGTCGCAGAAGCCCACACATCGTTGGACACTCATGAGCGCGGGCATCGATGCCCGGCTTGCTCAATAGCTACACTTGTAAACATACCGACCCTCATCATGCTGAGCATTTCGGTAATCTACACTACACGTACCAGCAAGACAAGGAATTCTATTGATCCACCACTACGCAGGACGTTCATTTAGACTTGAGATGTGAACACAGTTGACGGCACATTCGATCACGGAGGGGATTAAACGTGTGCTTTTAGTGCTCGCGTTCCTATGAGCAAATCGATAAAACTGCAGCGCACGGCGCGAGCAGCGAGCTGCCCTTCCGCTGCAATTCAGTATCAGTGCTCGGCACACAGCAAAACATGCAGACAACAGAGACTGAAGCAAGGATGTAAGGAGCTGATCTAGGCCCGCGGGGGTGGAGGCCCCCTCGTTCCACTCTCATCAACGCCTAGACAGTGAAAAGGCCAAGCTCAGAACGAGCCCGGCCACCACCAAGCATTCCTATTCCACGCCTGTAACAGAGCTAGCGCTACGGGGGAGAGCAAGTAAACTCCTGACATAGAACGTGGCGGCGACGACGGCGCCGGCAACAATTTACACAATACACTGAGCGCTTCCAAAGCTTTTTCCGAACTGAGGGCTCTGTCGGGTTCAGACCGCTGCACGAATGACTGGCGTGCAGCCAATAAAACGAAGTAGTGTTACGAAGTAACGTTAATGAAAGTAACCTGTAAGTAACTCCTGAAGCCTCTCTAAACCAATGCCGGTCGACTTTGAAAGGTGCTCAAATAACCCGAATAGAAGCCCGTCAATCCGTCGCCGCACAATCGACCGCCGTCATGCTGCTGCAGCTCCTGCGCCGCGCCGGCGCCGCTCCTGCCGCCTCCAGACTCTTGGCACGCGATGCACAGCCGCTAGCTCTTTCGTCTCGCCGCCGCAGTGTGCTCGCGCGCTTCAGCAGCGGCCAGCCGAGCGCCGACAAGCCGCTGGGGCTCAAGGACGGCGCCCAGACCGTGTCGGGGCTGTCGCCCACCATGCAGATGCTGGCGGTGTACGTGGTCGTGGCCATGTCGGCCATGGGCGTCGTGGCGCGCTTCAAGAGCCGGGATGCCAAGGAGGATGAGGTACTGTACTCTACAGTCGATTGCCCTAGATGGAAGATTTCCATGGAATCGTTCCCTCTGTTGACGTTGCAGTTGCCTTGACCACCTCCCGGAAACTGAAGTTGCGCTAACGTCACGGTTGCGTCATTGTTGCCTTGCTTGAATAAGAACGTGCGCATCTTCAACATGGCCAAGCGCGCCGTGGTCAAGGACCGGCGCGTGTTCGAGACCGTCGGGTACCCGAAGGACTTCGAGCGCATCAAGGAGCTGGACGCCGACGGCTCTCCGATTGAGCCCACGAGCAGCGAAGGTAGCTTCCGGGTCAAGGGCGACAGCGGCAGCGTCGTGGTGCACTACCGCCAGAACCTGCACGCGGGCGAGGACGACGAGGAACGCGACAGCAGCATCGTGACGTTCGACGAGCTGAGCGTCGAGCTGGAAGACGGCTCGCGCTTCTCGGCGCTCGAGTCGTTCCTGGCCAACCAGGACGTGGTGACGCACCAGAAGTCCGAGACGCTGGGCAACAAGATGTTCTTCCCCGTGATCGGCGGCGTGCTCATCGGCGGCGTGGCGTCCTTCTTCGCCATCCGCATCCTGCGCAACCGACCGTTCTACGTGCACAAGCTCGTGCTGGACCACGTCAACAACCACGACCTGGCGCGGCAGCTGCTGGGCCACCCCATCAAGAGCGACCGCTCCAAGTACGTGGGCGTGCTCAACAACGAGGCCGCCAACTACACGATCGCGTGCAGCGGGCCCAAGGGCAACGGCACGCTCATCGTCAAGGCCTTCAAGAAGGAGAACCCCGACGAGAAGGCCGCGGAGGACAAGGCCACGAGCGTCATGGCCACCCCCGGCACGTCCTGGAAGTTCTCCACGCTCGTGCTCTCCGTCGCGCGCAACGAGAAGCGCAAGAACAAGAACGCAAAGACCATCAACCTCCTCAACGGCGGCGACGTGCCGCCCGCGTCGGCGCAGCGGCATTAGATTTAGAGCAACCGACCGAGCTGCTAGATGGCGTCTCACATACCCTAGTACCGAATAGAACTGAAGAAGGCCAATTAATCAACCAACAACCTGCTATGGTTGGACGACAGTGGCACCGCGTCGGCTCTCCATCAATCTGTATGGCGGAAGTCCGGTTCATTCACATCGTGGTACACTTCGGTTCGAATGGAATTCGGCCACACTTTGGAAGACCGGATGTACCAGTGCTTGGTTAGACACTAGCTTCACTCTCGAATTATCCCGGTGGCGCCTCCATCGCCCAGCTCCTTCAGTCAACCCCCAATGCATGTGACCATGCCTCCGTACGCAGTCACGCTCGCCTGCATCGTACTGCGCGGCTTCCAACTGGTGTTCGCCTTGGTGTCGATCATCACAGCGGCGATGACGTTCCGGATGTCCCGCGCCTCGAACGGCCAACCCTTCCGTCTCGGCAGCGCCGAGAACGTCTTCGTCTTGATCGTGGCGTACACCATCCTGCAGTATTCGGGGGCGTTGCTGGTGCTCGTCGAGCTGTTCCCCATGATGCTTCGTCCTCGCCCGAAAGTCACCCGAACGACGGACACTCTCTTGGTCATTCTGGCGCTCGTCTCGGGCATCGTGCTCGCAACCAGCGACTACGAACAGGACTGCGACCGGTACGCGGTTCTGGTGCGCTGCAGGAACATCAGGTCCTCGTACATCTTCGTGCTGCTGAGCGCCGCGCCTCTAATTGGCTCCGTGCTCCTGACTTTCGTGAAATCCGAGGACCTCCGACTGGCCGAGACGGACGAGTGTCGTGACCGAGCGGGCAGCTACCGAATGGTGGCCATTACCCCCGTGAGCTGTTCACTGTCGCCGATCGACAACCGGGACATTGTCACGGCGTAGAACGGGGGTGTAGAGCATTCTACGTGTAGTTAGTGGGGGAAGAACCAACTATCAAACCGAATCGTGAATTTCATACGTCGATTTGGTTCGTTATTGCTACTGCGCTGCACGACGTCGCATCGCAGTGGGGGAGCGCAGTGCCGAGCCCGCGCAGTTGCGGCGGAAATCGAGGTGTCCGCTGCTCGGACGGCGCTTGCGACTGCTCTCGTAGTACTTGTCCTGACGGCGACGTGCGTTGTGCACTCGGTCGTAGCGCTTGTCGGCGATGTAGATGACCACGAAGCACGCGACGAACGTGAGGCCGATGGACGCGAAGAAGAGGCCGAGGCCGCACACGGGTCCGATGCACGCGTCGCCCGTGCCCTTCCTGCCTTTGGTGGGGCCGCTTGAGATGGTGGGGGCAGCAGCGAATACTTGGGATAACTCGTCTTGCACTGTGCGTTGTCGCTGGACTGGGACTTCAGTCTTCACAGCGGGGAGAATCACTGGGCTGGATGGGGTCACGATGCCACCTCGACGGAGTGAGTTGGCGTTGGTCTTGGCTGGGAACTGCAGGACCAGCAGAAGCATCGCCATGACTAGAGGAATGGACACCGACGGCTTGACTCGCATACTTGAGCGACTGATTGGGAGACGAGCTTGAGCAGACGAGAGGGGATTGTATAATGTGAGTTGTGAAGGAGGCAACATCGATTGGGATATCGCTGCATCATCGCATGATTGTTTCTCTAAATGCATCGGCTGAGAAGCAAGCGAAACCAACGTTCCCTTTTATCTTCGAGGATGCAGGGTCCTACACTATATATGCGGTCCACGTACTGCATCCACTGCATTGCATGTAGGATCAAGTATCTTTTGCTGAAGCGATCTCCGTCCTGCAGCAGGACTGGAAGCAGGACTCCTGCTTCCAGTCATTTTCCCCCATTTTGCAAACGGCAGAAGGTTTCTCCTCCGCTCCAAGATAATCCTAGCGTTCAGGCTGTATTCGTCAACGCAACTTGGGGCAGTTCATCCTGTACCTGCAGTTTCTTGATGGAAGTGTTCAAAATGGACGTATGCACACCAACACCTCTGCTTCACTGACGCAGAACAGAAGGAGGTTCATGCTTTCTGAGAAAGAAAACGAAGCCAAGGTCAAACCGAAATCGTTCTCGTAGCTGGTACTTCGTGGACTTGGGGCTAAATTCAGCTACATTCACACAATTGACCTCAAGTATTTCAATTCGTCTGCGTTAACGAACACGAAGCACGCCATGAAGGTAGCGCCCACACCCGTAGTGATCGACACAGGACGCGAGCTCAAGACACAATCCAAATTCGGTGACAGCCCTAAAGCAATTTCTTCACAAGAACCGGCAAACACTTGCATAGACCGAGTGCTTGGTTGCGCTCGAAAGCTAATTGCAGGCTACAACAAGCTCCAGGTCAGTCACCGTGGAATGTACTCGCTGGAAAGACTGAAGGCGTTCCAGGCGTATTGCGAGAACACCTCGACAGCTCGTGCTGTCGCTGTCTGCCTGTTGACCCCCTTTGGTTGGCATCGTGTTGCTCGAGTGCATCCCCGTGGTTGATCCAGAGTTGCGCTGGAAAGCCAACTACAGCTTTTGGATCCGCTTCTTCCTCAGGGTTGATCGTTGCCATCAGCACTACGTACCAGATAACCGGTCTCATCGATCGCATCTCCATCTCGCTGATGCAAAGTCTTCGCATCGCCGTAATGCTCATCGACTGTGTATGCCGGAACTCTGATGGTGATCTCCGTGGTTTGGATCTTTCCCGTTACGTTTGGCGTTGTCGTCGGAATTGGCCCCTGCTTCCTCGTCTTCGGCGTCATCTTGGTATTCACGATAGGACTGAAGCCATTCAACACAAACCCGGGGCTCGCCCACGAAATGCAGCTTCAGTTCTGCGTACTGGGAGTGCAGGGCCTTATCGCGATCCTTTATCCTGCGCTTAGCGGCATTTACACCAAGGCGAGCTCGAATGAACGCGCTGGACTCGTCCTACTGCTTCCTCTAACCAAGTTGATCATGAAGAACATTGTGGCGTGGGCCTCCTCCCACTGGGAAGACCACGTTCCTCTCATCGCGGTGTTTCCGATCGAAGTGTTCAACGCTTTGTACGTCGCGACGTGCATGCAATCCACAAAATCTACGCTAGCTACGATCGTTATCATCACATTTGACGTCGTCAGCGGCATCTTCACCTTATACTCGTTGGTTAACCGTACGCGAGCCATCCAAAGGCAGATGCAGCGACTGGAGGCTGATTTGCCGAGTGAAAAGCACGCAAGTGGCGAGCTTATTCCCAAGGTGATGACTGCCTCGCAACACCTTAACTCTTTCCGAACGCGCCGAGGCTCAGTCATTCGAGTGCGCGCGCCACTGAAGCTCCTACTTGGAGTCGAAAACGAACGTGTACTCGACTCACTCACTCGTCACTTGGCTTGGTTTGAAAAACGCGAAGCCATACGAGATCCCAATGCTCAAGACGACGATCATAAGCTGGAGTTGGCGGAGAGTTCACTTCAACTACTCTTTAACTGCGAGTACCATGTTCTTGTAGAGTACGTCGAGTGTGCTGAACCCATAATATTCGGCATCTACTCAAGTATTCAGTGCCAGCTTCCTTCGAGGAAATTCTACCCCATGACGCACGACATGGAGAGAGGCCAACTGGAGGAATGTTGACGAGCCTCTCGGTGTATGTCGCTCTGGAAATTTTATCCTTCGTGGTCATGCACGTGGCGCTCACGTGGAAGTTCAAGCTGTCGGCACTCTATCAGCTAGCGTTTGTATTGGAAACTCAGGTTGTGCAGATTCAAGCGCGACTGTTCTTCTGGATCGTCTTCATCCTCCAATTCACACTGCAGCACTACGGAGTGGACTTCAGCTTTCACTTCGCGTGGATACACTAAATAACACTGATACGTTGAGGGTTTTTCTTTTTCCTTTTCAATTGTGCGAACCCCTGTTTTGAACTTGACGCTGAATGTTCGTCACAAATAGATTTGTATCGCAGAGATAGTGTCATGGCAGCTATTTTGATGAAGTTTTCGAGCGATGGCTAAATCGATCAATGCAGCGAGGGTGCTGGTACTAAATTCAGCTTCTTACTTGATAACAACACTTGTAGTAAGTTGTTGTAAGCGGCGAAGACTAGAAATGAATGGCAAGAACCAGGTCAAGGTGGCCGCTGGTCTCGGACTCGACGAACCAGGGCCCGATTATCCAGAGCAGAGCACCCACAAACCAAGCACTAGACCTGAGCAGCATCCCCGAAAGCAACCTACACTGGCGGTCAAAAAGCTGCTCAACTTTGGTCGAAAACTTGCTGCTGGCTACAATAAGCTGCAGGTTAGTCACCGCGGAATGTACTCGATCGAGCGGCTTCACGCGTACCAGGCCTATTGCGAGAAAACTTCGGTGGCCCGAGCGATTGCGGTGTGCGTGCTGACTCCGTTGCCTTCACTACTTGCGATTATCCTTATCGAGTGTTTCCCCTTACGTGATCCATTGCTCGGGTGGGAGGCCAACTACATGTTCTGGATTCGATTCTACATTAGCGGGATTATTGTCTTCATCGGATGTACGTATCAAGCCACAGACATGGTGGATCGCGTGAGCATCTCGCCGCTCCAGCGTCTGGGTATGAGTATGGTAGCCATGAGCATTTACGTTGGCACGGTGATACTTGTGTCGTATCTGTGGGTCTTCCCCGTACCATTCGGGATCGTCCTCGGTATTGGGCCATGCTTCGCAGTCTTCTTGGTCGCGTTGATAATAACCATCGGGCCTAAAACTTTCAAATCAAATCCCGGTCTGGGTGACGAGATTAAGCTGCAGCTTTACGTCTTAGCGGTGGAAGGCTTCATTTCGGTACTTTATCCGGCATTCAGCAGCGTCTACCTCCGAGCGAGCTCCACCGGCCGCGCGGGCCTTGTGCTCTTACTGCCTGTGATTAAAATTCTCATGAAAAACGTCGTGGCGTGGTCCTCGTCACACGTTGAAGACTGCATCCCCGTCGTCACGGTCTTCTCGATCGAAGTATTTAACGCTCTGTACGTGGCGACGTGCATGCAGTCCACGAAGTCGACGCTGGCCACGGTCATTATCATCGTCTCGGACGTATTGAACGTTATTCTGGCGTTCCGATCACTGCTTCATCGCTCGCGAGCACTCGAAGAGGAGCATCAAGCTGCTGCGTCCGAAGGCAACAAGCACGCATCGGTAGAGCTCATCTCAACAGTCATGACCTCCTTCCACCACCTGCGGACGTTCAAGACGCAGAAGGGGAAGGAGATTCGAGTTCGCTCCCCTGTGAAGCTTGGCATCGCAACCAATACCGAACACGTCCTAGACACTTTGGCGGAGCACCAAAAGCAATTCGTGACTAACGGGGCTCGGAAGGTTTTGCGTGCGGCTTCAAAGCTGCGAGGCAGTGCTGTTAGTCGTGGAAGTACCAGCGCCAAAGCGAGTGGAGCCTCTAAAATTTTCGTCAAAGAGTTCGTCCCAGCAGAAGCTCCTCCAGGGCCTCTCGAGCCGCACCATGTACTGGTGAAACAATCCGATACCGCACAAGTTGCGCAGAAGGAGAACCTGGAGCTGATAGAGGGCACACTTCAGCTGCTGTTTCATTGTGAGTACCATGCTCTTGTCGAGTACGTCGAGTGTGCCGTCCCCATCCTCTTCGGCGTCTACTTAACGATCCTGTACCAACTTCCAGTACACAAATATTACCCGCACACGCGCGACTTGGAGGCTGGGCAGCTCGAGGGAATGTTGACGAGCCTTTCCATCTACGTGACGCTGGAAGTTTTGTCCTTTGTGGGGATGCACATGGCGCTGAAGAGGAAGTTCAGCTTGTCTGCGCTGTACCAGCTATCGTTTGTACTGGAAACTCATGTCGTTCAGCTGCAGAGTCGGATGTTCGTCTGGATCGTGTTTATTTTGCAGTTCACACTAGCACACTACGGCGTGGACTTCACTTTCCAGTTCGCATGGCTGTTTTAGGCCGCGTAGGTCGAGCTGGGATTACTGGGTAGGATATGCAGGATCGCGGTTAGAGTGGTGTGGTAGGATAACACCACAGCTAAACTATTTTAGATGCTATGGGTCACTGCGATAGTGATCAAGGTACTAAATACCTGAAAGACTAATTTGAGCTTCCAAGTAAGTGAAACGTGCACCTGCGCCTTTTGTCAAATTTCCTGAAGATTTCAACTCGTGTCACTTCTGTAATGAATGCCAAGAACTTGCTGCAGGTGTCGCCCGCGCCCAAAATTGTTGGGCCGACACCCGACCTCAAGACGCAGAGTAGGCGAACCAGCGTGACGGAGCAGCGCCGACATGCACGATCCACTCTGTGGACCAGGCAGGTCTTCACCTTATGGCAAAAGCATACAGCTAGCTACAGCAAAGTACAGGTGAGTCATCGCGGGATGTACTCGATCGAGAGACTGCAAGCTTTCCAAGCGTACTACAAGAAAGCCTCGGTGGCTCGAGCTCTGGCCGTTTGGGTGCTGACTCTGGTGCCGTCATTACTGGCGATACTTTTCATCGAGTGTATTCCCTTGTCTGATCCGGCGCTGGGGTGGAAAGCCAACTACATGTTTTGGATCCGCTTCTTCATTAGCGGGATTATTGTGCTCATGGGCAGCACATATCAAGTCACGGACATGGTGGATCGAGTGAAAATCTCGCTACTGCAGAGCTTTTGCATGAGTGTTCTGGGCTTCGGGATCTACATCGCGACTGTGGTTGCAATAGCCTATCTGTGGGTGTTTCCCGTGCCATTCGGGTTCGTTATCGGTATCGGGCCAAGTTCGCTGTCTTCTTCGTGGTCTTGATACTGACTATAGGGCTCAATACGTTCAAGGCGAACCCCGGTTTGGCTCACGAACTCAAGTTACATTTCCACGTATTAGCTACTGAGGCTATCATCGCAGTAATTTATCCAGCTTTCAGCAGTGTTTTTCTCCGAGCCAGCTCCACTAACCGCGCCGGTCTCGTGCTATTACTTCCCCTCATCAAGCTCGTCATGAAAAATATCGTGGCGTGGGCTTCTTCTCATGTCGAAGACTGCATCCCGGTGATTGCCGTGTTCTCTATCGAAGTCTTCAACGCGCTGTACGTGGCGACGTGTATGCAGGCCACGAAGTCGACTCTCGCCACCATTGTTATCATCTCGGTCGATGTCCTGAGCGGCATTTTAGCGTTTCGTTCGCTGCTTGGCCGCACGCGCGCGCTCCAAGAGCAGCATGAGCGATCCCAACTATTTGACTCGAGGGGCAACAGACGAACTACGGATGAGCTCATTCCGACTGTGATGACTGCATCTTGGCATCTTCGGTCGTTCAAGACCAAGAAAGGCAGGATTATTCGCATCCGCTCTGTCGTGTAGGAACACATACTAAATTATATAATAGCACACTTTCCCCACCAACAACACCCACCAAGTCCCGATGACTCAATGGGCTTGTTAGGGTTAGAACCTGAAGGCCCAGGAACTTTCCCTTGCACCGGGTTGATGTTTCCTCTGTGCACCGTGTTTCCGCTTAGTCAACTGACGGAAACCCAGCGTCACCAGCCACGAGCAAAGGCTGACACGCTCTCACACACAACATAAACCTCGCAGACCCTCAGGAAGGAAGGGTCCCAGCCAGTCACGGCTTGATACGAAGGTGCCGGAGCTATACTCCAACGGGAAGGATAAATGGAGTGCGCTCTCGCTCCTCCACTACACGGCGATGACTCGCCCTTCGTATACACGGCCACTTCTTCACTACTCTTGGCCTGACCACGGGTAAACGAACGCTACGATACTAGCAGGCGCGTCCACCGACAGTCATAATCCTACCAACAGGTTTATCCAATTGCTACGGGAACTCACCGATAGCCCGGACGTCTTCCTTGAGTGGTTGGAAGGAAAAGCTGTTCTGTTCTTGTTGCCCAAAGGGCTTATCTGTTCTATCTTCTCTTTCCTATGGTTCAATACAAATATCTAGTATAAACACGTCCGTTTTGGATCTTCCCAAGTAACCACCGACCCTTCAGAGCCTCCTCGACGCCCCAAGAGGCCTCTCGATGACTCTATTGGACGATGAAGACTTGGAGCAGTCGAACGGTCGTCTTAAGTGCGGATCTCGGGTCAAAGTTCGCTGTAAGTTCGGATCGTACTTGAAGTCCTGGGTCTCGAACTTGGGTGTCGACGAGTCTTCGGCACCGGTCCAGAATGGCCAATCAGCATCCGCCGAACATTGCTGAACATGTCCCTACGACTCGGGTCGCCACTGAAGCTTGGTCGTCAGCTCGATTCTCGTTTACCACAGCTCCCCCATGAAGCTCGGGCTGGGAGCCGACGCTGAGCGTGACTTGGATTCGCTGGTGGGCCACCACAACGCCTTCGTGACTCGCGGGACCCGAAAGGCAACTCGGTTTGTGTCAAGATTCATTACTAGCGCTTGGGGCTCTGCACGAATCAAGCCTGAAAGTCATGACAGTCATTCCAAGGGACCAGAGCAGCCTACTGCGCACCACAAAGAGACCGCTAGTTCTCATGAAGAGCTGCAGCTGGAACTGGTTGAGAGCACGCTCGAGCTGCTTTTCCACTGCGAGTATCACGCTCTCGTTGAGTACGTCGAGTATGCGGTTCCTATTCTTTTTGGAGTTTACTTGACGATCTTGTGCCAGCTACCGACACACAAATACTACCCGCACACACGAGACATGGAGCCCAGGCAACTTGAATCGATGGTGGAGAATCTGTCAGTGTATGTAGCTCTGGAGGTGCTGTCGTTCGTGGTGATGCACATCGCGCTCAAGCGGAAATTCATGTTGTCGGCTCTATCAATTGGCGTTTGTACTTGAGACGCATGTGGTCCAGTTGCAGAGCAGGATGTTCGTCTGGATTGTATTCATTCTCCAGTTCACGCTGCAATATTACGGCGTGGATTTTACTTTCCAATTCGCCTGGATACATAAGAGTGAAGGGGGTTAGCACAGCAAGCTTTGTAACTTAACACCAATTTTGCAGTATGAGAACAATCTATCCCTGCATACAACATTACATTTATGTCGGAGCTAAATTCAGACTGACTCGAATTTGCCTTCGGGGGCTAGCAGCATGCATCTCAATCGTCTCGTCCAAGTCGCACCGCTGCCCAGTATCGCTCAACCCAAGGACAAGCGATCTCACGAATAACGAAACATCTCGATTTCCGTGTTTTCCGCGATGGACCACGCAACTTCGTTATCTTAATGTCTTGGTATTGCTGTGGTCTCGATGTGTTTCTACGTCTCGAGTGTGATGATTCTTGCGAGTATTTCGGTATTCCCCGTTCCATTTGGGCTCGTCTTCGGTACTGGTCCGGGATTTTTCATTTACATTTCGCTCTGTGTACTTGCTGTCGGTCCCAAGACATTCACAATGAACCCAGATCTGGTCCTCGAATATAAGAAGCAAGTGCACGTGTTGATGGTGGAAATTGCGCTTTCCATGACCTATCCAGCTTTTTCTGGACTACATTTTAACGCCAATCCAAACTATCGTGTTTGCCTGGTATTACGGCTCCCGCTCACAAAAATCGCAATGAAGAACGTTGTGGCTTCGGCGTGCTCGCACTTTGAGGATTACATGCCAGTCATGACAGTTTTCTCGGTCGAAGTGTTCAACGCCCTCTACGTTGCAACGTGCATGCAAGCGACAAAGTCCAAAGTGGCGGTCGGTGTTATTATCATTCTTGGTGTCGTCAACGGGGGGTTCTCGTTCTTCGCACTCCTTGAACAAACTCGCACAGTTCAGCACACGCTGCTATACGATTTATCCAGCGACAAGTTGGCACATGGGGGTGACCTAGTCACGACGATGCTGCCAATTTGCCAGAAACTCCGAGCTTTTCGGACGAAAAAGGGCAAGTTGATTCAAATATGATCTCCATCGGACTGAGACTTGGAGAAGAGGTGGAGCGCACACTGGACTCGCTAGTTGCTCAGGAGCTTTTGTTCTTGAACCACGAGACACGGAAAGCATCTGAATCGGCTCAGAGGACGTTGTCAGGCGAGTTATTTTTCAATAACAACAGCAAGCACAAGAGATCAAGCTCCGTACGCACGAGTGAGACTGTGGCAGAGCGGCGCTACTCGCGGCAGCCGTCCTATCGATCCCTATCACCTGAGCAGCAGCACCTCGCTCTGGTGGAAAACACACTTAAGCTGCTGTTCCAGTGCGAGTATCTTGCTCTGATGGAGTACGTCGAGTGCGCAGTTCCAGTTCTGTACGGCATTTATCTGTCGGTCTTGTGCCAGCTGCAGAACCGACAGTACTACCCACAGGTCCAGGGTATGACGCCCGATCAGCTCGAGGCAATGCTGACGACCATGGCGGTGTACGTGGCGCTGGAGATTTCCTCCTTTATAGCGATGCACGTCCTTCTCGAGCGCAAATTCAAGCTGGCGGCGCTGTTCCATGTGGCGTTTGTACTGGAGACACACGCCAGCCAAGTCCAAAGCCGCCTGTTCGTCTGGATCGTATTCATCCTGCAGCTCGCGCTGCAGCACTACGGCGTGGACTTCACCTGCCGCTTCACCTGGGTGTCTTAGCCCACCAAGATGGCTACATTTCGACCACTTCAACGACCATCACTCACGTTCTTGAAGTGCAACAAGTGCAATATCTACCAATCACCAGTCCCAGAAACGTCGTGAAACGACCAATCAACGTCCGTTTCAGCGAAAACGGAGACTTGCCCCCAAAGGATCCACTCATTCTTCAACTTTCCTTCAACCTCCCACGCGTGACTTCGTAGCCCACCACTAAACCAATGAACCCGGATGTATTGAGTTTCCTCCTGGAAAACGACCCGCTCCTCTCCACTATAACCCCCACCAATATAATGTCCCAGGCCATGGTGTCCTCCTTCTCTATGGACGTGTCGGCCTACTCGAGCGACCTGTACGAGTACCCCGCCACCAAGCGACCGGTCGGGGGCCTGCCCAACGCCTTCGTCATGTGCTGGGAAAACGTCCTCGTGCCCACCAAGTGGATGCACCAGCAGCTGGGGCTCAGGTCGTCCCTGCAGGCGCTGCAAGCCGCCAAGCAGCGCGCCCTCCGCACTCCGAACCTGCAGGCGGCGCTGGCCGCAGTGGAGCAGGACCTCATCCAACTGCTCACGTCCGTGTCGAGCTACGGCCCGCTCTTCATCGTGAGTGAGGAGAGCGTGCAGTTCGTCGAGGCCATGTGCAAGACCTTCTTCCCGAGACTGGCCTTCTGTCTCGGCAGCTCGACTACAATGACGAGTGTGCACGTGATTGGATCCCCCAGCAGATTCCAGTCCGCAGCGGAGAAGGCGGCGTGGAGAGTCAATCTGCTGCAGAGTCTCTGTCGTGACAGACTCTTCGGCGGAGCGCCGCAGAGGCTGCTGGACCCTCGAGCAGGCAGGTTCGGACTCGTGGTGGTCAGTCCGCACCAAACGGACATCGCGGCATGCGGCGACACGTACAAGGCCGCTCCGTTCGTCGTGTCCAAGAGCGTCCACGTGCAGAACGCACGGAATTTGACGCTCGGAGAGTTCACGCTGCATCTGAGGACTCTGGCGGAGTACGTGCCCCAGGCTGCTCCGTGCGACACCAGCTTCGCGATTCAGCTCTAGCTCATCATAAGCTTGAGAGATTCAACTAACTAGAGGTACCAGTATCGACGATAGTAAAAGGGTTTTATGGTATTGCTGACCGTGAAATGTCCGACTTATTGTTTATATAGAGACGTTATCGCCTAGCTGAGCTGAGCTGAGCTGAGCTTAGCTCGCTTGCGAGGGTGTCGGTCGTCTCTGCTGGCTTTGCTGCCAGTCTTGGTGCGCCAATTCCATCTATTAGGACAAGAGGGTCGTTAGTTTGACGCCGAACGTGCCATCGCTTTCCGTCGACGAAGGCGGGTTCGCACCTGCTTGAAGTGACTCGCGGCATCTACCAGCGCTGCGTCTGTGGCTCGTCGAGCTCGGGTCAGCGCCGTCTTGCGCCTCTCGTGGAATCTACTGGCTGCGTCGCTCTGGATGGAGTCTCCGGTATCTGCGAGTTGTTCCCGAGTCCGTGACGTCAACGCAGTGAGTTGGAGCTTCCACTTGGTCATGCGCTCGCTCCGCTGCTTCTCGTAGTCTGCGAGGCTGAACGTGGCCTTGTTCTCTGCTTCGAACGTCTCCTGCTTCTCGAGAAGGTCCTGCTCGTGCTGAGGCAGCTCGACTTCTACCTGCAACGCGCGGTACTCATCCATGGGCGAGTGGAGAGAAGGGAGCGGCACTACTGCTGCGTGGCTCTCCGATGCTATGCTGCTACTCCCAATCGACGATGAGGTCGATAGTGGAGGAGCTTCAACTGAAGACATCGACGCCGGCCGACGGACGTCATCAACCTGCACCAGATTCGGCAACCTCTCGAAGAAGAGATGCGCGTTGGCCGGCATATGCCGCACGAACGGGTTGCCAGCAAGACGCAGGATACGGAGGGACTTGGGGAACTCGCTCACGTCGAAGTCGTCGATGTAGTTCATAGACAGATCCAGGAACTTAAGCTGCAAGCAACAGGATGATAAATGTCAGCCTGAAGCCACACCTAAACGATCTCAACGCGAAGAATACTACGTACATTAGGCAGGTGCCGGAGGTTCTTGACTTCTCGGATGCGGTTGCCCGCGAGCGCCAGGAACGAGAGCTGGTCGTGGTCCTCCAGTCCTTCGATCGTCTCAATCAAATTGTACTGCAAGTAGAGCTCCTCCACGTGTGTGAACGCGTCGAGGTTGTCGATCTTGCCGATGTCGAGCCAGTCGAGACGCAGCAGCTTCTTGCTCAGCATGGCCTGGATCTCCTTGTCCTCCTCCTCGGGCGTCCGCGCCCGTCGCGTTGGGTTCCTGGCCATCGCGAGACTCTCGCGGATGAGCTTCATAGTCAGCGGCACTGGTCGCTCGCTCTCTCGCTGCGTGGAGACGGCGACTCCCTCGATCGCCTCCTCCAGCGCTGCCATCTCGGCGTCGGGGTCCGCCTGCTCCACCTCCGCTTCGTCTTCGCGGCCCTCAATGCTGCAGGTCTGCGAGGGGCGCGTGGTTTTCAGTCCGAGGCTGGCGAGCCACCGCTTGTCCCTGGAGGCCATGACGCGCTCGATCGCTCGCTGGTCCTCGACGCGCTGGACGTTCAAGGTCGCGAATAGCTCCATGACTCAGCTCAAAGCTCGCAGTCGGATGGAAAGCCTGCGACGCACACGGCTATGCAGAATGCCCTCGAGGCGAGTCTTTCAGCCGGCTTCTCGTTCTCTTTGGACGATCCCATCCGTTACTCCAGGTGGGACGAGGCTGGTAACGGCAGGCAGGGCGTCGACGCACCCCTCCCTCGGCTGGTCATGTTGAAGTGCTCCAGCCAATCAGAGGCGGCGGAGACGAACTTGAGCCATGCCTCATGTGAACCACGTGGCCACTCTGCAGCTGAAGCGTGAGGCAGAGCTAGTGGCTTGCGAGCGAGCGCAGATCGACCTTATCACTGTACGGATGCAGAGCTGCTGAGCTGTGCTGCATGGGTCAAGTCCAAACCCCATGCTGTCCAAATTTAGACCCTTTTCTATTTTTTTATATTGCGTCCAGGTGTCGTAAAGGTGTGCTGGTCTGGTGATCTTGTCCTGCTTGGCTGGCTGTTCCACTAGCTAGGGTAGCTCTATATCTGGGCACCATCGAGACCCGGGTCAGACCTCTCTGGATGCTGCTAGTCGCCGGAGCACACGCAGCTGCACATGGCGCTGTTCTCCGACTGCTGGAAGAGCCGAGGCGCCACGCTCGAGCGATTGCAGCAGCTTCTCGAGTACGTCCAGCGTCTGCATCCACCCAGCCTGGCGCCAGACTGCGTTCTTGTCTATGGCAATGACTGGCCACCCGCCCTGACTGACGCCTTCTCTATGCATGCAGTGACGCGGAAGACCAAGCTGAGACCGAGCGCAAGGCCGCGACCCACATCCAGCGGCTCTTCCGAGGACAGCGAGTTCGAGCTGCTGTCACCAGACAGACGTAAGCTTTTGATCTCTCTTGGTCTCCTACCACACGGATACTCACCGGTTGGGTCTCTTCAACTTGATCTTTTTTATGTAGGGATGCCGAGCTGATGATCTCCCGCGTGTATCGCGGCCACTTGGGGCGTCGGCGCTGCAAGAGGCTGCGCGCGGAGCTGCATCGAGCTCATCGACGAGCAGTGCTCGACTACTACGCCGTCGTCATCCAGAAGCTCGCTCGCGGCATCCAAAGTCGAGAGCATTGTCTGGACTTCCGCAAACGCAAGGCTTACATTAGCGAGCTGGCCGCCAAGGGGGACAGCATGCGTCGAATGCTGGAAGAGAACCTGCGTATACAGCAAGAACGGGAGCAGTTAGCAAGCGAGCAGGCTGCGAGGGAGGAACTGGTCAAGGTCACGCAAGACCTTCACCACCTCGTGAGCACGAAGGCTGTCGCAGGGATCTATAACTCGCCCATGCAGCCCGCCAGCGCCACGAGCTTCGGCGTGCCCGTAGAGACCCATATAAGGGAAAACGCTCGTCGAGTTGTGTCCACACGACTAGCAACCGCCAGACCGCCGTCAAGACTGACGCCGTACCCGCCTTCTAACAAAGTAACTCTGCAAGCCACAGCACCCTATGATGCTGTCCAACGAGAGACACGGAAGCAAACCAAGTACCACAAGTTGAGACGCATCGGCACGACCGACTTCGCAGCCGTGTACAACCCAGAGCAGGACGTCGCGCGGAAACTCAACGCACCTGGAATCAACGCAGGCATCGAGTACCTGGACGACTGGAGGAATCCCTACAAGAAGCGAGGCGTGCCACGCAACAAGCGAGACCTGCTGCCGCAGTTGTCCACTTTAGGCCACGCACCCGAGACTCCGTTCTACTTGACCTACGGCGGCAACAAGAGTAAAGTGCTGGCCAATGACCGCTTCGACGTGTAAAGTAACTATTAAAGAATAAACACATCCAAATATGACACAGCAAAACCATGCATCTTGCATGGATACTGTGGCTCAAAAAGACACGCGATTGCTCGAGTGGCTTCAAGGCAAGTTGATTTTGACGTCTTATTCCTCGCTGACCTTCTTCAGTTCGTTCATGTTGGTGCCCGCCAGACGTTCACCTAAACAAAAAATAGAAGCAACAGGTTAGTATACACCTAAACAAATCGGCAACAACAAAAAAACAAATTTTGTTGCCAACCCACCGAAGAATTTGAGGCTGGAGATGGCGGTCTCCTCGGCGCCGTTGTTCTCCTCCACGAAGACGGTGATGCTCTTGACGCGCTGGAACTTGACGAAGCGCAGCTCCACGTCGTTCTCGGGCAGCAGGTCCTCCTCCTTCAGCTCGATCGTCTGCGTGGGCTCCACGTCGCCGGCGTCCGAGAAGCCGAGGTTGGGGCGGTTCACGAAGAGTTTGATCACGCGCGGGGCCTCCTCTCCCTGCGGGGCCACGATGTTGAGCGAGAAAACCTTGACGGCGTCCTGGAACTCGATGTAGAGCATCAGTTGCTCTGTTTAGAGAAAGATACGGGAGGTTAGAGATAAATACGGATTTTTAGAGAAAGATATGGATAGAGCTCACCATCGGCGTCCGACTTGAGCTGCAGCGTTTCGTCACCCATGAAGAGGTTGCCGAAGGGCTTGTTGGGGTCCTCGTTCAGGCAGTAGCAGTCCTTGGTGCTGATGGCCTCCTTCAGGTCCCCGTAGGGCCGGCTCTTGGCGGCGGCGGCGGTCGAGCTCATTGCAATTTGAGACGAAGGGCGAAATGACGATCCTCCCCATAAAAGTACTCGGGGTTTGTATAAAATACGTATTTATCATGGAAAGCTTATAATTTGCCATTCAGTGTGGGCCACACTGGTTATATAAGAATTCCATCAGAATGTACCTAAATGATTGTCAAAAACGTCAAAAACTCAAATTTACGTAAACGACTTGTCAAAAACGTCAAACACGAAATTCGACCGCCAATCCACGCCATCCCAACAATAACCATTCTCGTATTTACGTAAGTTACATATGGGATTTCCGGAATTGGTGTATTCCCACCCCTTGGAGTACGACACATTGACCGAGGTCCACTATTGCGCAGTTAGGATCGGAAAAACGTAAGCGGCGGTAGCCGACGATAAGCAGAGACTCCTATTGGTCAAAATAAATCTATCTAAGCACGCATAGAGTTCAACGCAATGAGATGCTTTGGCGACCTCAGGCTCCATTGTGGTTAAACAACTACTTTCCGAACACAGGTTCACGTCACCCTGCATGTCATGTTCATGTGTAACACCAAAACCAGCGCAATTTTAAGCTACAGCGTCGGGTCGAGGCCGCCCAAGCATTTTGGGTAAGCATCGACCACATTTTCGTTCTACATCAAATTATCTCCGTCTCTCGGTACTCTCGACAGCCTGTTGTTGCTGTTAGGTTGCGTCGTGCCATTCGTTCAGCGGTACATCACAGCGTAGCCGCAGACGGGAGAACGTCACCGCCCATGGCGTGACCGTGACCGTCTCCTCCGTCTCGGCCGAGTCGACGTCGGCAGACGTCGTCTTGGAGCGGGTGGCACTCATGGCCGAACCAATGACAGCAGCAACAACAGTCACTAGCTGCCTGCCGAATGAATGAGTGAAGGGGGTCCACTACTCGGTGGAGTATCCTCGGCAGGAGTAGCCATACATAGGATCGAAGGATGGTCGCCATGGGTGCCATCGCGAAAGGTGACCGCGCTGTGCGATAGTGGCCAAGCGGTAGGCGCTCATGAGTCGCGATGACCGCCGCTGTTTGTTCAAACTTTGAACTTATCACACTTCGTGTTTAACTCAAGTCATAACGCGATCCTTTTCCGGATGCGCCAAGCTCCGTCGTCGTAGTATGGCTTCAGCTTTTCCGGTTGCCACGGCCCAAACACCTACATTTATCTGGAATGCGTACGCTAGTAAATTCGCCGCTTCGATATACATTACACTTGAGGTCTTTCCGAACGACTTAAGTTACTTGTACTGTAAGCTAGTGAATCCGTCACTCTTTCGGCCCAGCGCTAATCAGGTCATTTTAGCTAATCGGAGCGCTCCATTAAAGCGTCGGCGGCCGGAACTTACGTTTTCTCAAGTCAATTCAAAGCCTAAGCCAAAACTTGCTACAGAATCGCATTCAATACCATCGAAGCGAAGATTGTTGGGTTATGGTAAAATAACGATTTACGCCTTTCGTTTAAGACAGAATTGGAGCAAATCACAATACAGTTTATGATTTATCTTGCTCAATATTTTGGTTGGTTGACATTTAATATGAGCTTATACTACAGCACGGGCCAACGACCAATGCCACCGAGTCGGGCCCCCGGTGACTGGCCTGTAGTGTAGCTTTGACTCTGGCATCTTCTTCGGACATATTTTATATATGGTAACACTTTGTGCAGCTTAGTTTGTAGTGCAACTGCTGGGCCATGGACACCAACATCAAGATCACCATATTGATTTGCAAACCGCCTGTTAGATCACGCAATTAGCCGTTGCAAGAGTATGCATTCAGTTGCATCCTGTTGCTTCCTTGAAAGAAGGTAACAAAATATCGTCATCGTTTGACACAATGAGGGGAGACGTGACTGTTGTAAGCAATACTGTAGGTTAACCTTTATCACACAGCTCGAAAGCCCACGCGTGGGCGCGGCAAATATCCCACGCGTGGGGTTTGCTGCATTAGATGTTATCATAGAAAAATGTAGTATAAAAATCTGCAGCTGAGCTACCTATACTTCCTAAACAGAGTGAGTGTGCACTGCATGACAGTCTCGGTTCGTCTTCAGCCCACAAACACCGAAAAACTGCTTCTTGAGAGGGCCCGAGCAGCCTGTGCAGTAGAAAGACGCTTTCTTCCCGCAAACACCACACTTTCGCTGAGCGCGCAACGCCGTCCCACTGAGGCGCTGATACTGCTCCAGCGCGCTAAACGCTCGTAGTGTGTGTGTAGGAGCTGCATCACCCTCGTTATCATGCCCAGTACTCACTCGAGTCGAACGCTGCATGGTAAAGTCGTTAAAAATCAATTGATACGAGAGCTGAGAGGTGAAAGAGTTGAAATCAGCGATAGAAGAATCGCGGCAGCCTGCTGCTGTTGCCTCGTATTGGTAGGCGCGGTAGGCGTCTACAACAACCATCCCAAAAAGAGTTGCAAATAATCGATGGTGCCACTTTGTAGTGTGCCAAGTCCTCTCCATTTCGAGATACCCTTGCCTGAGGTGGTCGTGCACATCAATAGTGGAGAACTTCGAAAAAAACAGTTCAATGATTTGGGGGCGCTCAATACGACGCTCGTACTGCAAAGTCTTCGCTTGGCCGCCGTCAACAATGAGTTTATGGCGTCGTCGGACGCTATCAGCGCCAGGAAGTGTTGTACCGCGGTTGGAAATTATGCACTTGGGTTTGCGGTCTGCCCAACAGAGTGCGTACATTGGTGTGTTGTTCGGAGTCATACTCTGCAATATTTTGAACGAACCACGAGTTGGAGAAGTGGAAAACCACTCATGCATGTAAGTTTTCGGATATTCCCGCGAGGCAGTCTTCACCATGCCCATAAAGTAGAGACCACATATTTCGTCTAGCCTTACCAACGTTTTAACAGAGGCAAATGCACTGTCCGCAACAACGGTTCTCCCAGAACCTATATAAGGCTCTGAGAGGCGGAGTACCACAGCAGTGCCCTCACCAAATTGCGCGTAAAATGGTTTCTGCTTCTGACGCTGTGCACCTCAACCAACTCTAATCCCAGCAATATTCCAGAGTCGCCGTCGGCAATGGCCTTGATCTCAGCCCCGATGCCTTCCGGCTTCCGAGGGATCTTAGTTTTGTGTGGGATCCCGTCGTGGCAGTGTTTCCCCTCCTTGCCTTGCCATGCACTCATGCATTCATCGACGCACATTATATCTCCCGGAGACACTACATCTTGGCGGCGACTGTTATAGCCAACAACTATCGAGCGGATCGGCTTCCACAGATCATCGGAAGGAATATCATCCGCGAACGACAGGGCGCTGGAGATCTGTTCGAACGTATGACGAGAAATACAAAAGCGCTCGCCGAAATTTGCAGCAGTTCCAACGAAGCCCTCTGAGACTTCCTTTTCCCAGTAAGCTCGCAGCGAGCCGCGTCTTGGCTCCACAGCCATTGCCAATCGGACTCCTAAAAACCTGAAAAAATCTCCTTCTGCAATAGCACGCTGTCTGGAAGCAATCAATTTCACATTGGTGTGTTGAAGTGTGCTCTGAATAGTCGACCAAGGGTACATCAAAAAGAAGTACTTGATAAACGTTTTTTCGCCGAGCTGCAACATTCCTGGCCAGCGAAGCTAGTCGTTCGCTTGCGAAGTAGGGCTGCTGGGTCGACAAGAACACTTGAGCAGAACTCCCACGAGCGGTTGTGTGCTAGAACTTTACCATCATCAGATATTCCAGACACAACTGCTACACTGCCAGTATTCCCATCGGCCAACTCGTCTTCTTCGGCTTCTTGTTCCTCGTCGCTGGCTTCGGACTCAGAAGAGGAGGGCGATACATCGATTCCATCAGCCCCGGCTGCGCTCAAAAGAAGCTCCGTCATCGACTCGGGGTGATGGTGGGATGCCTGGGGCAGCGAGAGTTGACTTCTAGTTGCAGGTACAGCAGCAATAGACCGAGCCGAAACTCTGTCCACCTTTCCGCTATCCCCTTGGACATCGTACCAAGGCTGACCTTGCTGGTATCGATCGCCAAGATGACTCCTTGTAGATCTGCTGTAGCCTTCGTCTTGCCTTCCACCCAAGTTCCGACAGCGTGTTTTGTCATCACCAAAGTTTTGTTTTTGACTGCAAAATAGACGCCAACTCCTTGTGATCTCTACCTTATTTTTGAATAGTCTAAGATACCTGGCGTCGAAAACTGAACCCGTTACAGCTATTTAAAAGTGGGCCCACGCGTGGGCTCGATGGGGGATAAACGTTAACTCTATTCCGCAATAAAATATGTTGGCTGTATGAGTCTCGTGATTTTGAGCGAATTGGACTCGCTTTAGTTCGCACGTGCGCTAAATGTGCTAGCTAAGCTTGTTTAGCTGTCAATTATGAGCAATTATGAGCCCCCCTAAAAATGCCATCAAAAGTTTGTCTCCTTTTGGAATTTCCCCCGTTAACAAACGTAACCCCTTTATCATGAGATCATTTTCGGGTATATTTCAGAAGTATTAGAAAATATCGAGTTCTAAACCTACTCCAGAGCTACAGTAATTTTTATTTAAGTTTCATGGGATACGATACACTACAATGTAGTGCATGGATTCTACATGACATTGCCATGTAGAATCCCGAAACAGGCAACGAGTTTGCTGTTGATTCCTGTGGGTTACAATGAAAACATCTTAAAGTTTTGAAGATTTGATTTGCTTTTTAGAAGGGATAATTGGTTTGGCTGCTCTGGGTACAATAATTTACTAAGTATTTGCGTTGGGGAAAGAAGGGTTGTGTGAGTAGTCCATTTTTTAATGGATTACTAAAGTACGAAAAAGACAGCACCAGTTTATTGTTCCAATCGGTAACCGGACAAAACAAAACATACTACCAGTAGTGGTACAATACAGATGATGACTCCACGACAGAGGGATCATGTTGTACTTCGTTGCGCACTTCGTGATCGAACGGTGGTTGTATGTTACTATGTTACGCGTATGTCTGGTCGAAGCCGTCCTTACTTCTCGATTTCTTAATAACCAACACCTTCGCAGTACCCAGTGGCCGCGTTTTCGAGAAAGCATGCAGGTTCTCCGGGTCTTCGCAGTCGGGGCAACCTGCGCGTTCATGCTGACTGTTGACGCGGCTAGAGCGCAAAAGCACCCGCTCAATGGGTGGTATCCGTGCTCCGAGGTCACTTTTGCGGTAGCAGCAGAGAGACCAAGAGAGCAAAACGCCGAGTGTGCCGTTTACTCCGCTCCCTTATGCCGCCCCGGAATCTGCACAGCTCCAGCGTCAGTGAAGCCAACGGTTGACATTTTCGTGAAGCGTCTTCCTGCTACAGTCGGCAACGTCGCAAAAGCTTCGAATGCATGGCTTTTTGAAGGTGGACCCGGCTTGTCCTCAGTCAATGGTAACTATTACACTTTGTATTATAACTAATTTCGTAAGAAAAAAATACTGACTGATGATCGTTGCTTTTGCTATAGTGGAACGAAAGATGATAGATCTACACACACGACTTGGAGGAGCGTTCAATGTTTACACCTTGGACCACCGTGGCACTGAGGCAATGACTTCTGGGTCTCCACGGGGCCGCGATATTGAGCCGACGGAGATTCCGCGAGAGACTTGCATACGAAGTTCGGAGACCTCGCCTTGTTTTCGGTCACTAGCGCCGCATCGGACATCGCGTCGTTCATTTCCGACTACTCGAATGGGGCGGGTACGTTTGTCTACGGAGTGAGCTACGGCACTGTGTTGGTGGGGCGACTCATGCACCTACAGCCAGCCACTGTGAAGGGCTACATTCCCGACGGTATCGCAACGTCGGCTGGGGCACCACCAGGCAAGTTTGGCAAGTTCTTCTCCAAGTGGGAAGTGGAGTACGGTGAGGTGGGCGAGCACTTTATGGGGCTATGCAGACTGGACGAGGGCTGCAAAACGCACTCCCGTCAGCTAATTTGTCGTCTGCCCTGACCAAGTTCGATAATGATCGTAACTCAAGTTGTGCCACATTGGTGGGTGGTGGGGTCACGAGCACCCCGCCGTCCTACATACTGCGGTCAACGTTGGGTAACTTTTTGGCAAACAGTGATACTCAGACGCTGATCCCGCCACTTGTGTACAGACTAAACCGTTGCGACGCGAACGACGTTAAAGTTTTGACGCAGTTTTTCAAGTTTTTGGAGTCCTCCCCCTCGTCCGACGTCATGGACGATCTGAAGTTCTCGAGCCTCCAGTACTACCTCACCGTATTCTCGGAGATGTGGGAGACACCTGCACCTTCCCAAGCCCAGATCGAAGCGCGCTTTGCCAGCATGAGCATAACCACGGGAAATTCTTACGACCAAACGGCGTTGTATTGCGCCTTCTCGAAAGAAAAATCGGCGGGATGCGATGAACTCAACCTTTGCAGCTACGACGCTCACGGAATTATTTACCAGGGGGAGCAAGGCTGCAACTCTCCCGAGCGACGTCAGTGTGCTGCTTCTAAGCGGCAAGTTGGGCCCTCAGACCCTGCATAAGTATGCGGAATACCTGCTCGCAGCACTTCAGACCAGCAAAAAGGAGCTGGTTACCTTTAACTACTCGACCCACGACACGGTGAACTCGACTCCGCTAAACGACACCAGTGACCCCGGTCTGACCTGCGGCATGAAGGTGTTGACGTCGTACATCAGCAACTCTGGTGACTTGCAGCATCTTGACATGTCGTGCGTTAATCAGATGCCCTCGTTCAACCTCACGGTGCCGTCGAACCACCTGCAAGATTTCTTCAGCACGGATGAAGCCTACGATGGCACCTTCCAAGTGGGGTTGAGCGCCAATTAGACGGAGATGGACAGTTCAGCACGTATTTTGACATCGAAGCACCACCATACACTTGCTCTAATGTATCCAACACCGTTGTTTAGGAACTTTACTGTTTGCCGTGCACACTTGATGCCATGAGATGACTACGGGGCCGTGCATGGTCTACCGACTGACCATTTCGCACCCAAGGACTGGTATTCTTCGCTTGATAAGGTAAATGGATGCATGTTCACGGAAACATAACACCGGGCTGGACTTTAAAAAAAATAACTTGCCACCTTGACGTGCACTTGGTAGCTTGAAAATACTTGAAAAAAACCTGGGGTTTCGAAATTTACCGTTGCAAATACTAGTACGTAGTTGATGTCCTTAGCAGGAAGTTGGCTGGGAAAAATATCAGGAACTTGAATTGTATCCCCTAGACGAATACGGGGAGCTGGAGTTGACTTGTCGGATTCGAGTCGTTTAATACCTTGAAAAGCGAACTGCCTTGACCGAACGGCACTCAGGAGTGGCAGCAAACGCGAAAATTATACTCAAAATGCTTGAGTCCAGATACTGCGCCGCGCGCAGATTGCTGGCTCTGTTGCTCACGACACTGATCATCGCACATCGGGAGCTCTTCGCAAGTTTCTTCTTTTGCACGGGTAGCGGCACTTTGTCAAGCGCGTTGAGCGAATCCACATAGTCGTCAGTAAAAATGATCAGCTGATGCTGCCGGTAGATGCGATTCGGTGACACTTCCAGCTCCACCAACTCGCGGGACATTCTGTTGGCTGGATCACTCATGTGTTCCACCAGGTTCTCCACAATTTCACTCCCTCGAATAGCCAACTTCTTGATCCCCCAGCTCCGTAGAGCTTCCGTGTCGTAGCCCAACGTCACATTCCAGTCGCGTAAAGTGAGCTCCTTCAGGTCCGGACACGCAGCCGCCATATCATTCAGATCCAGCTCAAATTGTCGGTCGACAAGGCATTTGAAGTCGAGCGACAGCGTGTGCAGCCCCTTTCCGATCAGCCCGAATAGACTTGAAACCACTCCGTCGTTTTCCACGTCGGTCAGCGTCAGACTTAGCGATCGAATGCCGCACCGAATCCCCGGATTAATGCAGCTATCCTGAACGAACTCAGTCACTCCTTCGCGCAGATCCAGTTCGCAAACTCCATAGCCGGGAACGACGACTTTCGCCACATCATTCACATGAGAGCCGTCGCAGTTTGCGCGGAAATTGTAATCTTGAGATAACACGAGTGTCGCGTCCCCTGCACTCTCGTATCCGTTGGGTCGAACTTTAGTTCCCTTCTTCACGTCCACGTATCCATGGTTGGTTGCTGACAAGAACGTCCCCGGTCGGAGCGCCGTTGGGTTGGGGAAGTTGCTTATCAGCACGTGAGCAACCGCGAGCACGTGCTCTTCCGTCAAGTTGATCCGCGAAATGGTCAACTTCTGGACGGAGGATATCGATGCGCCGCCCCAGAATGCGTACACCAGCCAGGACCAGTACACCGGGTCATTGTAAATCCCCCGGTCAGCTCTCGCTGCTGAAATTGTCAACGATCTTATGGCCGTCGCCTCTGCAAAGGCGGAGAAGATGGCTCCAAATCGCAGCCCCGGGGTGCCACTGATCTGGACGTCCCAGTTGCTGCACTTCCCCGTTCGCGTCACCATTGCAGCCGAGTCTCCCACCGGATAGCCCAGCGACTGACCGCCAACCAACGCACTGAATAGGAAACCTGCGTTCACAGTCCCCTCTGCACACAGCACGTCTCCCCCATTGGCCAGTTTGAACGCCGTCATGTCCGTCCGAGCGAGCGCCGCCGTCACCCCCCCTATATCCTCGATCTCCTCATAAGTCGCCGCTGCAACTTCAGCCTCGTCCACCTTAACCTTCGCCTTTGTACGTTTCGTTGCCTTCTTCCACGTCTCTAAGAGCGTGTCATCACCGCCCCCCACCGCCTCCAAATGGGCAACGGATGGCACTTTCAACTCCAATAAATTGTTGAATTCCCGCGACAAAGGACCCGATCGCTTCCTCTGCAGTTGCGTCACCACCTTCTGGTCGCCTCGAAGTTCCATGACGGCGTTCGACACCTGCCAGAAGTTGGACGCGACTTCGTTGTGGCGGTTGCCCCCTTTCCCCACTTTCACCTTCTCGAGCTTCGTCATAGCGGCGCGGAACTCCCTCGAGCCCTCCCACGGGTCCGAGGGACACCCGAAGAGCTCGCCCCACGTCACTGCGGACTTCTTGGCGACTGGGTCGCTGGTCGACAGAGCGCCAATGAGGTGGCACTCCCACGTGGGCCACAAGACGTGCGGCCTCCGTTGCGTGCCCGTCCGGGGCGGCAGCGGGTGCCGAAGGAACTCGCACAGCAGCGACGCGAACGCCTCGTTGTCCACCGCCGCGAGTCGGTCGAAGAGCTCCAGCGACTCCCGCACGCGCTGCAGTCGCTCTCTGTCGCGCCGGAGCTTGGGGTCGGAGGGGAAGTCGACGCGGACGAAACACTTGTCCGCCGTCACGAACTTCTGGTAGAAGTGCCACGCGTCGGGCCAGCACTCGATGGCGGCGACCACCACCCCCTTGTCTTCGTCGTCTTGGTCTTGGTCTTGGTCTTGGTCAGAGGCGGTATTGGGCAGGCGCAGGAAACGTGCGAGGGCGTCGAGCCACGGCTGCAGGAACGAACGGCCACGTTGAGGTTGGTGCCATCGTGGTCAAAAGCTGAAGTGAGGCGGAATGAAAAGGATCAAAGGTTAGCGTTACTTCAGCGTAATGACGCATTAGATTTTTTTTGTCGCACCTAGATTTATTTATTTAAAAGTTTATGAATGCTTCCAGATACAAGCTGTTAGAGAAAATATCTTGTTTCCAATTTATGATCAGTTCGCATTTTTTTCTTACGGGGAAGTAAAGTGCATGAAACTTACAGTAGATCGAGGACATGCCGGGTCCGCCTTGAAGAAACCACGCATTCGACGCTTTTGCCACGTCGCCGACTGTAGCAGGAAGACGCTTGAAGAAAATATCAACCGTCGGCTTCACTGACGTTGGAGTCGTGCAGATTCCCGGGTAGCACAAGGGAGCGGAGTAAACGGCACACTCGGCGTTTTGCTCTCTCGGTCTCTCTGCTGCTTCCGCAAAAGTGACCTCAGAACACGGGTACCACCCATTGAGCGGATGCTTGTGCGCTCTAGCCGCGTCGACAGTCAGCATGAACGTGCAGAGTGCCCCGAATGCGAAGAGCCGGGAGACCTGCATGCTTTCTCAACGAAGGCGGTCACTCAGTACTGTGAAGTTGTTGGTTGCTGTGAAATTGAGAAGTGACGACGCCAAGATTAAACTTTAAACGGACATCCGGACACTTGAGGCACGAATCTGTATTACTCTGTCGTCGAGTCATCAGATTGTGGTACTTATGCTTTGTCCTGTCCTGTAAGCAGCATATGCTGAATGAGCTCTTAGAGCATCTCCAACGGTAGTGCAAATCGCAAAAGTGATAAGGCAAAGTGAATGGCCGATTAGCAACATAAACAAGACGAACACGCTTGAATTTTTTTGCAATAGTTCAGTTTCCCCAACGGTATTGCAAAATTGCGTAGTGAAAGCGGGTAGCTCCCTCCGCAATGACCGATAAAGGGTAGCGTAGCTTAAGTTGTCCGCGGCAAAGGCACCACAATAGGCAACTATAGAGCACTTCAGGTCGATAACGGCCCGCCGTTGTTTGCAGCATGCATTTGGGACAACAAGTCATTTGTTCTACATACTGTAGCAACTGCCGGTAAGCCCGGGAGTTTCTATTCATCCGGTGTACCTATGAAACTAGTAGTATATGTATTGTGAGAGCGTTGTGTACCTCTTTCGGACGGGTGCACGTCCATAAATGCGTATTCTCGCCTTGCACTTTGCGTGCAATAGCTGGCAGGTCGTAGTGAATAGCACGCCGATAATCTCTACGCCATCCGGGAATTGCACTATCGATTTCAACTTGTTACTTTCTGAACCCCTATCACTTCCCCGTTGGGGATGATTTTTTTGCAATTTTGCAAATATCGTGCAATTCCTTGAGTTTTGCACTACCGTTGGAGATGCTCTTCACAATGCTGAAATAATACTTTATGAATATGGTATGGGTAAATTTCAACTCTCTAGGTAAGTAAGAAATCGAAGTTGTTGCACGCAGCAGCAGAGCCTAATACTCAATACTTCTCTGTCCTGGCTATTATTTACTTTGAAGACAGACATAAGGAGCCTATTTATTTATTTATTTTAGCCCCCCCCCCCCCGACCGATGAGGACGATTAACCACAGTAGAAGTTTCACGAGGCTCATGGTCGCGTGAATATACAACCCCACAATAGTCTCGTTTGCCCCCATAGTACCGCACGATGACGATATTTGTTGGCGAGTTTATACATGTACTCTGCAGCGGGTCACTGCGTGGTCTAAAAGGCGGTGCATTGCTTACATTGCAATTTGCCTGCTTAAAAAGAAATGCACTGCTAAGTGCTATCAAACGTTCGAAATAAGTGGCAACAATGCGACTTCGTAAAAAAAAAACAGCTGATAAAAAATACCAATTATTACATACCGCTGATCCAACCGATACATGTTTAGCCCTCCTCAACGGCTTCTTCTAATAATTTTAACGCTTTATGCCCCTATAGGTCATATTAATCCAGAATAATCATCGCTGGCTTCAAAGGCATTTACTAGTTTTAAGCGGTGCTTAGTCTAGAGTTGCTTGGCAGTGGAATCCCTTATAACTTCACTGATCTTTTAAAAACACTAGACTGACGCCAGTACAAGCCCCAATTGTATTTTCTTCACTTTGTGACAAATAGTTTGTAAAGCTCTCTGTACGTTCTGTAATAACATGTTGTGCCCACAAACTGAAACTGAAAACGCTGCTTGCGTGACTAAGAGTCGGTCAAGGAAAATCTACCGTGGAGATTGGGCACCTACCGCGGACTCGTATCCTAGAGATCTTGCGATGCGACCACCGTAGGCGGAGATGCAGCAGTGCGCGTCTCCGGGAGTAGGTAGCCGACTAAACCGCAACAAATTCAAATTCAAAATCTACCGTGGAGAGCACTCACCATTACTAATAGGAAATAAAACCTATTCATAAGCTTCCACAGGCGCTTCCATTGTAAAAAATATTCGAGTCTCTTCGATGTTTCCAATTTTAATTGGAAACATCGAAGAGACTCGAATACTTTAAAAAGCAGACGCATCGTCTTCAGTTGGATCATAGTTTGTTTACAGACAAAGTGGTAGTACCATTTATACAGTTTAGGATTCCAACCCACGGATCTGTATGACCAGCACCACCAAGGTTTTGATCGAAGGGATGCAGTGTGGACATTTTTCCTCGCCATACATGCACTGCAGTAGCATTCTTTCTGGAAAATTTTGCACATCGTGACGAAGATGTCAATTGACTTGCGAAAACGTAAGATGGATTCTGCGACGGTATCAAGGCACAATTGGATTGGCTAAAAGTTTATTGAAGTGCCATACATAGGTACAGAGGTCACGTGCAGTCCTATCGAGGCCGGCAGGCAACATCGACTAAGCGGTGACTGCAACAGTCGACAGCCGAGTTCTAGGCGGCGACTTCACGAGCTACCAGATTTGTGTTTGTTGTTGCTAAATGGCTATAAAACTTAAGCTAACAACTTTGGCTTTAGGATACCCTCTACGCCAGCAAGGTTTGCTAGCTTTACACTCCGTCGCACTACTGGGATCAGCTCGACTGCACTAACATGAATGTAAATGTGTGTACTGTTTGAATATAGCTACTACTAGCTTGCAAATCTCGGACAACCGGACTGGCTTGTGTGTCTCTGACGCTTGGGCGGCTGACTGTCTTCTTCGTTTCGCTCTTGATCGGCTTGTCGGATGAGTTTCAAAACAGTTGTAAGCTTAAGCTGTTCAGCTCTTCGCTTACGTTTGCTTGGTTTTAACCGCAGTGTACCGTATCCAATGTTGTAAAGCTCAATAGCGTGTTTCTTGTCACGGATTTCCGGCATAGGTGCGTCCAGCTTGGCCTCGATCCCATTCATAATGTGCCGCATCATAATTGACCGTTCTGACAGCGTCGCTTTTTTCTGCGATGTATCCAGGTCGTCCGATGGTATTCCTTTGTACGGGGGGGGGGGGGGGTAGTTGAGCTTTAGATTTCCGAACCACCATAGCATCCATGCCCCAAGGGGATCGATACTCGGAAAACTAAATTCTCTAGGTAGCACATGAAATTTCCCGCCCCAGACATGATACTGGTGCAGTGGAACTGGCGCTGGCACTACGACGTTGATCGACGGACGTTGGTGAAGCCCAACTTCGTCTAACTACGATCGAATTTCCTCACGCAATAACTCTCTCGTAATATTGCCCGCTGCCACACCCTTTTTCTCAAGTACATGCTCCATTCTCTGCTCCAGTTTGCCAGGCAGCTCATCAATTGACCTTTGCTGCTGGTCAAGCTTCTTGTATAGCTCAATATAAGGCGGTATCCCCGTTGGTCGCATCCAGAGAGACTCTCCAGCAACTAATTGGCCTTCAAGCGTCCTAAGGACAGTGGGGCTTGTAAACAAATGTGTCGAAAGTAATGCATGGGTGGCCGGTAAATGCTGCTGCAAATATTCCGCGTGATGCACGAGTGATGCTAGGCACAACCGCAAAATTCCTGCCATATTGGCTTCGCGAGAGAGAACCGGAAACATAGTCTCCACGCACGATTTCACATTTTTATCGGAGCCATCCTGAAAATGGGGCGGTAAAGTAGCGAACTTAGAGTCATTTACGGGAGGTCCTGCCACTACTCGCCCCAGGAATTGATCTCCTGCGGCTTCATAACGGAAAAAGCGATTTTGAACTCCACCGAGGCTCCATCCGCAGCGAAGACACACACTCACGATCGAGGGACCACCTGTACTTCCTCCACAAGCAAATGTAGCCACTCCATTGCGCACCGAGTGCGTACCGTAATTTTTACCAGCGTCTCCTTACTTCAAAAGGTTAGCCAGCACCTTGCTAAATCGTAGCTTCTGGTTAGAGCCTGGAAATAGTGCCCCCGGTTCCAATCGACGGTGGCATGCAAGATAGATTGCCAAGGCAGTCACCCAGCACGTTGATGGGCTCAGCGGGTTCGCGTACAGGTGGCGTGGATCACGGGGCCCTGAACCCTCCTGGTTAGTCTTCGTCTTCACAAATATTACTCCAACGCTATCGTCTTTCACCACGAGATGCTGACTTTGGAGAGTCTGGACCGACAATGAGCGACACATCAAATTCCACTGCGAAGTCAAAAAAAGATGCGAAAACCCGCCATCACCCGCCACGAGAGTCGAATTGCACAACTCCTTATAAAGGGAGTACGTGAGTGGCTGCTTTCCTGATGTCTTTGGGGTGCTAGTCTGGTCTTGATCAGCCTCCATCCGCTTCATACCGGAGAACAGTTGCTTCATATCATCACCGTACTCAGGAGGCAGCGCAACGTGCTTCACGCGATAAAGATCCTTGATAGCACTTCGGTACCCGCTCAGCGTAGCCGTCTTCACAGAAGCACTCTTGAACACCAGAAAACGCTCAAAAACACTCGGTGTAAACTCACTTAGATTAATGTCATCATCAGCGTCGAAAAACCTGGCGATATTCTCATCCTCCTTAGCGAGCTCGCTCCTGATCCACTTCTTAATCCCGTTGAGGCTGCTCTTGTACTTTCCTCTTGTTTGCTTGGTGACGCATGCATCGCGTATCGCCTCGACGTCAGCATGACTGGTACTCCGCGCTGGAGCAGAAGCGCGTTGCGAGCCTCCATCACTCATGTTGCTGCTGGGTCGATGTTCTTTGTGTGTTGCTGTCAAATTTTAGCCAATGAAGGACTTGATGTAAGCGTCGGCGGCTCCCGCTTACGTTTGCTCAGAAGAACTGTATGGCAACGTTCGCATAATGAAAGCCAGTCAAATCCCGTGAGGAAACAAACATTTCCTGTAAAATGTCAGCTGTCCACGCCGACGACTTCGCAGGAACCCCTATACGCTACTTACGAAAGCGAAGGAATCTGTATTCCCACGCAATACACGTTTGCGAGCACAAAACGACACAAGCATTTATTATAGACATCATATGCTCGTGCCTCTCTCCTAACTTTCCAATTTGGGCTGAAGTTTTCGAGCGGAATACGAAGAATCATGCGCATCGTGCTGCTGCTCGCGCTTACAGCCCCTATATTTGACCGATTCAAACCAGCCATGGATTCAAAGACAACTGAACTCAGTAAACCCCGTGGCCAATTAGAAACTGACATAAAGTTAAATACTACTACTACTGCAGTAGAAATTAGAAGGACGGAGACCAAGATTTGTACAGAGACCGCTCTCTTAGGAATCCGGTCTTTAGTACGATACCTTAATCCCAGCCGTGGTATACTACGCACGAGATGAATACATGGTATGTATGGCTGCTCAGCATAGAAGCTTTCGGGAAGGAAAAAATATGTATTTCGCCATTGCACACGCATGGCACTATCGAAGCGTTTAGCCTCATATTTAAGTATTATCTGGCTGCATTGGTTCCATAACCCTCAGGGGCCACTGCTACGCCCTTAGATCCACCGACCGCGCCGGTGCGCCACTATGTTTCCTCTGCAATCTGGTAGTCAAGTACTGTATCGTTACGATACTATCGTCCATGACCAACCCCCGTGTTCGTTAGCGTGTTAAAGCTTACCGTACCCGGTGGAGCTGATCGCGTGGCGTGGTCAATCCCGTCGTTGATTACTGTAGAGTTATACCGGGCATGTGCACTACTGTACGAGTTCTGGCAGTTGTTCACGCGGTTGCGACCAAGTTCAGCGATTGCGTGGGTGACCCCCATCGGATGGTAAGTAGCACACGACTTTCTATGGCAAATATCGCCTTCCCTAGGTGTTCCTAAGGATACATCGGGCCGTGTCTACCTGCTCCTAACACCGTACCAGCTAGGTCTGAATCTCACTTTCAATTTTTCCGACCAGCTTCTAAGACCAACCCACCCCATGCGTGTCGCTCCAGTTTTGTTGTTGATCGCGGCTACCTTTTTGGCTGCCAGCGAGGCTCTCTCGACCACCACGGACTCCAACAAGGTCAAGACCTCCCAAGTGATTTTGCCCAGTGGACCCAGCCTGCGGCTTCTGAGGAAGCACAACAAGGTTGTCGACGAGGACGAGGACTCTTCCGAAGGAAGGACTCTCACTGATCTGCAAATGGCGGAAATGGAGAAGTTCGCCGAGAAGCTGGGAATGAATTGGGCAAGAGTCCAAAGTGGCACAATGTACTTGCAAAGACACGCGAAGTACGCGGAATACCAGGAGACGATGAATAAGTACATTGCGATAAACCAAAAGATCAAGGCTAAGAAGGAGGAAGCTACACGAAAGGCTGCACGCAAGGCGGCGCGCCGACAGGGATAAAAGGATACCTCAACCAAGCTGGTCCCTGCGAGGTGCTGGTTCAAGCAACGTAAGGAAACGAACCGATTGCAATAGTAGATTCATGGAAGGAAATCTATTGCTCAAAATCCCGTTCGTCAGGTTTTCCCGTTATTATTTTCATTTTTCAGTGAGGTACATTATTGTCACTTAGACGACTACCAATGCCCGAAACTAGTGCAGACGTCTCTTGCCCATCTTGCACATCTATAGCGGTGCTGTAAAGGCATCCGACTAGATCCCCTTGGTTAGCTTTTTTATGATCTTATTCTGACATGACATGGCGTTTGTTCTGAAGATTGTGGGAGGAATGACCCACTTTTCTGCTGAATCTGAGCCTGAAGGCACTTTATGTTGACCGGGGTCCAGATAAACACATGAGGTAACGGGCCCATTTGGCTTCACCTTGCCTGCCACCTACTCATACAACCTTGTGAGGTTTGCTTGGTGTCCAAACCTTGTGCATGCAGCAAACAAGCTCGCAGTTAGCGCTGCTCACACTGTCATGCTACGTCGTTGTTACGTCGCTACAATCGACGTCGCCTATCCTGTTCGCATATGTACGATTTGCTGCACCGGGACTATCTTGATTGTTGTATTGGGGAGGGCCAGATCCAAATCCATGTCATGTCAGAATACGGACACAGAAAATTCTACCGATCCCCTTGCATACCTTACACGGTACTGTCCCCAAACTCCGGAGAGTTCTCATCAAAATGCCGTGACAGCCAATGCCCAACGTCGTTAACTGCATGTGCGATCGCGTTTGACCATCGGTTATCCAATTGGTCCGACTTCAGCTGATAACTCCGGCTGGAGTCCATCGCCACATTCGCTAAGATATCTGCGGTCTTGTTAAATTCCCGCAAGTGGTGGCTCCAGCTGGAGACTCGAGCCTTGTCGGCGAGTCGGCGACTTTGCCAAAATAACGGCCGAAGGTGCCGTGCCAGAGGAGATTTGCGTGTCTTCTGTTGTCGAATGATCATGGCGCTATCGCCGATTACATGAAGCGGTTCTCAACCATGGCGCACACAGGCTTTGAGTCCGGTGAGTAGTCCCATATTTTCTGCTAAGTTGTTCGTGGTAGATGGCGAAGCATAGGACATGCTGGCCAACCAACAGACCTGAAGCTCAGCTATGGAGGCGCCAATTTTAACTACAACCGCTCCACTGCCACCAGATCCAGGATTCCCTCTGGAGCCCCCGTCAAAGAAGAGTAAAAAGCGTCTCCTCCCCGATATCACAGGCACAGACACCAGAGGGCTAGACGTCATCAGAACTTGTCGGAGTACCTTGGCTGCTCTGGTCATTGCCGCTGCATTATGCCCAGCACGTAAATCTAGCGACACCGTATCGTAGCCAGTGGATGCCTGCCAAATATGGCTTACTCGAGCGGCTTATCTGCAGTGATATGTCGGGGTCATAAGCCCGACGTAAATCTGCGGAGACACGAAATCGGCCTCGATAAGCGGCCCTAACCCTACCTTTATGTCGTGTAGCCATCATAAACTTTTATCTTGCTATTTGTATTGTTTAACCTGACCATCATTCTTGAACGTGTTTCCTTCACTCTGGTGGCTTATCGCCTCGATTATGTCTTCCTGCCGACAACTTGAAGTTGCGCTCACTTTTGAATCGGACGGCGAAGGCGCGAAGTCGACCTCCGCCGACTCGCAGAAAGTTATGCGTGATGCTAACTGATGCTTTTGTACGTGCTGTGGCTGGCCGTGCTCACGCCTTGCAGGGACATTGTGCACCTCACGCACTCCGCGATCCATTGGCAGCTGCGCTGCATCGAAGACTCGTCCAGCGACGAGAACACACCGCCGAACGTCGCTGTGGCGCCGCGCCACGACCACAGCCGACGGCCCTGCGGAGCAGACGGCGACGCGAGCGCAACGGGGACGGCTACGCCTCCGTGGCTGTCTCCCAAGCGGACCAAGCGTCGGTCCAAGAGCGCGACGAACCTGCCGTCACCAGCGACGCCGCCACCAACGGAGACGCGTGCGTGACGAAGCCCGACGACTTCCTCTCCAGTGCTGCTGGAGACGCCATCAAGAGCCCCGTCGCGCCCGAGGACGACAAAGACGTCTCACCCACGCCGCCAAGGCCGCCAAGCACGCCGAGACACCGCTGCCCCGTACGCTCGCCAACACCCTGTGCTCCAGCGCGCCATTCGTGCTGCTGCTGCCGTGCAGGCGACAGCTCCGTCCATGGTGGATCTGGCACCGCTGACTCGACGGCAGGCGTCGCGACCGGGCGACATCTTCGTGCCAGTACGCTGGCCGTACAGTGTTGCGCACTTGCGCGACAACTTCAACCCGCTGGCTACGATCTTTCCAGCAGTGCATCACTTCGGGTCCTGCAACTGCTGGAACTCGTGCCGCGCGAACTCCTGTCGCAACGAGCTGATGCCCGTGTTCTGAAGTGCGGCAACGGCCTTGAAGATTCGGCCAAGGTGTTCCTCGGCCACAACCAGCGCACGCGTGAGTTGGGAATCGTGGCCGGTGAGGACATCGACGCTGGCGTAGTGCTGGCTCGGGGAGATAGAGCACGTAAGCTCTTCTCGGGCCAATCGACCGCGCAACCAGGGCTACAGGCTCGTGTTGAAGCAGCGGCCGGAGAAGCCAGCAACCGGCGTCTGCGTTGCAATCAACGCGGGGCGCATGGAGAGCCTCATGCGGTTCGTGAATCATTCATGCAGGCCGGCCGCGGCGTTCGTCGAGCTGTCTAACGGCCGTCGTACGACCGTGGTGGTGGTGACTACGCAAGATATCTGTCGCGGCGAGGAGGTGACCGTGGACTACGGCGACGACCTCTCGATTGTCTGCCGCTGCGAGGTCGCCGAGTGCCGTCACAGCGACATCCAGGACGAGCAAGATCCATGAACACATTGCTGGCGGGCCAAGGGCGCTGCGTGTAGGTCGTTTCCAGTGTAGGTGGTTTGTGAGGATTATGCATGGATGAATGTGGCTGAAAGATGTGAGTTTATTGTTGCCTTAGCTATTCGAATTGACTGAGATGAGGCTTACGGGGAATCCGATGTGGGCGTTGTCTTCGACGTGGGCGCCGAGACTTTTGGCGCCAAGGCGCTTCCGAAGAGCTGTTTCTATGTTTTGAACGCGAAGGCTGCTACTGAGGCGGCACTTTGCGCGCGCAGATTTCCCGTGTTGAAGTTCGCCGAGGGCAGCGTCTTTTGAAGATCGGAGGCGCGTAGCTGGTGAGTATGGCTTGGGCTAGACGCTCTGCACGCCGCCACGGTCGACAGATTCGCTCAGTTTGCTTTTTGCCAGCTCCCAAGCACTCCAGTCCAAGCCCCTCCCCGTCCCCTCCTTTCCAAGCTCCATCCCTCGTGCGTCGACCCCACTTGAGCTTCCTTCCTTCGCTCGCTAGCTGTCTGACTGCCGTTACGTGTTTCCTAAACCTACAGATGGGCAAGAACTCCGGCAGCACCAACTACTCCATGTTCGACATCGACCGACTCCTACACCTCGTCGAGCAAGCGCTCCCGCTTGGCCGAGACGAGTGGGAGCGGCTTGCCGTGACCTACAACTCTGCTCGCGCCCGTGGAGCACCGGAGCGCGACTTCGAGAGCTTGCGGCGCAAGCTCAAGACGCTGTATAGTGCTCGCAAGCCGCCGGTATGCCAGAGATGTCGCCACACATCAAACGCGCCTAGGAGGCCAAGCAGGCCATTGACGACAAGACCAATGTCATCGAGATCGACGACGAGGCCGACCACGACCAAGGCTTCGTGGAGCCCGACTTCTCGTTCGAGGCTGACCCCGACGACGACAACGTGCAGCATGATTCCCAGGGCAGCACCGGTCACGACGAGCCCATCGAGACGGATGAGTCCGTCACGGGCGACTCCACGAGCTTCAGCCCCCACCCAGTCGAGGCGAGTTCCAGGACCTGCTGGCGGCACCTCTTGCCGGCGACGAGCTCGGAGCGCGTGCTCGTACGCAGCGTCCGGCGCCGCTTCGAGCACCTCAAAACGCGCGGCAGCCTGGCGCTGGAGGTCCGCCAAAGCAACGCAAGAGCTCTTCCACCGTCACTGCGAGCGACGGCAGTCTCTCGACGGGGGCGCCAGTCGACCAAGGACGCTCATCGGGGAACCCCAAGAAGGACCAGAAGTACAAGTCCTCCTCGAACCGCCTCGGAGGCACCGACCTCACCAGTTTTCGTGATGCAGTGGGCGCCAAGCGCGTCTTCGAGGAGGACAAGGAAACATTGGAGGCCAGATTTGCGAAGGCCAAGTGCATCAGAGCCATGAAGGCCACCACCGCGCTGAAGAACAGGTTGAGCGGCCTCGGAAGCACCGCCAACACCATGGGCGGCAGCATCATGGAGACTGTCTTACTTCTCCGCGAGGAAAACGAGCGGAAGGCCGAGGCGCGTCGTGCCGACGAGGAGAAGCGGCGTCGCGAGGAGAAGGCCGAAGCCAAGGCCGAAGCGGAGGAGCGTCGTCGCCGAGAGAAGCTGGAGATGGAGGAGCGCGCTCGCCGCGATCGCGAGGAGGCGCGTGCGCGCATCCAGGAGTTGCTGATCTTGATCGGGCGCCTTGAAGAAGAAGGATTGAGGCAAGGATGACGTCTAGCGGAAGCAAATCGTGGACAAGGTAGTGAGGTTTTTTCATTTGCACCGTCTTAGCGTAGCTCGTTGCTTTAAAGCCTCACCAATGAACTACTCATGTTGCTGTACGTACTCAGATTGATGCACATGTAAGCCTTGCTGTTGCAGGACATCTAACAAAGTTCGTGCTGGCAAGCCTTCCAGCTGCGTAATAGATCTACAGAAAGCAGCATCATTCCTACGCGTACTCGCTCAAAACCAGCAAGAAAGTTGAAAGTCAATGAATGCCTCTGTCAAACGACTCCACTACATGTATTGAAATGTATTACAAACTAGAGACTAGTCATCCAGGTGTGCAGGCAGCTCCATCTCGCCCGAGAACGTCGTGCGATTTTGAGAGATGCCCACAGTGCGTACGCGGTAGTTCACCAAGCGGAACAGATTGTTCAGTCTGAGGCCACGGAGTGCCGGCTCGTAAGGTAGTGGTAGATTAAGGCGACTGTAAACCTTTTGAACGCTTCCCATGCCCTACTCCGCAGCCTACCGCACAGAGGTGATGGCGTTGTGGATGGTCCGCGCCGAGCTCCGCAGCGACGGGTGCAAGCGCTCGAGGTCGCCGTCCTTGAGCGGCGTAAGGATGCGGCCGACCATGGCGGTGGAGCATGGGAAGGCTGAGTCCGAGGCGACGTTCTTGCGCGGGTCGGGGCAGTACACGGGGTCCAGCAACTAGTTCCTGAAGCCCAGCGACGTGTCGGAGTCGTTCCATGACCCGGGGCAGTTGTGCTTGACCCACACGATGCATCCGTCTGCCGCGAAGCAGATCGTCCCGGTGACAAACACCGAGTGCAGCCAGCCATTGTACATGGGGATCTGCAGATCCGCGTTCGATGGCTGCTGGACCTTCATAGCAACAAAACGTAGCTGTAACTTATCGCAATACAATTCAGTTTCATAATGAGCGTTGCCTGTGCCTTATAGTTTTTCCCATCGATACAGCCGAAGGTATGCTTCAGCAGAGGATCTCGAGCTTCGCCAGCTCAGTCTGGCGGCTGGGTGACGGCCATGCGATGCGTGCGGGGGCGTAGTTGTCCAGTGTCTTGGACAGTGCTTCCTCAGCCCGTCGCAGGGTCCGCGCCAATGTACTCGGAGGAACACCGAACAGCATGATCAAGCTGCTCAGCTCCATGGAGCCAACATAGAAGCATAGGACCAGCCCCAACACCTAATGGTGGTATCGGAGCTTGAGCGGTCGGCCCCTGGAGCGGGCGCGCGGGATGTGGTAGTAGCTAGTGAACCGGCGCAGTAGCTGGTGAAAGGAAGACCTGTATCAATCATAGCATTCATGTACTGTTAGTATACGCATCTGATGCAACACACCTGCAGTTCAACGTACTTGGTAAGGCTGGTGGGTTTACGAAGTTGATGTCAGTTCCGTATCTGTACAGGACCATCCACGCAGAGTCGCAGGGCATGTCCAGGCATTGAGCCGTGAGGTAATGGCGGCTGCGCATCGCCACCTTCCATGCCTCCTCGACCAGAGGCGGAAGACCTCACGGCGAGCGACGTGCAGCGCCTCACCTTGCTTCACTATGGCGTCTGTGAGCAGCAGCAGCACGTCCGCGAGAGGGGCTTTTGCCCGACGTGCGCAAAAGTCAGAATGAGGAAATCTAGAAGGATTCACGCGCTCGGTGTCTCCGAGGCAAAGTGATGGGTACACTCCTCTTTGTACCAACGTCACTGTAGCAGCCGCCCTATTTAGGACACTATCAGTCCGACACAGGTAGCACTTTTAACACCTTTGTGGTAGAGATTTTTTGCGATAAAGCGACATATATCTTTTATAAGTCGGGCTTAATCGCTGCAGATAAGCCGCTCGACTAAGCTATATTTGGCAGGTGTCCAGTCCATAATCTCGCTGACAGTGTTGCTTTATGATGAGCGTCGGACACGTTGTTTAGATCATCAAAATGGGCCACTCTCCATCGCCATACACCGTGAAAATACAGGGCCGCTCCAATCCGCCAACAACTTTCTACCATACGCGTGATCGCTTCAGTGAGCTTACCTCGGTCCACTAGCGACAAAAAGGGGAACATTTGTTCGGCCGAGCTCCAAATCGCCGCGGGGACAACCCGTAGCCGCAGCGAGAACATATCTTCTTCAACAGCTGTAAGGGGCAATCCGAGTGTCCTCCAGCGTTGCAGGAATGTCCTCCGGAGAATGACAGCAGCGGAGCACGTCCAGAAGACGTGGTGCAACGTTATGACACCTTGCTTGGCACATGAAACATGGGGGCACCCCACGCATTGTTTGGTCACATCATATAGGGAAAGAGCGTGATTTTTAAGGCGCATGAAGAGTTGCTCCGCCCATGGACAGGTTTTCCCGTTATCCCACCAAACAATTCGTTTTTTTATAACTCTGTTCAAGCACTCGTTAAAAAAACACATATTTTAATAGGTGGTATTTTTTATTGTCCGAAGTATTTTTTTAAATATTAAAATACTTCGGACAATATCCTAACGATTTATCAGTTCTAACCCAGGTCCCTGGCGGAAACAAGTTTACTTCGGCACCATGGATCTTGAGTGCTAGGAACGCGGAAAAAGCAGGTCAAGAAGACCATACACGGAAGCCACAGAGCACGAAACGAGGCTTAGTTTTCCTGGCCTAATCTTAGTAAGCGGGGCGTCAAAACTCGCTCATTTGGCGCCAAAGATTGGCCTAAGTCTGCAGAATCTAGCTTTTAGACTGTGGATGGACGAGCCAGTCGTTTTCTAGCAGCTAAATATGAAGCAACTCATAAACTCAGGAGCAAATCTCGACGATAACTCGACGTTACGTTGCTGGAGTGGCTTCGATACACGGTCGCGTACAAAGCGAGGCATCCCGAAGGCTATTCGTTTCAAGACGGCTAGAGAGAGAGATCTGATGCTGACGAAAAGGGTGCCGGAAGCTGAGGTAGCGACGTTTTTCAAGTCTCTGAAGGATAGGTCGGATCTGCAGACGCTGGGCGAGACTCTTCAGAACACACAGTACTATGTGTGGCGGAAGACGGGTGTGTTGCCGAAGGACGTAGAGAAAATGTTGGGGATGACCGACTCGATGAAAATATTCGACCCAAAGTACTAGTGTGTCCTGTCACTGTGCGGCGGGGCATGACTCAGAGCTGGTGAGCGTCGTGATCAACTTGACGTAGTCGTTCGTGTCGCCCACCAAGGACAAGTCGGTGGCGGAAGTGTACGGCGGGCGGCAGGCGGTGGCTGAGGCGAGTCAGTCGGCTACTGCCACCGCCACGAGGACCAAGTTGAAGAGGGGAGTCTGCAGAAGATCGCAGGAGGGCGACACGTCGGGCAGGGACAAGGAGTGAGTGTGCGAGGAGGCGAGGTGACGTGAGATCTATGACGAGCGGCCAGGAGGCCACGGGAGCGGTGATGAGACGTGAAGAGGGAGAGGGCCAGGTAGGTTAGGAAGGCGCCCAATGTGTAGATGAGGTAGAAGTAAGCGGGGACAACGAGCTGCGGTCTGGCAGCTCGACCCTCAGTTGAGATTTATTGCAGAACTGTAGCAGGTTGAGACTAAATACATTGCGTTGCGACCGAAGACACAGGCTGCTACGTTAGTGCTGAGCGAGGGCGACGGCTAGCTGCGAGCAGTAAGAGGAGGTAAGCGAAGGTAGGCAGGCACTAAGATGAGGGGACAGTGGCGAGTTGGGCGGCGGGACCGTGGAGAGAGACCACGGGGGTCGAGGTGCACGAGTAGCGCCTTGACCGAGGGGCGCAAGGGTCCGCGTGTGCCCTCGGGCGAAGGACACCTGCGTCCGCTGCACGTTAACCGGGTTTTGCTGGAAGCAGCCGGCGGGGCTACCTGACCGTCGGTGCCGACAACGCTTCCTCCCAGCCATCCCTATCCCCGTCTGGGCCATAAGCTGTTTGGTCACCACTGTGCGGCCCCGTGCCGGTTAGCCGCCGGAGCTAATGCTTTCCGCCTAGGTGTCGGCGAGTAGGTCGTCAATGCAACGTAATCCGTCCGTGAGCCGACGACCCGTAATGGGATTGGAGGCCTAGCGGCGAGTTACCTACACCACCTTCAATTCAACTTACTTGTCGACTGACAAATTCTTCTAAGATGCTTCACTGATGTTGAGGATAGAATCATTCATATTTAATTGTTTATGTTGTGAAAGTGCTGCCATATGCAACAACTAAAATAGACCACTAAAAATGACCTTCCGCGCTCTATCTCTTCGTGTGGTTGATGTAGCGCAGGGACAGCATCGACAGCACGCGGAAGATAAAAATGGCCGCGAACACGTAGCCGAAGTTGGACCAGCGGTCGTTGTAGTTGTAGCTGAACGTCCCCTCGATGAAGCCCTTGACCGTCGTCGTGTGCGACACAGTGATCGGGGCCTCGGTCAGAGGTTGGCAGCCGAGGTTTGAGCCGATGTTCTTGTACTAGCTTAGCGATTCGTTCCACGTGGGCTCCTCTTGGCAGTCGCAGAAGACAATCGCCGTCAAGATGGCGACGCTGAACCGCTGGGGCACGATCGTGTAGAGCCACTTGTAGCCCTCGGGGATGGACGACGACGGCGGGTTGAAGCCCGCGAACAGCAGGAAGATCGAGTTGATGAGTGCGCCCATGACCGCAGCCACTTCGATGCTCGGGAACGCGTGGATCAGCAGCTGGGCGAAGTACATTTGGCCCAGCACGAAGAGCGACACGTGCACCCAGTAGAGCACCGCCGTCGCGAAACCTTGGAAGCCCACCATCGGGTAGAAGATGACCGTGAACAGCAGGCACTGGCCGAACACGTAGGGGATCTCCACCACGGTCGTGGCCACGAAGTACCAGAGCGAGTTATAGCACTGCGATGCGCGCTCCCGATAGAATGCGGCGCGGTCGTTGGAGTACACGGGGAGGGTGTCCATGAATCCAGCCATAGCCATGAACAGCGTCGACATGAACACCAGACCAACACCACCCATTAGGCCGCTGTACGTCGAGTAGTCTACGCTCAAGAAGGCCAAGCCGCAGATGATGGCGACGCCGAGCACGATGGCGAACCGGGTCAAGTTGAACGCCGGTGTGCGCCAGTAGAGCGCGAAGAACCGCTTCATCAGGAAGTACAGCTGCGTCGAGCCCTTGGACGCGCGCTTCTTCGTGAACGTCACCTCCGGCCAGTCGGGGGACACTGTCGTGATGCCAGGCTGCTGCAGCATGTCGTCCATCATGCGCTTCTCCTGGCTCTTGGAGAAAATGTCGACAAAGTCGAGGTCTCGAGCGCGACCGCTGCTCACTCCGGTACCGATCACCTCGAGCATCCACGTCGCGGGGTTCTGCTTCGGTGGACACGGCTTGACACCTGGGATTGCCTCCAGATACTTGACCAGCTTCTGGCATCTATCGCCCAACTCGCCTACGAACACCGACTGACCGCCGCGCTTGAGCAGGATCAGGTGGTCGAACAGGAAGAAGACGTCGGATGACGGCTGGTGGATCGTACATACGATGGTCCGTCCGCTGTCTGCCACTTTGCGCACTCCGTCCATGATCACCTTCGCCGAGTGAGCGTCCAGGCCACTCGTGGGCTCATCCAGGAACAATATACTTGGCTGCGCAGCCAGCTCCACCCCAATTGTCAGTCGCTTCATCTGCTCCTGAGAGCTGCCACGCACAATTTGGTCCGCAATGTCGTGCATGTCCAGCAGGTCGAGGCATTCTTCCACGGTGTCGTACTTCTTGCTGTCGGGAACGCTGCTGTCTTGGCGCAAGAACGCGCTGAACGTCAACGCCTCACGCATCGTGGACGCCTCCGAGTGGATGTCCATCTGCTCGCAGTACCCGGTCGCACGACGGATGGCCAGGTCATTGGCCTCACACCCGTTCAAGTAGATCTTGCCCTGGATCGTGCCCTCCTTTTTACGCCCAGCGATGACGTCCATCAGTGTCGTCTTACCAGCGCCTGTGGACCCCATCAATGCTGTCAAGGTGCCACGCGTAGCACAACCGTTGATGCCCTTGAGCAAGTCGTGACCCTCCTTCGGGTTCGTCGGGTCGGGGACTGTGTACCACAAGACTGTGAACGCGATGGTGACGCGGACGAAGCTCTTCTCGCGTCGAGGAACGCCCACCATCACGTCATCGTGAGACGTGTCCGAGTTGGTATCGTCCGAGTGCTTGGGCGTCGTGGCCAGCGCGTAGACGTCTTGAGCTTCGTCCTCGATCTCTTTGGGTAGAAGCTGAATGTTCGTAGGCGCCAGGTATCGACGATACTCGAGCAGATACGTGCTCAGAGCCAACAACAATACGTAGAAGACGATCAAGAAGATGGCGCCCGTCCAGAGCTACGTTTTGCTCGAAGGAACGCCAAACTGGTCCAGGTAGTACTCGCCCATGTTCATGTTGAACTTGGAGCAGTAGTCGATGCCTCCGTACTCGCACACATTGTACTTGGATGACCGGTACTCGTTCACCGACAGCGCGCGCATGCACCACCCGATCGGGTTGAGCCAGTAGAGCTATTCGAGGTAGTTGGGGATCTCGCTCTTGGGCTGCACGAAGCCCGCGAAAAGGATGATGAAGACGATCGAGAAGGACGACATGGGCTTGGCAATGTCCAGGTTCGGGCACATGGCAGTCAGAGCGAAGAACCACGTCGACAAGACCAGGTTGGTCAGCACCAGCAGGGTCAGGTAGATAAAGTACGCGCCGACGTTCGCCACGAAGCCGCACATCCAGTACACAAGTGATCCGAAGATGAGAATCTCGAAGACGGACGGAGGCATCAGTGCGATCGAGTAGTCGATGACGTACGACGCCGTCTGGTAGAAGTTGGCGCCTCGCTGCTTGTAGAAGATCTCGCGGGCCTCCATGAACACGGGGATCTGCGAGCCTGGACTCAACGACATGAACATGACAGCCTGAAAGATGACACCCAGCATCACCTGCACATTCGTCGGGTCGACCTGGTAGAAGGTGCTGCCGTAGATCAATCCCATAATGCACGTCATGGCCACTCGACTGGCAACGTACGCCTTGTTCCTCCACAAAATCGTCATGTGGCGGACGCTCAGAGCCGCCGTGTTCTGCCAGAAACCCTTACGAAACTCCGGCACGGGGTCCATGTACTCGCTCATGTGCTTCTCTAGCTCTGGTTCCATCGGAGCCTCGATCATGCCGACCAGGTCAGCGTAAACACGGGATTGGACGAAGTGCTCGGCGAACTCACTGGCAGCACGCGGATGCTTGATCATTCCGACAGGGAGCGCCACCTCGTACTGATGCTGCAAACGCGTACCGAGATCCAGCAGGTAGTCGGCGATATCGCGGTCCGGAGGGCACTTGAACCCCAGGCTCTCGAAGTACGGGAGCACTTGGTCTCGAGGGCCGTGGTACATAACTTCACCCTCGTTCATGATCAGCACGTAGTCGAACAGAGCGAACACCTCGGGCGCCGGCTGAAGCAGCGAGATCGCCACCGCCTTGTGCAACGTCTTGGCGATATTACGCTGCGTGCAAATGATGTCGAACGTCGCCGCACTGTCGAGACCAGTGCTGATCTCGTCCATGAGGCTCACGTACTTCATACCAAACTCCATCTCGCCTGTGGTCACTCGCTTGCGCTCTCCACCCGACACGCCTCGAACCAGTGCGTTGCCGATGACTGTGTTCTCGCAGTCCTGAAGACCAAGCTGGCCGATGACGATGTCCGGGTAGTTCTTGTAGTACGCCTTGGCCGCCTCCAACGCTGCCAGGTTCTCCTCGACCGAGCCCTTGGTAAAAGTCTCCGCGCCTTTCTCAACGAGGCCGCCAACGACGAACTTGTGCGCGTATTCCAGAGTCTCGCGCGTTGTCAGCGTGGCGAAGTGTCGGTCCGTCTGCGGAACGTACTCCACGAACTGGGGAACGCGCTCGATGATCTCCTTCAGAAGCACGCCGTTGTACGTGATCTCGCCCTCCACCGCGATGTTGCTCTCCACTGGGAATTGGCCCGACAGCATCTTCATCAAGGCCGACTTACCTGACCCAGGCTGCCCAAGCACGAGTGTGATGGTGCCCGGCTTGAACAAGCCGCTGGCGTTCTTGATGATCTCCTTGCGGACCACGCGCCGCATGGGTGAGATGCGCGCGAGCGCCTTGGCCACCGTATTGAAGAGCGTCGGCAGCTCCGACTTGGCCGTGACGTCCTCAGTGATCGTGATGTCGGCCATCACCGACAAATTCTTGTAGCGCACCTCGAGCTGCGTCATCTCGCTGCCGATTGCGAGCTCAAGCGTGGAAGCCATGAAGCGGTTGAGCTCCTCAGGGCCCTGCGCGAGCATGCTCTCGCCCGACGCGAGGCTGACGGCGGGCAGGGTTGCCGACATGGATGTGAAAGATGCCAGCCCAAGCAGACTGGTGCACTTGTACTTGTTGTTGTTAGACTTGGACGTGCTCCAGAGCGAGCAGATTTCGGAATGAATTCGTGAAGGCGGAGGGTCCGAAGCGGAAGGCAGGGGTTCTATGAGGCGCCGCTGCCTGGCAGCTCGCGTGTGCGAGCAATCGCGAGATTTCGATTGCGCGTACAGGGAGTGCTAATCGACTAAGGGTACTAAACGTAGAGGTCGCGGTGCCGGTCTTTTCTGCCAGGGTCAAGCAATCACGCTGGTGGATGTATCGCAGCGGTCATTCTAACCGCTTAGCGCATCGATGCTGGCATTGAAGGAGGAGATATTATAAATCCTACCAGGCTGAGTGGAGCACTGACAGCGCTGAATCTGCTACCTGTTCGTTATGCTCCATTTCGCTAGCCGACCTCCACTTCAACTGCCATTGGGTACCGCATAAACGCGCAATGAGACAAGCACTTCAACTTCGCGCACCGAAATGCTTCAGTTAGCACACAGCAACATTGCATGAAGCTTTCCTAGACGATATACTCGCAGTTCCCCCGAAGGAGTCTCCTCCAGCGTCTGGAGTATAAATATATGCGTACTATATTGTAAAATAATCCAGTAAATCAATTATTTTTTACCACGTTTTTGACGAAGTGCCTATATGTTCTTTTAACTTAAAAAAATCTATTAATCTTTCAGTGGAGTATCAATTTTAAAATTGAGCTTCGTACCTCGTTATAAGCGGTAAAATCCATTTGAGCCATACCGGGGGTACTATTCTTACTAACCTCCACCAACGGTCCTGTGTCGATGACTCGGAATTGGCAGTGGAGTTTGATAGACTGGCGGCAATTGGAAAAGCTTGATTCATTTCGGTGCGCGAACTAAGTTGAAGCGAGGGACCCTGTCTCATGGCGCAATCTTACCAAAGAAACGCGGGATCTGATTGCGGCAAACTACTGTCTGTCTGAATTGTGTTTTGCACTTTAGCCGTACCTGCGAACTAAGCGTTGTTATCTTTCATAACCCGAATTTGGCACCCAAGAGCTTCGTCCTTTCAGTTTAGGAGTCATTTTGATTAGCAATGTGTTTTGAGCCAAGTTCAATAAAAGTATGGACAATCGAGTAGCAGTCCACTTCCGGCCTTTACGAGAATCTACCTGATGCTATTTAACAGTACTTCGAAGCAGAGGTCCGCCTATACCGTATTATATTGTATTGGGATGATTGCGAAGCCCTAATACATATTACAATTCTTTGACAAACAATAATAAATATTGCCGTAATTTATATTGTATTGGCGTATAAAACATACTGTTTTATCGATTTAGAGGGGGAAGAAAGTCAGCAGCTGCAGATCCGTATCACAATTTGCATTGATATTCAAAATTTTAGTAGTGAAGCTTTCACCGTGAAGGCTACCTGAGGCTTAATCTAACGGAAAACGCCAATTTGTATACCGCATACTATTGAATTGAACACTTGTCAAATATAGAAAAATATACAAATAGGAGGGTATACTACCAAAGTAGCTCCGACGCATACAAGTCTGAATATTTTATATACTGTAGAGCTAGTTACGTTCTGCAAACCCTCTTTGATGACACCCTGGCAATGTATGTACCAGTCTTCAAACCATGGAGACATCCATAGGTTGCGCAGAGTTGGTTCAAAACGCCTGTCATGCCGTTAGATGTAAGCAGAACTTAGACCAACAACCAAAACTATTTATCTTTGGGTGCCTTACGGTAATTTGCGTAAAGTTCCAAGTGTCAGTTTTTAAACTGTGGTCTTCAAAAAGATAAAACAACTTGCCATATTTGGCAAAGTAATACTTACAGGTAAAATAAAAGGTGATTTCAATTTCAAGACATCTCTTAGCCAATCAGAAGATGTTAACATGCTAAACTTCACATAAATTTGCAGTTTCAAGAAAATTATAAGTAATGAACCTTCTAAACGGTTCTGTTGAGGTATACAAATTGGCGTAGGTACAATAGCTTTGTATACTGAGCACATTCTATCAGATTTGAGAGGAGGTATTCAATTCGGGAAGGGTCTACTATTTGGCGCTATCCGTTACGCGTAGTTACATGTTGTATGCTCACAGTATTATGATAGCGGTCGGTGTCTTATCGGACGCTCAAAGCTGTTTTCTACCGGCGAGCTTGGTAAACGGACATATATATGCTAATGCATACCTATATAATAGTCATTATGGTATGGAATACTTGCTTGGATGTGGCGTTGAGCAAATCCATGCCCTCAGCAGCTAGAATTTGACATCATCAGTCAAAAATTCTATGAAAGTGGTCTTTTTTCATATTTATTGGCAATAATTGGATCAATACGATATTGTATTAGAAACCGGGGCGCTCAATAATAAAGATTTTGATTGGAAAACCCAAATATTTACTGTATTGCAATATTGTTTTCCGACCTCTGAGTTGACAGATCGGGTATGGCAAACCTCTTCTCGTGCCCTGGGGGCGTCGGCTGTCTTTACTGTTGATTTTGACGTTGCTAGGTCTCAAGACGTGACGTGTCGAAGGAATCTTCTTCCCTCCAGTGACTGAAGTACAGGAGAAGCAAGTGTGCTGGACTCAGTTGCCTTCAACGGGATGGCTAGTTGAGGTTGCCCAAAGGTAGAGACAGGAGCCAGAATGACAGCCACGAGTAGCAGCACGACGCAGTGTATGCGCATGATTCTTCTTCTACCTGGAGTCAGCGAAGGGCTTCAGCTCGAATTGGAAAGTGAAGAGCAAGGAATTATGTTGTCTCAGTCATTGCGTATGAGCTTAGTACCGTTTTTTATCGTAATCATGTTCATCGCGTGAGGATGCTAACCAAGATCAGAAAATAATGAATTCCCAAACAAAGCATGGAAGTTAGGCCAGCGATTAAAAAATATATAAGCATGGAAGTTAGGCCAGCGATTAAAAAAATATGTACCGGCATCCTCCGTTCTTTACTGACGTTCGCTTATTACTGACAATCAATTATAGCCAATCAAATACCTTATTGTTATCCTCCATTTTTAACTGACAACACAAAAATGGGTCATTTCCCAATCCACAAGATGCTACCTGCTCGCAGACGCACCGCCATTACGGCAGCAGAAAGCTCGAAGAGCTCGATGCCTGGGCACAGTGCGGTGGCATCACCGCGGCTTTTAACGCCTTCTACAGCGGTATAGATGAGTTCGTCCACGAACCGCGGCGAAAGCTCATGGACAGACAGCTCTCAAAAAGAATGCTCGGACGAGCGGCACAGGTATGGCCCTCCCCGCTGAAGCTGAGCAGGAGCTCGTGAAACGGATGAATGAACTGCGTGGGGAGGGCGTATGCGCTTACAGGCCCTGGAAGCAGGCGATGACTACATGTATTCACAGCCTTTAGTGAAGAAAGTAGACGTTGTAGCTAGTGAAATTATCGCTCAGCTTTCTAGCCTGAGTCTGATAGATCATAGAGTTTGAGCTGTGACTGTCGAGCATGATACCATAGAGAGCAGCTCGGTCTGCGATGAAACAATGAGCTTTTTTGTGTGTTTCTGTTGGTTTGTAGCTTGTGGTTGAGGGGGCAAATTCCGAAGTGAGATTAAATGTTATCGTCTCTCAAACTACTCTCTAGTCTTCCCCTCCTGATTTCCTTCTTGTTCGCCTTGTGCTCGTTGGTGCCTCTCATCAGACGGATTACTCCCGGTATCCGCTTGAATTGATCTCAGTATATATGGGTCTCCCTGACCAGTCATTGGTGTTCCCAGAGCCCGGCTGCCGCCGGTTCTCCTGTTGCCGTCGGATCCTCCGAGTCATCGGCGGATGTGTCCACACGTTCTCCTCGTCCATGTGCATCTATTGGCGGCGCTCCCGAAGACTCATGAACACTCCCACTCGCCGCTAATGCTGCACGATCGTCCCGATGATTCCGCTTGCGCTGATCAGGTACTGGAGCCTCTTCGGCCCCAACGCCTTGGTAAGCATGTCCGCGAGCTGGTCCTCCGTCGGCACGTAGTTGACGACGATGAGACCTCGGGACACATTCTCGTCAGCGTTGCTTGCGAGAGCGATCGCGCCCTGGTTGTCCTCCCATACTTGGGTAGCTCCCACTCGCTCGTGGCCCATGTCCTTGAGCATGGCGCGGGTCCACAGCACCTCCTGCGTGCACAGGCTCAGCGCCATGTACTCGGCCTCCGCCGAGCTGAGCGCCACCGTGCGCTGGTACTTCGACTTGAAAACCACCGGCGCCCCGCTAATCATCACCATGATGCCCGACACCGAGCGTCGGTCGTCGAGATTGCTGCCCCAGTCGGCGTCGGTGTACGCCGTCACCTCGACCTTCTTCGCGTTCCCATTGTAGGCGATGCCGATGTCTCGGGTGCTCTTCAGGTACCTGAGCCCGCGGATGGCAGCCTTCCAGTGCCGCTGCCCGGGGTTCTCGAGGAAGCGCGACAACTGGGTCACGATGTACGCCACATCAGGTCTGGTGCACGTTGTAATGTACAGCAAACAGCCAATGAGTCCTCGGTAGGGCTTCGCCTGCATTTCCTCACGTTCCTTCTGAGTCATCGGCGACTGAGTCTTCGACAACTTCATGCCCGACCCGCACGGGTTCACCACCACCTTGGCGTCCTGCTGGTTGAACCGCTTCACCACATCATCAATGTATCGAGTCTGCTTGATCATGAGAGTCTTCGCCGATGCGTCATGGTCGATCTCCATACCGAGAATGAACTTGGCCTCGCCCAACTCCTTCATCTTAAACGCATTCTTGAGCGCCACCTTGACTTCCTGGATCTCGCTGTTCGTCTTGGCTGCGATGCTCATATCGTCCACGTATAGGCAGACGTACACGAACCTGCCCTTCTCGCCCTTGACGTATACGCACTGGTCACCGCCGCAGCTCCGAAATCCGATGCCCACGAAGACTCGGTGGATGGTCTTATGCCAGGCATTTGCCGCCTGCTTCAGACCATAGATCGCCTTCTGCAGCCGACACATCATGTTCTTCGCGTTGATGATTCCGTGGGGTACCTCCATGTAGACGCGCTCCACCAGCCCGCTGTTGAGAAAGGCGGTGTCCGCATCCAGCTGCTCGGTGATGTACGCCTCAGCCACCACAACCGACGACACCACTCGGATCGAGTTCATGTTGGCCACGGGCGAGTACGTCTCGAAGAAGTCCACGCCATACTTCTGCTTAAACCCTTTCGCCACCAGGCGGGCCTTATACGGGATGACTCGGCCGTGCTCGTCGCGTTTCTTTGCGAACACCCAGCGACAACCGATCGGTCGAGCACTCGGTGTCCGACGGACCAGCGTCCATGATCCGTTATCCGCGTGTGCCTTGAGCTCCGCATTCATTGCCTTCACCCACTCCGACGACTCGTCGCTCTGCATGGCCTGCTGATACGTGGTGGGTGCGTCATTGGCATCGCCGACGTCTGCAGCGTAGGCCAGCACCGCCTCAGCCAATAGGCTGTCTTCGTCCACCCTGGGTCGCTTTGGAGACGGTGGCCAGAAGTGATCATCGTTGTCCGAGTCATCGGGACCATCATCGTTCGACTCCTCACCGTCTGCGGAACCATCTCCAAGTAGTAGTACCGGTTCTCGGGCGCGCCGGGTCCGTTCCGGCTCGGGGTGGAAGACCATGTCATCATTCACTACCGGTCTCGGGAGTCGTCGGTACGTTGTCAGCTCCTGCATGGATGGCTCCGACGTCTCCACCTCATGCATCACGTGTCCTCGACGGTCTCTTCCACTGATTCCATCGGCTCGTCGGCGGCAGGTCGTTGTATCTCCTCGGGCAGTGCCGCATCCTCGGCATCTTCCGTCAACTCAATGTTCGGCGAGTTCTCGCTGGGCGCCATGTCGTAGATGACGTTCACCTCGCACTCGTCCAGCTTCACCGACCTGGACACCTTCACCTTGTTCGACTCCAAGTCGTACACTCGGTAGCCTTTTGAGTCGTCGGCGTACCCAAGAAACATACATTTGAAGCTTTTCGGCTCCAACTTGGTGCGCCGCGCCTTGTCGACATGAGCGTAACGCATCGACCCGAACACTCGAAGATGATCCAGCCGAGGCTTTGATTTGAACGTCAACTCGTACGGAGTCTTGGTCGGGTGCATGCTGTTCGTCGACCGGTTGATCAGGTAGACAGCAGTGCTGACCGCCTCTGCCCACCATATCGAAGCCACGCCCTTGTAGTGTAGCATGCTTCGGGCCTTCTCCATGATCGTGCGGTTCATCCGCTCCGCCACGCCGTTCTGCTGGGGGCTATACGGGACCGTCTTCTGATGCATAATCCCATTCACCCGGCAGATCTCAGTCATCGGCGCGTTAACGAAGTCAGTGCCGTTGTCCGAGCGCAGGCATTTAATGCGCTGCCCCCATTGGTTCTCGTACACCTTCGTGAACGACTTGAACTTGGTCACGACCTCGCTCTTCTTGGTCAAGAAGTACACCACGACGTGTCGCGAGTAGTCGTCGACAAATGTGAGCACATACCTCGCTCCGTCCTTGGACTTCGTCTTCATAGGACCCATCACGTCCGTATAAACTAGTGCAGCGGTCGAGTCGTCGCCGACGTCGACCGCGACGGGAAATGTGCGACCGTCCGCTTGCCCTTCATGTATCCTCCGCACAGGGTCTTCGTCTGGTGTTGAGTCGTCGGGAACCCGTCCGTCGCCTCGCGGGTCTTTGCCATAGCGTCTCCGTTCAAGTGTCCCATACGAGCGTGCCATAGCTCCCACTTCCCGTCGACTCCCGAGTAATCGGTGTAATACACCATGTCCTGCTGGCAGTCCAGCAAGTACGCCTTGCCGACCTTCTTCCCCGAGGCGATCGCCTTCGTCTTATCCCAGATGACGCACGACTTCCGCTGGAACTCGACACTCATGCCGCGTTCAGCCAACCTCCCAACCGAGAGTAGTCGCCGGTCGAGTCCGGGGATGTGGAGCACCTCCACCATCTTGATGCGCTTGCCGTCGATGCCCGTTAAGCGCACCGACCCTTCCCCTGCCACGCGGAACTTCTTCCCGTCCGCGATTGTCACATACATGTCCGCCGGCGACTCGTTGTACTCGAACAAGTCATCGCGGTGAGGCGTCATGTGAGCCGTCGCCCCACTATCGATCAGCCAACCCGCTGATGGATTCTCCGCCACAGCGAACACCGAGTCTTCGGCGGTGTCTCCATTTGCTTTATGTGGCCCACTTGGTCACAGTTGAAGCACTTGCCATTGAAGCCACCGACCTTTCGTCCGCCGTTGCGCTTGCGGCCGAATGCCATGCCGCCCTTGCCGAACTTCCCGTTCTGGTCCCTACCTCCGAACGAGGTAGCCTTCAACGCGCGCTCCGTGGTCTCCTTCTTCTCCTGCCGCTCGTACTCCTTGAGCAGCTTCTCCTTCACCTCGATGAGGGTCACGTCCTTCGAGTTCTCGACGATGGATGCGATCAACTCGTACTCCGCCGGCAAGCTGCTCAGCAGGATGACGAGTTGTCGGGAGTCATCGAGGGGCTCTCCAAGCGTCTGAAGGCCCACGATGAGCTCGTCGAACGTGTCCAGGTGCTTCGCCATCGTCGCACCGTCCTCCATCTTGAACTCGTGGAGCCGACGAGTCATCGTGACCCGATTATGCATCGTCGTCCGGTTGTAGAACTCGCGTAGAGTATTTCAGGCTTGGATAGCCGACGTCGCCGACCGAATCTTCGTGTGGTGTTCCACAGCCACGCCTTGACCGATCAGACCGAGCGCCTTCATGTCGTTGAGCATCGAGGCCTCCGTCATCTCTGTCGGGTCCTTCACCACTTGGACGTGCGCCAGCAGCCCCTTCCTCGCGAGCGTCATACGCATCGCGAACTCCCAGTGTAAGTAATTGTCGCTTCCCAGGATGACTTCGGCCTTCGTGCTGGACGTCGTCATGTCGGTCGTCGGGGAGGGCTTGAGCTTGTTGCGGCTGTTAACCTGTTGGTTTGTAGCTTGTGGTTGAGGGGGCAAATTCCGAAGTGAGATTAAATGTTATCGTCTCTCAAACTACTCTCTAGTCTTCCCCTCCTGCTTTCCTTCTTGTTCGCCTTGTGCTCGTTGGTGCCTCTCATCAGACGGATTACTCCCGGTATCCGCTTGAATTGATCTCAGTATATATGGGTCTCCCTGACCAGTCATTGGTGTTCCCAGAGCCCGGCTGCCGCCGGCTCTCCTGTTGCCGTCGGATCCTCCGACTCATCGGCGGATGTGTCCACACGTTCTCCTCGTCCATGTGCATCTATTGGCGGTGCTCCCGAAGACTCATGAACAGTTTCACAATGCGCGGCAGACATCACTTTTTTACCCACTTTTTGTAGCCAAACATGACTGTCAGTAAAGAACGGAGGATGGTACGCGGATCTTGCCTTAATTACCACTTGGAAGCTGCTGCGTGGTGCTGATCATTTGCACTTTGTGAAAAATCCAAGTCTTTAAAAAAATAAGAGACTGTTGTTTAAAAGCCTTCAAAAAGTACAAAATGCTATGAGCAAGTAATTAGGTGATGTTCTATTCTCCCAACCATAATGATGGTCTGGCCGCTTTTTAGGGTTTCCATTTTAGGAGCTTGGAAGTACAGCCTACTTTTGCAACATACATACTTAGTACAGCACGCGCCCCGAAGCATTTTTACATGTATTATACGATGTAGATTTCGGATTATTGGCCACAAAAATTTGAGTTGTACGAATATTCGAAGGTACTTGTAGGAGGCAGCAAGAGGAATGCTTGCAGTATGTAAAACTAAACTTTCCGTGTGAGTTTTGTTGGCCTGAACGTAAACACAGATGCGAGTGACGTTCGTAAACAAACAGCATCCCATGTACATACCCAACTCAATGCACGCTCCAGCAACCCTACCAAGACACAACTTTTAGTACACTAAATATGAACGCTTCAATCACTTGGAATTGCGTTGTTCAGTTCTGCACACAATCTCATCAATCCCTCTCCGGCAAGCAAGACTCAATGTGCCTTGTGATGCGGGGTCAATCCTATATCGATGGCACTATTTCCAGCAGCTACGAGATCCCAGGAAACTTACCCAATCGAGGCCGTAGTTGCGAGGCCATTTAGCATTCCGCTGTCCACGCGGTAATTCGATACCCGCTTCACCACGCCCTATCCTACCTGGTAGGCACGAGCGACAAATCCCCCTTCTGATTGGGTTGCTGTTTGGAAAATGCAGTGTAAGTATAACAAGATGCTGGACCCGCGAGTCGCGCCATGAGAAAACGTTCTCCGAAGGTCAAACGGAAGAGCGCATGCAACAACGCCATCAATCTCTAAAAGGGTTGGCCTTATATTGGTTGCGTCGGGTGGCGGCTGTCCACACGACAGGACCCAAAAGGCCAAAAAACACGACATGACATCGCCGGTAACGCGGAGTTGCCGTCGTGCAACGTCACAGCGAGGACTCAGGAACATTTCCCCATTTATCCTGTCTTCTGCTTCTTCGATACCTGCTCCTCCTGCTCATTTGGAGCTCGCCCAAAGACCTCGTTCAGCTGCTGGGACACTCGAATGAAAGTCGTGCGCTTTCAAAGAGCAATAAAAGCACCCACGACAACGTTAGATCAGTACAATGTGGAGGCATTGCTGTTGCGCTTTGTCGTACCTTGCTGATTTCCTTCAGCTTGCTGGCTCCCACGTAGGTGCAGGTCGAGCGCACCCCACCGAGGATCTCCTTGCAGGTTGAGGCAACAGCGCCACGGTACGGCACCGTGACACTCTTGCCCTCGGAGGCGCGGTACTCGGCCACGCCGCCATTGTGCTTCTTCATGGCCTCGGACGAGCTCATGCCGTAGAACTTCTTGAACAGCTGGCCGTTGATCTCGATCTTGTCGCCGCCGCTCTCGTCGTGGCCGGCGAGCATGCCTCCGAGCATGACAAAGTCCGCTCCAGCGCCAAAGGCCTTGGCCACGTCTCCGGGGCACGTGCAGCCCCCATCAGAGATGACGTGTCCGTTGAGGCCGTGAGCAGCGTCAGCGCACTCGAGCACCGCCGAGAGCTGCGGGTAGCCCACGCCTGTCTGCTTGCGGGTGGTGCACACGGAGCCCGGGCCAATGCCGACCTTGATGATGTCGGCTCCGGAGAGCAGCAGCTCCTCCGCCATCTCGCCCGTCACGACGTTGCCGGCGATGATCGTGTGCTCCGGGAAGGCGGCGCGCACGTTGCGCACGGCCTGCACGAAGAACTCCGAGTAGCCGTTGGCCACGTCCAGGCAGATGAAACGGATGTCCGGGTGGCTCTTGAGCACGGCCGTGATGCGCTCCAGGTCGGCGGCGCTCGAGCCGGCGCTCACGGCCACGGTGGGGAGCACGTCCGGGTGCTTAGCCGCGAAGGCCGCCCAGTCCGCGGGCGTGTAGTGCTTGTGCACGCACGTGATGAACTGGAACTTGGCCAGCTCCACGGCCATCTCGAAGGTGCCGACGGTGTCCATGTTGGCGGCGATCACGGGCTGCGCAAGGCACGAGGTGGGTTAGGCCGAGGGTAGAGTGATAGAAGGGTAGAGTCATAGAGGGGGGACGCACCACGCCGGACCACGTGCGCTTCGAGTTGCGGAAGCGGAACTCGCGCTGCACGTCCACCTGCGAGCGGCTCTTGAGCGTGCTGCGCTTGGGGCGGATGAGCACGTCCTTGAAGTCCAGGCGGACCTCGGTCTCGATGCGCGGCATCTCCTTCTTCCTCCTTCCTTGTCTTCGTCCGGCGGCGGCGGCGGCTTGCGTCCGAGGCAGCAAATTGCGGAATGGATGAGGGCAGCTTTTGGCTCGGCTGACGTGGCGGCGGCAAAGGTGCAACATCGCAGAGTTCGCATTCAGTCTTCAAGGACTGAAGTAGCATTGAAGTAACACGACAGGAACCTTCGTAAATGAGTGTTTCGGACTTAGTGGGGAGGTATTAATAAGATGCTGGAATTTGTATGCGGTACCTGCCAGACTCGAGGCAAGCGTCTGTAGCGTTACTTTTGTGTTGACCACTCGCCCACTTCAACGTCTGACGCTTTGTCGCATGATCAGCCGGGTGCGGCTCCACCGACGGACGCACGCAGTTACATGTACATGTACATGCATCATCGGCGAATAGAATATTCGGAAGGGGCCACGCTTACCCAACCTTACCCCAACTTCTTGTATGAGGAACCAAGTGCAGCATCAACGCTAAGTTACGACAGGCAAACGTATTTTTTTCGCGTGACTGCCGTCCGAAGCGGATTGTGTATTCGACACCTCCGCCCCAATGTTTTAAAAGCAGAAGGCACCAGCGCTAAAGTCGCTTGCAACGCTTGGACTGCACACTTACTTTCCGTTTTGCATTCCATTTTTCACACAATACCTTGATTGAGTTTACCATGGCTCGAAGGAACGAATGAAGATGCGGAAAATAGAGAAATGGACCAAGAACATGAAATTGCCGAAGACCAGCGCGAGATACCGGTCAAGTGCACAATAAATAACATCGGAAGAAAGTCCTGAGCTTCCTTGTGTAAAGCATGGAATTACGGTTTATGGTCAAACTAGAGAGAGAGAGAGAGAGAGAGAGATTACCGGGGTACGTATTGTTAAATGTGTCCTGTGATTCCTAGCGTCATGCGCAATGGTCCATGTAGTTGATGGATATAACGTTCAGGTGGACGCCGCAGCCATGACCAAACTCGTACAGTGAGTATGCAAGCGTTTAAGGGCCCGTTGTATCACAACCGTCTACTACTACATGTACTTGGGTGGCACTTTACAGTCACAGTATCTGTTTCGGTGTTGCTACTCCTCTAATGTGGAATGCCAGCATAAACAAAATATCCAAACAAAATATGAGGACTAAACACTAAATAGTTTCCAGGGTCTCCAACCCGTTGCTGGCGAGTTGAGCGTCCGCTTTACTCAGCGTCTGCCTCAGGCTCTTGCGCCCCTACATGAAAATATGCATCCCTCCAATGGGCTATGTCGCCGTCCAAAAGACGAGATACATCCGCCCATGGGGAAACCTGGTTTGGTCGGTCTGAATGAAAAACTTGCCGGCTCCTGCGATCATCCATGGCGATATTCGCCAATCTATCCGCAGCCTTGTTGAATGCCCTCAAGTGGTGGTTCCACGTGCGGACATGTACTCGATCTGCTATGCCCCTGCATTGAGCATAGATATTGTGTAGATGCGGAGCCCTCGGAGGCCGCCGCCGTCTCATTTGTGCCAGGACCATTGCGCTGTCACCAATCACATGGATCCCTGTCATCTTCCGCGCTAGGGCATGGCTCAACCCAGCTTGGAGCGCGCGATAATCCGCTATGTGGTTGGTCGTTCGTCGTGAGGCTAGCGATATGCTAGCCATCCATTCCACTCTTGCCGTTATGGCACCGGCGGGGAGACTAACTAACACGCAGCCAGACCCACCAGGACCTGGATTTCCCCGTGATCCACCGTCAAAGAACAGAATCAACTGTGGCCGGGATAGCGCCACCAGCGGGGAGGGCTGGTTAACTAGATCTTGACCGAGCAGAGCCGAAGACACCAACTTCGCGGCTTCCCTTCGGCCACCAGCAGATGTCAGTTGATGCATCATGACGCGGACATTGATATATGCTTGCCAGAGCCGTCCAGCTAATAGTGCTGCCGCATGCTGTGCAGATGAGTTACGAGCTACGTCCCAGTACGCTGACCAGCGACGCCAGATAGCTTGTAAGGTAACCACGATACCTAGGGACCAAGCCGTAGCAAGAATAGGTTGGACACATTGCTGAATTTTGTCTCTTTCCTCTCGTGGTGTGGCGCTGAATACTCTATCAAAAATGGGCCACAAGTCGCAGGGAGCTTTAGGCCAAATACATTTTTCGGGCGAAAGTCCGCATCTGTAAACCCCAATCGCTCCCAATTTTGATAGAAGACTAGCCACAGCGATCTTGCTCCAGGACACGTCCAAAACATGTGAGCGACTCCCAAGTCTGAAGTAGCACACTCCTCCATAGGGCACCCAGGGCACCGATTGACGGGGTCGTACCTGGAGAAAGCTCTTTGTTTGATCCGGAAAAGAAGTTGTTCCCCCCAAGGAGATACCCCCACAATTTTCCTAATGTCAGCCCACGAGTATGTTTGAAGTGCACGTCCAATTTCCTCAGAGTCTGAGACCCATGTCGCTTGTCGGTTGGTAGTCCCGCGTGCCCCACGTCTGCGAGGCGCAGTCCGAGCCGCATCTTTATAGTGGCGGCGTCTCAGCTTCTTGCGGGCACGTCCAGCCCGCACACAGACAAGTCGGCTCAGTTTCGGATGGGGGTAAACTGCAAAGATCTTCACCACGTGTCCGGCGTAAGCGGCAAGTGCCTGTACCAACTCGTGCTCTGAGTTTACAAAGCAGGACGAAGTAGGACCCACCGTTGACGTCCTGATTAACACCTCAATCTGGCCACCATGGTTGAAAACTTGCGCAGTGATAGGGTGATCAGCCGGTGTTGCAGTAATTTTGAGATCCATACTCCCTTTTTTCAGCATGTCGGGGAAAAATAAAAGTAGTAAAACCAGTAATCCACGGATATTGGCGCGAATGTCGTCACAGTAGTTGTGGAGAATGCCAACTCCGGTGCATAATACATCCCAGCGCAGAATATTCCTAAGTAACCTTGCTCTGCAAGCCGATGCCGAAGTCAGCCAGTCGGTTCCACCAATTCTGAGCTCACGCTGTAGCCGTGCTAGATAGCTGAGATAGGTGTATTCCATCCACTCAATTCTAAAATCCCCTAATATGGTTTGTAGATATTGACGTAGCGGTGCCATTCCGTCGTAAATGTCTCTGTAGTGGGTTTCGAATGAACACAGTCACGAGGGAAGCTGGCGCTTCCTTTGAACTCCTTGCTTGTTTGGTTGTTCTCAAGTTCTAGAGTGAGGAGGTTAGATAGACCTCAGATACGCCTACAAGCTCTACTAGGATACCTGCTCTAATCTAACCACCTCGTGGTCTTATCCTACGCCAGCTTGGCTCTGATCATCCTCGATCGACAGCCCAGTGCGTGGTCAGGTCGTGAAGACCATTGCCCCACTACCAAGACTTGACCACGCCGTTGAAAGTGGTGATCAAATATTGGCTTCACAGGAATGTTGCTTGAATGTACCCATGTACCCGAATTTCGGTACACCTTACCAGTGGCAACTTTAGCACTTCAACTTGAAGTTTTAAAGTTGCTCGACTGCTGAAACAAACTCCAAGTTGCTCTTACCAGAAGCATACTGCTTCACCATCACGGGAATGTCCTTGTACAAAGAACTGAGAGACTCCCATGAGTCCTCAATTGGTTCCAGACCTTTCCACCCTACCAGAACCTCGAAACATCTCTTGGCCGAGTTCCATCGGTGATCCTTGAGCTCCGCAACAGTAAGGACAATACCTTGAGCAGCCACGTGCTCCCGTATTTCCTCTGTCACCTCAAACGATTCATCCGCATAGAACTTGAGACGCGAAGAGTGCACGTCTGCCTCCGCACCAGTCACTAAATGCTGGACACGGAAAGAGTGTTCGTCTGAACCAACCACTTGGTACGGGCCTATCCACGTGACTAAAAGCTTGTCGTTGTGTTTCTGGTCTACACGAGATCTCAAAACGTAATCTCCAACATCGAAATTTGGTTTCCTTGCCCCTTTTTGCATCGCCTGATTACGCCTGGTTTGATCCGACCTCGCTATCTCCACTTTCCTGTGCATCTCCTGCACACACACTCGTATTTTGTCAAGGTTCTTCTGAATCTGCTCTGAGTTGATGCCAATCTCGACAAAAGTCTCAGTGTCTTTCTCAAAAGTGAAATCTAGAGGAGAGACTGCAGGTAGAACACAAAACAATTCCACGGGAGCCTTGTTTCCCAAAGAAGGTACCGGTGTGTGATTCAAATTTGACTGCACCTCCGAGATAAAATATGGCCAATCTCGAATATCCACTTTGCTTTCGAGACAAAGCACACGCAAAACTTGAATAATATCTCGGTTCAATCTCTCTATAGTTCCATTAGTCCACGGGCTGTAAGCCACGGTGAACCGTTGCTGGCAACCAAGTCGCTTCGCCACTTCAATCATCAGTTGATTCTTAAAGTGACACCCTTGGTCACTAATCCAAACTTGGGGGCTCCAAATCTACTGTGCCAATCGAGAATGGCCTCAGCAGTCACTACTGCACTCGGTGTTGCACATGGTACCAACTCACAAAAATGAGTCGCATCGTTCTTAAGTACCAATAGATACTTGTAGGTACCGTAGGAATCTCCTAGATGCAAATAATCCCAGTGCAGTGCTCCATTTCGATCCTTACAACGGAAGGTGTTAGCCCATGGTCTGGTTACAATCTTCCCCCCTTTTACATGCTGAGTCAGCAAGAAAGGTTTTGACCATGGCTGAGAGATTCCGTACGTAAAATCGTCGATTCATGACAGCCATTAAGGCTTCGCGACCTCTGTGGCCCTGCACGCCACAGTGAGCGACCACAAGTAGCCGCTGCAGTAGGGCAGGCTCATTGTCTGGGATCCAAATGCAACCATCCCTGCACAGAAGTCCGTTATCACCACGCTTCAAACGTTTAGGCAGGCTCACAATGTACCGCTGTTGAGCCTCCTGCAGTTCTTGCACCGTAGGCCACACGAAAGGGCCGTCACTAAATGGTCGAATACGTTGGCGGCGTCGATTTTGGTCTTTAGGCTCGTTGTCTTCACACTGCCGTCTCAACGTCACACGCTTCACCGCCACATTTGGCATTCCACTCGCACAGGCCCACCGAGAAACCATGTCGGCCCAAACGTTGCTGGTTCCGTCGATATGCTCGATACTGTAGCGGTATTCCATTAGTTTCATGGCCCACCTCAGAAGTTTCCCGCGTACGTGCTTTCTAACTTCTTTGCCAGGTGCGAATACATGTATCAGGTTGCGGTGGTCGCAGTACATGCGAAAGCCGCCAGGACGCAGCAACAGGTAACTGAGCTTATCGCATGCCATGATGATTGGGTATGACTGCTTTTCGATGATACTCCAGTTTCTCTGAGCACCAGTGAACGTACCACCGAGACAAATCAATAGTTCGTGCTGCTGGTCCTGAATCTCAGCACCTTGTTTCCACTCAGGCACTTGCGAGACGATTACAGACCAGCCCACATCCGAGGCATCAGCCAGGAGAATCATTTCCGCATCCGGCTTCGGGAACGTGAGGCTAGCTGACTCAGCTAGAGCTCGCTTCATCTGGTCGTACGCCTCGCGCTCTGACGAGGTAAGTGCGACTGGGATGCCCGAAGCTGCACGCTTAGTACGTCTCGAGGCTTTAGTCATCGCTTGATCTAGTGCATCTTGCAAAGGGCGAGCGAGTCGTGCATAGTCAATGATACTGTCGCGCATCCAGTTCGTAGAACACAGGAATTGTTGCAGCTCGCCTGCATTCGTTGGATACGGCATACTTCGCAAAGCAGCAATTCTCTCTGGGTCATGTTTCACTCCTTCCCCATTGATTATCTTACCACACCATGTTACTTCTTGCTTGTACAGGCAGGACTTGGCGGCACTCAGCTTAAAACCGAACTTTGCCGTGAGCTCAAGCAGCTCCTGCAGTTTGTCCAGGTAGGTGTCAACATCGGGGGCGTACAGCAAGAGATCGTCAATCCAGACTAATAAATGCTTGTACAACAGTGCGGCGTAGCAACGCTCCATGGTGGACTGGAAGTACAGTGCTGCATCTGCGCTGCCTTGAGGTACGCGTCGTGGAGTGTAGATCTTCCTGTGCGTCATGTATGATAGGAGCTCTTGACACTCCTTGGCCAAAGGTAGCTGCCAATAACCTTTTATGAAATCGAAAAGGCCAAAGTGTCTGCTGCCCCGTACATTTTCCAAGTCTACATGCAGGTTGGGCATCACTCCTGCCATGGGCTCCGTTTGCGCGTTCATTGGTTTGTAATCCACAGTCTGCCGGAACTCACCACCTCCACGTTTGCGCAAAGGCAATGCGGCACAAGCCCAACGGCTCGTTGGGTTTTCATATACCCATCCAAGTTTGACAAGCATGTCGTTGAACGACTCCAGAAACGCTTGATACTCTGGTGCGTACTTCCGTGCTTTAGCTTTGAACGGCCTGCAGCCTGCTTTCATGTGCACGCGCACTGGTTCTACGTCCGCAGGAGGGTCGTCACCGAGTACCAGCCTCCAAACGTCGTAAGCATAGACGATGGTACGAAGGCGTTCAATCTTGCTCACGGGAAATCCTTCCTGCACTGCTCGTTCAATCATCAACTCGACAGCTTTACGAATATCATCATCCGTATTGCTACCATTCGCCACATCAGGTTCCTCATCGTCATCCTCTCCATCATCTCTACTTGGCGCTGCCAGAAGCTCCAATTGTCTCCCAACATCAATACCAAGCATCTTCAACACATCGTTCCCAAGCAAAAACTCTTCATCATCATTCTCGAGGATTAAACACGTCACCGGCTTGCTGATACTCACCGGGCCTGCGGCTGTCATGAGCGACAAGTGCAGTTTCGTCATTTGATGTGCCCACGTCTTCTTTCCTCCAGCTAATTTGCACTCGACGGGATTTTGCAATTTCATCACTTCACACTGCATAGCATGCTCACCAATTTCTTGTAGGGTCTTCGAACTGACAATCGATGTATCAGCACCAGAATCTGGACAATACTCCACATCAATAACGCCATTGACACGAAAAACACGGGGTTTCCCAGCCCCACTGGGTAGGCACTCCCTAATTCGCATGAGCATTACGGTGCCCCCCAGGTTTCGGCTTGCGCCCCGCCATGGATTTGCCTTCGTTCTTGTTGGGGGCAGTCGGCCCGTTTGTGCTTGCCGCCACAGGCCCAACAACCCCATGTCGATCTTGTCGCACTCTGCTCGGAACCCTCCTGAAATATCGGCCGAGACGTTGGTTTAGTGTAGTTTCTCTGCGTTGCCCTGGCGTCTGACACCATCCGAGCCTTCTTTACAGGTCGGGCCGACGCCGGTCGAGACGACTCTGCATCAGAAGGTCTTCTCTTGTTTCGTTTCAACGCCAAGTCTTCTCGATCAACCTCCAAAGCTTTCTCGCTCACGATCTTGAAGAGCACGGAGACGTTCGACTTGGCTAGAGGTAGGCGAAAATCGATTTCATTTTTCACCCTCACCTTCAGTTCACTGGGCAGGCAATTCAACAGGATCTTACACTTCTTCTTGATACCTTCCTCGTCCGAGAAAAGCGCAGTCAAACCATTGTTTTTTACGATCGTGTTGCACAGATGAAAGTAGTCCATCACTCGGGCGTCAACGTCGGTCTTCAAGTTCGACATCACAAGTTGCCCTTGGAAGAGCTGATCAATGTTCGGAAGAGCGTTGTTCTTGAAGCTCTGCACCGTTTTCATTATCCACTCCCAAATGAACTCATCTGTCAGGTCCTCTTTCTCCGTTTCCCACTTGGTCTCGCACAGCGTCTCCAAGAAACTGTCATCGAAAGAGTTCCGCACCGATCTCATCACAGACTTCAAATCTTCACCAGACGACTCACAGCGCGCCCGCATGATCTCCTCGTACTCCAGTCGGAGGTCAACCCAGCGGGTGAGCGCCTCATGCGAGATGTCCTCCACCTTGGGCGCTGCTGAAACAGCGAAAATGGGATGCGCCACAGTTGGGATCTCGATGTCCTGGTTTGCGGAAAGAAAGGCCAAACCTCCTCCTAGCCCAACGGGGGTGGAGTCGGTATTGGGTTCACTAGGTTCGCTCACTCTTGCTTTCCGAGCAGGTTTCTTGCCCTTGCCTCTGTTCGACTTGGCTTGGCCTGCTCGTGCCGTGGGGGCCACAACCGTCTTTCTCGGTCGTAGCATCCTTCCCGAGCTAGCCGCTGGCGGAGCCACATTGTCAGCCGCAGCGGTGGTAGCATTCGTCGACGTAGTTGTGTTGTCCATGTCGATTCCTTCGACACTAAAGTTAACTTTGTAGTGGGTTTCGAATGAACACAGTCACGAGGGAAGCTGACGCTTCCTTTGAACTCCTTGCTTGTTTGGTTGTTCTCAAGTTCTAGAGTGAGGAGGTTAGATAGACCTCAGATACGCCTACAAGCTCTACTAGGATACCTGCTCTAATCTAACCACCTCGTGGTCTTATCCTACGCCAGCTTGGCTCTGATCATCCTCGATCGACAGCCCAGTGCGTGGTCAGGTCGTGCCCCACTACAGTCTCGACAATTAATTGTAGCGGCCTGGTCTACCGCTTTCTTCAACGTCTGGTGTCGGCGCATTATTGCATGGTCAGCAATAGCTTCGTGCACGCTGCCTTGGAAGCCACGACAGAAGGCACCGCAGTGGTTTATATACAGTGAGTCTACAGCGAGACACGTTTGTTATCTCGTTCTGGGGCATATATGTAGCATCGCCATTAATACTTGTCTGCACAATTCGTCACTTCGTGGAGCTCGTTCGTACAGTGGTCCAGCAAGGTATAAGAATCACGACGCACAATAAAGCCCGTGGCACGCATATGCGCAAGTCCTTTGTAGCAGAGCAAGTGTCACCTAAAGAGATCGCTAAAACGTGCTTCAATTTTTTTAGGGAATGGCAGATACTGCAGGTTTTGTTGGAGGAACGCACCGATCGGTACCAATGTTGAAAGGAGCACTAAAAGAGACTGTATTACTGCCTCACCCGAGAGGCTGGACGGAGTTAACCTGCTGGCGCCTGCAAATAAGTGCAGGAGGGTGAAGCGACACTACTTCAGTGCTCGGATTCCGAGCACCGAGCCTCGGAAAAATATGATAGTAAACAAAATAAAGATACCCTCATCAGCAGCTATAACCAGAAGCGTCTTAAGGACCATCCCCAGCTTTCTCGCCTCCTCAGAATGTTTGGAGACAGCCGAACGAAACTGCTGAATGTCGTTATCAGTGATCTTGACGTTCGACCACAGTTGGGTTGCTGAAAATCTTGCGACTTCAGGTTCATCGCCAGTTTCTTTAGTGATTCAGATCATTCGCTAGTTTTGAAGAAGTTCGGATTTGCGATCCCAATTTCTAGCTTTTCACGACCGAGTTGGTGTCCAGCGCTGCAACTATGTCGGCATTCTTGCGCGTGCAGCCGAGCTTGTTGGGTAGACCAGTGTTCTTTTCAAAAGCGCCATTGACTTCCGATACAAATGCCTCGTTCCTCTATCGCATCAGTTTTGCCGAAGCTGCGCCATTTCCAGCAGCAACGATGGGGTTATCCTCGTCGGCAAGTGCTGGATTTGGCTCTGCAGGGGACGTCAACCTGGTCCTCAGCTGCCGCGACGCAATTTGCTCTACCGACGAGGGTAAATAGTAGTAGGATTATGAAATTAGCTGCGTGCATGAGTGTAACTTGAATGTGCGCGACAGATCAACAGATCCGTAGCGGAATGAACCAGATCCGAAGTGAAGGCCGTTCCGGCAGTAAATGTACACTAGTGTTGTGTCCTGTGCTACTGTACATGTATTAAAACGTTGTAGTCTTGTCGTCAAACTATGATACAAATAACGCTTTTGAAGCACCATAGACACAATAAAATATGTGGGGCATCAGCTGAGAGGTGTTTGCGTCAGATAAACGGTTTTTTGGTATCCTCGGTGTGCCCTACATCCTACTGCAATATAGGAAAATGTGTACCGTATTTTAAAGATTAAGAATTCTAAATATATGTATACACATCCAAAATCTAGACCAGTCTAAATCTGTAATGAATCTAAATAAAAAAATCTGTGGATCAAATTCGCACGCAATGCTGCGGCTCACAGCGCAGCGAGCGTGGCGCCTCGCGCGACCGCTAAGCAGCGCCCGCCAACACCTTCATACAAGGCAAGCCGCGCGATGTCCTGAGCTTTCGAAGCTTCAACTCGACGCTGCGCGGAGAAGAGAAGGGTTCGGATGGTGCTCTGTATAACACCAAGGATGGCGCCAAAAATGATGTCGATGTTTACGAGGGAAGGGAGAAGAAGATTCTGGCTGAGCTGCGGACATACAAGAAACTGAATGGGGATCTCGTCATGCCCATTTCGTTTGCAGTCCCCACTGGAGATTAGCGTTAGCCGTTGCTGACGTGGGGGTACAATCTAGGGGCTGCTGTCATCAAACTTCGGGGCAGGCTCAAGAACAATTCGGCACTTTCCACTCAGATGAAGGAGGAGCTAGAAACGATGGACTTCGTGGGGAACCCAAGCCAATACAAATGGGATCACCTCGTTCTACCGGCGCTGCAGAGGTTCCATGAAGTGCACAAGCACGCAGATGTCCCGCGAGAATTTGTCGTCCCAACCGATGACGAAACCTGGCCAAGAATTGCTTGGGGTTATCGACTGGGAAGTATGGCCAACCACATTCGCCTAAAGACAACGTACAGCGCTCAAGCGGCAATGTCCAAGGACGAGCTGGAGAGGATTGACTTCTGCAACGGCAAGTCCATCGCTGAACGTGACTGGGCGGAGATGATACTGCCGTCGTTGGATGTGTATCGGCGAGAGTTTGGCGATGGCATCATTCCATCGGTGTTTGCTGTTCCAGCATCTCCACCATGGTCAGAGAAGGCGTGGAAATAGCCACTAGGAAGAGCTGTCGAAGATAACCGACAAGGGAAAAGCTTCGTGGAGCAAACAACTCGAGATAGGCCCGTACTTGATGCCATCGGCTTTGCGTGGAACCGAAGTGACGCGGTGTGGAATGAGGTCATTATTCCATCCCTTGCAACGCATGTGGGCCTCTTCAAGAATGGCCGGGCCCTTAAGAGATTTGTTGTTCCGTCTGAAGCTCCTTGGCCTGAGAGAGCGTGGGGGGAAATGCTGGGTGGGATGCTCTCTGGCCTGCGTTCCAAGGGGGCATATTTCGGACAGTACGGGCGTGACATTGAAAGCTGAGACGAGCTCGAATTGACGGTGAGTCTCAAGTTGTCTTCACGAGCGTGGAAAGAGCGCGTGGTACCGTTACTGAGCTTGTACAGGGGGCTTCATGGAGAAGAGGAAGTTCCACACGATTTCGTGATTCCGTCAGATGCGCCGTGGGAGGAAGCATTTTGGGGTGTTCGACTAGGTCTCATCGTGGCTCGCAACCCGCAGCACGGAAAATAAGGTGGCCTAGGTGGTCTGCGAAATGACCAACGCCCATTTACTGAGCCACCAACTTCTTGAAAACTTTGTTATCAACGGCTGTCAGCATGGTGAAGAGTTCTATTGCCTCTCGGACGCGTCGCTGGTCTTCTTCATTCGCTGGGATCATTACTTCGAACGTTGTACGGAGGCTTCTGGTCTCCCATCGATTGATACCTTTGATCTTGGTGGAGAGCCACTCGACCTTCACGAACACGTTGCTGTCCGCGCAGCGAATACAGGGCGTATAGCGCATGCGCACGTTGTTAGTGGCGAGCACTTGGCCCCATGGTCGAAGGAACCCCCACTGTGCCATCGTCGCGATCCGTCGTGAACCAACCGCTGGCTTTTTTGGCCAGCAGAGTTAGTCAGCCTTATCGTGAGGTGAAGTAGCTCCCGCGACATTCGAGTACATTCGTTCAAGCACGTCAGCAAAAAATCAAAGTCGTTCGGGGCCTCCGAGTATCTCAAGTCCATTTTCCTTAGCCTCCAGTTGCGTACCGCCTCACTGGAAGTATTTGCGGTCACGTTGATTCGGTTGAGGCAAATACTTCGCAGGTTTGCGCAAGCGCCTGCTAATGCGTTTAAATCAACGGTAACCGGTTGGTAAGGTTCCAACACCGCGATCGATAAGGAGCGAATGTTACCTCCGATTGGCTTCAATAGATTCGTCAAGGCCGCACCACTTTGGCAAATTGCAATAGCCAGTTTCACCGACTGAAGGCGCCTTGATTTTTCAGAAAACGCACGCGTTGGCATAGCTACGCGATCAGGGACGAATCTATTTGTCGGATCTGCGAGCTCCAACGCCCAAACTCCATGATCGGGAACGACGACATTGACCTCGTTCATCAGCGCGAAGGGGCCGGAAAGAGCGCGACAGCGGCAATCGTGGAGTAGAGTGAAGGTGGCGTTATCGGCATCGCCCCATCCGCTGATCGCAGCGTAGCTCCAGCTCGAACATTGACGTAGCCATATTGTGGCGAGTTCAGCGTACTTAACACCGGGGCAGGATAACGGTTCTGTAGCGCAGCCTCCAACAGAGCCACGCCGCGTTGCCCCAGATCCACGCCCGTAATTTCCAGCTTTTAGATCGAGTTGCTCGATAAAGTATATTCGAGCCAACCCCAGTAGCTGCGATGCATACGTTGGACGCCGGGATGATCTTGATTAACCCACCTTCCGATTGACAATGTTTTCAGTCTTGGTAACCCAGCACTCGCGCTACAAACTCCAGTCATCCTCACATCAAACGGACAATTAAACAGCACTTTCAGCTCACGACAGCTATCATTTTTTTCGGAACGAAAAACTGTGGCGCCCTCGTGGAGGCGCGCAGATTGGTTTGCGACGCAGTAAAACCGCTAGTAGGTACCCAAAATCTAGCATCGCTTCAAATTCAATTTGCCGACCAGCACTCCCCAAATTTAGCTTGTGGTACACCAAGCCCGAGCGAATAAGCGCTGCAAGAACCTGCTCCACATTTAACCCCTTCAAACCGGTAGCTGTTTAACCCTTCTAGCCCCAGCTAATATTCTGTATCCTACCGAATAAGCATTTGACTTGATTAAAATATACTTCAAAACCTGTCAAAGATTTGCTGCTACAAGCCCTTTCGCATCTTGCGGTCAAGATCTGGGCGCATCGTGCACAAAACAGCTACGAAAGTGAACAAAACATGCACAATGTATCCACCATATGCCAGAATGGCGATCTTCTATTGGTTGTGGCGAGCGTAGAGCACGCTCAATACTTGTTACATGTCAATACCTTGCAAGTTTGCTAAGGCAACATAGTTCGGCCCCAACCACCAATCTTCAGCGCGCCGCAATAAACGCGGAGGAAGAAATCGCCCAGTTCCTAACTGACGTAGTGAGGAGGAACTGGGCGAATTCTTCCTTGGACTAGCCATTCGGGCAGCATAGGGCTCCTTTAGCCCACATCATCAGCTCGGTACTCCGGCTTCGTTGGCACCATCAGAAAGTTTGCATGTTCAGTAGCCCATAACGGCACGTACTACAACGAACCCGCTTCTATCAACAAGACAATAGACAACACTGATGTCAACGTCTACTTCTTCCTTTACATCCACACAGTCTTCAATGTACACGCCCGCCGTGGGTCAACTTCACCATGTTGGCACTCTCCCCTGCTCTATAGCCTCCGCCGCTGCCGCTCCATCCCTGCCGCTCCATCTCTGCCGCTTCCATCCGTAACCTCCGCCGAACACTCTGTCACTTGTTCTGTAGCCTCCAGCGTGGACACATCTGAAGTAGGGCTTCTTCTGTAGCATCCCTCGTAGCATCTGTCCCTTCTTCTGTAGCATCCGGCGTAGCCACATCAAGCGATGCGTTTCTTCTGTAGACTACAGCGTAGCCACTGCATCTGGGGCACTTCGCCGGTAGACTCGATCGCAGCCAGCTTCCTAGGCACTACCGAAGTTGTGCGCTGACGCCGCAACCATCAATATCGCTGGATCAACTTGCTTGCCGGTCGGGCCACAGGCGAGAGCACATACCGAGATATTAGTCGGATCACCAGGCCTGGTACACAACACCATAACGTCGTATAAGTATACTTCTAGACCAGTGTTAGTACAAAGTACAAGCTTTTGATTACCTTCGCCGCGCGTTGGGGCTCACTCAATCGTCTTCGGACCATGGGCACCATGGTGCACAGGTCCTTGGCCATCCTTGTCAACTTGGGTGTGGAGAAGTGCTGAATAAGAATTGTTCTCCGAGAATGGCGGCAGGGCCGATCGACTGGAGGCGTGGGAGATCGGCGATCGAGAGACAGGCAACAAGGATCTCCGGATCAGAAGGAGTTTTTCGGGAGATCTCAGGTGGCCCGATGACGCCGGCGCGTAAGGCAGGACATGTGGCAAGCCGGATTGTGGGTGATCGTGCCCGAACCGCGGCGTGATTCGTGGCCGACCCAAGTCCAGATCGACGACAGAACCCGCGGATCTGAGATGGCCGAGGACAGAAGGTGATAGATCGGCGGCGCATGGCAACCGGCACAAGTCATCGATCGGGAGTGGATCGCCGATCGCGATCGATCGCGGATCGCCGATCGGGGTCGATCGTGGATCGGGAGCCGATCGTGGGTCGCCGATCGGGGCCGATCGGGGTCGATCGCCGATCGACCAGGATGGGACGCACATGGAGGACGAAGTCGGGACAAGAATCCAGTAATCGTGTGGTTGTAGGAGGGTAAGCAAGATGGTAGCATTAGGGAGAAACCAGCTAAACATAAATGAGAGCAGAATTTGCACCGAAGACCACAAGTCCCATCAAGTCACCAAGTCCCAGGAACTACATTGGCCTCGGCAGCGTCGACACTTTGGGTAGTGAACTAGCGGTACGGTTAAGACTGGATTAATACATTGGCCAGCTTGACCTACTCTAGTGATCTATCTCTTGTGTGCAAGTCCTCGATCGACCGGGTATTGGTGCTTGGCCGGCGATCGTTTCTCCTCTCGATCAACCTCGATCCCGCTATAGGAAGCGGCAAGCAACTCAGGAAAGGAAGGAACACACCCGGAAAGGCAACCACAGGCCTTGGATCAACTCCAGGCCGACCGATCGCAGCGAACAACCCTCGATCGGAGCGTATACTCGGACGCAGAGCGAAGACTACCGCGCTGCTCCACAAACTATCCCCGCGTCACGCTAAGACACTCGATCTTCACCAAGTGCTGCATCTTCGCAGCCCCGAGAGAGCAGATCCAGCCCGCCGACGGGTACACAAGGTGAGAACAAGTTCAGCCGATCACGGATCGTTGGGGGACCCCCTCCGTTAGTCGGTGTCTGGGCGCTGGTGGGAAGCTTCATCAGGCCTTAACCAGATGTTGGCCGATCCCGCTACACCACATGGGCGCGTTCGACAGGACTGCATAGAGCTCGCATCGCGACGACTTCAACAGCAAAGCTTTCGTTCCAGAATAAAGGGAAGCACGGGTGGTTGACACGCGGCACTTTGAGGCTTCCACCCGAATTTTCAAACCTGTTGGGCGTTTATACTCGTCCATCTATTGCCGCAGAAAAATCCCCGTCTATCTTCCCATCGCCAATCTAACAGGAAGATGTCCACAATAGAGGCTATATATGCGAAGTTTGAAAGAGAAGCTTAGTTTGCTGGATATTATGTCCTGTGACAATGCTTATTCTGTAGGATACAGAATACGGGGTTAGAGGGGTTAAGTACGTAAGTTGATATGAACAGCGTATGACGTGCATACAGTACATGAAGTACACGGAGTTGTCGAAACGAGTGTTGGCTAATTGATTCAAAGGTAGCTACTCTCTTAAAATCTCGACTTAATAGGCAACGTGTGGGGTTTTCCCTTCGTGGTTCTGCGAGTTGTAGAGGAAGGTGCCGTCGGACAACTCAGTGACGACGCAAGGTTCACTAACTGGGGGGAGTCGTTTGGGTTCCAGTGGGGCTCAGGAGAATATTCGCCAGGGTTTCAAAACGCGATGGAGAGGTCAAAGACTATGGGGCTGGAAGGGAGGCGCTACCTGCACGCGTCGGCAATGTTGGAAGTCTTCCTACAGGGCCATCGAGACGAATGGAAGACAGCATGTTGCCTTTACACCAAAATATAACAGGATTATATCGACCACGGAAGAATTTTCGCACCATTTCGGAAGCTTTTTCGGTTTCGAGGCATCGCCAGCAGCCCACTTGTGCGCTGTGAGTGACGCTGATCAACTGATTGGGGCTTGGAGCCAATGACCGCCTCAGCTACTCGATGAATCAGTCGTCAACAACGTCGAACAAATGGGCTCAACGTTCTTGGATCTCAGCGTTATGCAAGTTTAACCCCTTCAAACCGAAGGAATTTTCCCCATGTCTATGCTGTACATACAGCGTATTAACATATAGAAAATTGTATACGATAGGGAAGGGGGAGGTAAGGGCGCTGTGCTCATCAGGGCCTGGTTACATCTAAAGATGTATATACGACGGAGTAAAACCACTTCTAACCCGTATATATACAGCTATGCACAGTGCTGAAGCCGCGCGACCTGGTGTGTGTAGCATATTGGTAAGTTTATGCAGGGCACACACGGACTATGTTCTCTCAAGCGTTAGATTCGTAGGAAATAATATCTCTGAGTATCGGGATTCCGGTAGCACAGACAAGTCGAGATTGCCGCTATACTATATTCAAGTTGTCAGATATGCAATCAAATGATGACAATGTGATTATTGGCCAGTGGATGATCGTCATCCCTGTCTCTGCTTGACGCATGCTATCGGTAATCAAAAGCGGCGTGAGCAACTAGCCGTTGGCAGACCGATTGCTCATTAGATCACAAGCATAACACGAACAACATGACATATACCAAACATGCATTCACACGAAGAACAACCCAACCTACTCGCTGTTTTCGCTGACCTCGCTGCTAACACTGCTGACACAGCGGCGCTTAGCGGGCGACTTCCCCGGAGAGCTTGTGGCTTTCGGTGCGCGCACACGAATCTTGCCCTTCAGGTCCTGCGGGATAACCTTGCCGTTGTTGTACTCCTTGTGCCAGACGTCCCAACAGCTCAGCATCTTGCTTCCTACCGTCCACTTTTGCTTGACGCACAGGTAAATCGGCCCAGGGAAGTCGCATCCATCGCAGAAGTAGGTGGAGGTGGCGCCAGGCTTGCCACTTGGCGTCTTCAGCGTACAAACCTGGCAGTTCTTCTGCACCCTTTTTCGCTGCCCCGAGTGGTCGCGCCATTCGTCACTCTGTTTAGCAATATGACTGCCAGTGTCCGCTTGACGTTCCTCCGCCTCTACATCAACGGAAACATTTTCATCTGTATATACGTGTTAGTCGTAATGCACATACAGCATAGCCACCACAGCTTATACAGCATAATCAACTCACCTGATTGAAATGCGTTTTCTTCGTAAATATCCTCCGGCTTCAGCGCAATAAGCTGCAGATGCAACTTGCACATGAACTGCACGTGGGTCATCGCATTGATCTTCTTCTTCTTGCAGTAGGCTCGGTGCACGATGAACGCGTTGGTGATCGCCAGATCCACAAGCCCCAAAAGTTAGGACCGGTAGTACTTTCGATAGGTGATGCAGCGCTGCACAGAGTACGTTTGCAGGTGGAGTTGATCGTGCCCATCAACTCCGCCCATGAAGCGATGATAGTCTTTGATGACCTTGGGGCACGCAATCTCGTTCTGCTCACCAGTCTTCTCGCGGCACACAACACGATCCAAGGCGACCTTTCCACCCATCGACAGGAAATGAATAGGTTTGCTGTCCCACCAGCAAATTGCAGCCATATTCTTCACATGCTTTGAGCGCGCGAATGTCAACGTGCCGCGGGGGGGGGGGGGTCTTTGGGCCTCTTCTTCTTCTTTGTCACCACTGACTTGCAAAATCCACGGCGATTCGTCATGATGGTGCCAATCGTGAAGAACCCCATCAGCAGAAGCTGCACCACCAACACGATCGACGTGTAAAATCGATCAACCACCACGAGCCGCATGTACTTGCCAGGCGTGATGTCGCCGAACACAGCACGCAAGTTGCGCACAACTGCCGCCGGTCCTGACTTCATGTCCACTGCTCCCGACTGGTACCAAGCTATTCATGCTTTGCTGCGCTCGCTCCGCTTACTGCATTCGGTACGATTGCTGTTTCCGCTTATACTGTATTGTAATGGTTGCCTTATTCTGTATATGCGGATAACGTATGCTATATATACACGCTATGCTTGCGT